ATAAGCTACCGAGTTATAAAAATGCAAGCAGGAACAGAAAAATAGTTTGTCATTGGCGTACAGGATAAGCTATCGCGTTAAGACTAAAACGGCATTTACACTAGCCAATTTTAAGGAACCTTTACCCTGACTAAGGGTGGTGTAACAACAGTAGGCGAATAATTACCTTAGCTAGGGGCCAGGCCCACCCTTTCGATAGGGCCCTTAAAATTGGGTAGTGTAAATGCCGTTTAATTACTGTTGGACGGACCGATCAATCACGTACTTAGTCTTTCAAGTCATTTGTGTTAAGGACTAGAATTTGATTATACACTATCTATACACAATCATGATCCGTCCCCCACAGGACAAATGGTTGTGCATCAGCGATTTTCTATAACTCCAATTTTTTAAACAATAACTTATTTGATTACGTTTGCAAAAACAATTTAACTTACTAACACGAACAAAAACAGAAGGATTGAAGTAAAATGAAAATGCTGAAACACTTGTGTTATAAGATTTAAATTAAATACTCTCAAGTCACAGTATATAAAACTAATAAAATAGTTATAGATGCTGTGGTTTAAGAGAAATAACTCAATTGATTAACTTCTTTCTTGTAAATCATTATCTCAATTTATGTAATAAAATTTAGCAGACAACTTATTTACAATAGTTCTTCATAAAGCAATTAATATAAGCAATAACTCATCCAAAGTCAATCAATGGGATACTATTTTTAAGTAAAACAACAGCCAAGTGACAGAAAGCATTTAAAACCCATCTCTACTAATAACACGGCTACAACATATTTTACAACTTGTTACTGTCGATTGGCTGCGACTGGCAATGACACAGTTTCTGAAATATCTAATATGAAATGAATATGGTCTTGTGGTGGTCCCATATCTTGAAGTATCGCGTGTATGAAACTCGATAATAATTTATAGAAAAATTAAAAGACAGATTGAAAAAAAAAGATTTGTCATTAAACTAAATTTGAAGCCAAAATAGTTTTATACACTGAGAATGAAAATGACATTGAGTACTAATAATTCCCAAGAAACTATCTACTACAACTTCATATCAATATCAATTAATGATGTTGAATGATTTAATGTCAAATACAGGCATGTTACACATCTACGCACATTGAGTTTGCCTGTGAGTGCCTATCCACAATGAAGCTGTTTGTTTCTGAATGATCAAATCAAAACTTTTTAGAGATCTCTTTATGGTTACATAAAGAACCAAAATATATTCCATAATATAGGTACTAATCCAATTAAAACTTGATCAATAGAACAAAATAATTAAGACTTTGCACTAGAATTTACCTCTGAACACTGATTTTATTATTTTTATTGGAACGTCATTTATTTGATCTTTATTTAATTAAATTGAATAATATTAAATAATAATCAAGTTCTTGGCAATTATTTGTACAGTACAATGCAATATAATTTAGACAATTGCGACACTGGTGGATCCTGCTGGGCAGAGTTGAAGCCTTAGCGAGCCCCACCGACCTGTTCAGGAGGTGTTGGGGCGAGGCTTAAATTCGTACCACATTAAAGCCTCATTAGCTAGTACCAACAAGCATGATATTATGGCTTCTTGTTTACACTTTACAATCAATTTATTGAAGAGTTATTTAACTATACAATTTTATCAGCTTATTTTTAATGAAATAATGTAAAACATTTCGTCAACAATCAAAGGATTCAAAACAAGAGGATTTGATGATGATTGTTGTGAAAAATATAATAAAAGATTAAAATTTGTCTTAAAAATGAAATTATTTGTTTTAAAAATAAAATGAATGCATCATATATTTATAGAGTGGAGGTGTGTATAATGTTTGTTATATTTATTTTGAATGATTATAACAACCATTGCCTAGGCATTCACTGATTATGTTTATAAGTATTTTTACATTTGCAATTTCTGCTAGAAATAGATGAATCCTGCAAGTTAAATAACTAAAGTAATATATGATATCAATATTATTATAATAAAAAAAAACAGTGTAGTGAAAACAACAAGCCATAAGTCACATGACACCTGAAATACTAAATGCTGTCCTGACCTTTTGTCAACACAACTATGCAACCCACTGAAAAATAAAGATTTAGATTTTCACAACTATAATAAATTACATATAATCCAAAGGTCTAATTCCAATTCAACAAGATAATTATCCAGACTGAATGACAAATTTAAACATATTCAAAGTAACACACTGTTATATTATGAAGTCCTAATTAATAAAATTCACTTTTGGTTGATATTTTTTTAAAGTAAAGTATTTTTAATGGATATTAAAGGATTCTAAAAAAGAAAGAATGCAACATTTATGAATCATAAGATATTTTTGGAAGAAGTCAGTTTCATTAGAATCTAATCAGTTTTAAATGTTTACTGGAGTATGTTCTTAAGTATTATAAAGATAAGGATAGGATACTGAATTGACTTGTTGTATGCATGAGAAAATATGTATAATTACCTCAGACACAGATTTGAGCAGATTCATCACGCACATATCTTGAGCATCGATCGGCTCCACCAACTCTTTCTCTACATTTTCCATCTTCCATTCCATAAGATTAAGTTGTTCATCAGTTTGTTTTACCTAAACAACAAAAGAATTTTATAAAGTTATAATTAATGTTATTTTAAGGCATATTAAAATAGAAAATGTTGATGAAAATAGTTTTTTATTAACACAATTTGCAGTTACAATTTCTTCAACATGAAATATTGGTATTATTAACAAAATTTCATACATGAATGTTTTATCATACAAACCTAGTTGTTTACTTTTGGAAATAACACATTGGTTGTTATCAAGTGAATTAATTAAGCCTTTCAGCCAATATTACGATGGGGAGAAGTATGACACAGCCAATCTGTCTATCTGGAGTGGCAGTGATTAATTATTTATACAATAAATAGTCCGGATGCGGCTCTGTGACCTACATTCCCAGCCCTATATCATTAAGACTAAAATCGTTAAACTAAACAAAACTTCTGTGGCACACTTACCGTTTCCTCGAGGTCTTCGAAGGTTATCTCTTTTTCACTCATCTTTACTTAACAATTATTATCTTTTCGGTAAAAAATTTAATAAGAACTGTGTTTATCACCCCGCAACAACTACACCCCAAACCACCATTTCCGAAATAACTTGTCTTTTTTTAATTCTCCCTTTTCAGGGAAGGCAAAGGGAATAATGTCCATACAGCTTAGTATTGAGTTTTAATAATCTTTTTTACTTACATTAAAATATCGGTGTGACGCTTAAGTGTTTAGCACGATATGTATCGGGTTGGTTTTATCGACAAGCTTCTGTGAGGTAATCAATACTACAATAACGATCTCACGTCTACTTGACCGGAGTAGCGTACCTATATTTTAAAGATTCAACTAATCTTCAGTTGCGCAGTCGATTGTAATACAAAATCATACCAATTATATTTCACAATATCCACAATGAATGAATTTAAGAATAATTAAAATAAGACGCCTACCTCACTCGATAAAATCCATAGAGGTATAAGAATAGAGTGGGGAAGGCGACTCTAAAAGTGCCGGCTAGTAGAAAGAGAAAGCAGATGAGAGCCGGCTAGCTATCTATCTCTCTTGTGACGCATGGCATCCAATGGCATCACATCGAAATAGTATGATGCTTACAGTTGCCAATATATGCGCATTAGAGAGAAAAAAGCTAGCAGTCTCACATCTTCTTTCTCTTTCTATTAGAGGGTCACTTCCACTTGTAGTAGAGTCTATATCTCCCCTACTCTATTCTTATACCTCTATGATAAAATCCAGCCAAAAGCTCAAATAATTTGACATTTATGTAGAGTTGCTAGATGAAATTGTATGATTTGCACCATTTGACAACCTCCGTGGTCGAGTGGTTTTAACGCCGGGTTTCATGGTGTCGCCTTCTCGAGAGGTCCCGGGTTTGAATCCCGGTGGAGGCAGATGTTTATGTGATGAATACAAGCATTTGTACTCCAGTCATGGATATTTAATATGTACCGTAAGCCAGGGTTACTTTAGCTCGGGCGGGTAACTTTGTCCCAAATCAGAAAAAATATTGAACATGCCGCCCCATCAGTATCTCTTGGGTGACCGTAATAGTTCCAGTTGAAAATCACAGATAGCCATATAGGCGCGTAGTGTGGTATGGTTTAACCGACATCATTCCTGTACCAAGTTGTCATTGTAACGCGGGATTTTTTGTAACTGTAATAGTTCGCAAGTTCATGCGCAAACTTTCTCAAAACTGTGGTTTTCGGTAAGTTTACTATTTTTTCTAAATTTAAAGTTAAATTTTTTATTTAACTTAATTATTTTTGGGCAAAAACATTCATTTGTGTATTCAGTATGCTAATGGTGATCTGTTATAAGGGTTACTTAACCCCATGGCTTAAAATGAGTTTTTATACAGAGAAAACTCAACGAGCTGAAGTTACTAAATAATAATAATAAAAAAATACCTATTTTGTTATGATAACTTTGTAACTTATACTTTAAAGTTCACGATGGAAAGATATAAACGTGATATATTCATCACAAAGAGAAGCTACAATTTTATTTGAAAAAAAAGTGCACATTTTAGGTCAAAGTAACCCGCAGTTACTCGGTATTTCGATATAAATAAATTTATATAGGTAATACAAATTGATACGTTTTCTTAAAGAAAATACCCCAATAGCTTTAAAAAATAAAATGTAGCATTTATACTATGTTCACTCATGCCCAGGGCCAGCCTAGGGGGTGGTTAAATCGTAATGGTGGCCCGAGGCGCCAGATCTTGTGAGGGTGAAATACGCCCCTGCCACCAGTGGGGCATAGCTGTGGGACCACGGTAAGAAGATAGAAGGGGTACATTAGAACTTAGATTTGACAAATGTATATCCATGTCATTCTCTATACAGAACGAAAAGAAGAGACTGGTGTTGTTTAGTTAGAGCATCACGCCAGAATCGACAACATTGTAGGGTATACGGACGATAAAATAAAATCATTTTCTATATTTATATACATTTATTTTCTGTCTTTATACACTAAAGAAAGTAGAGAACAATGAGATGCGATACGATAAGACTAGCACCCATAGTGCCGTCACCAACAATCCTATCAAATGATCAATTAATATCATTATCCGGAATTACAGTCGAATACCATAGACAAGTTTGCCGTATCAGAGAAACTAATTAAAATATATACACAAATTATATAAGCTAACATGGGATCTATAGTGTTACACAATAACCTAAAATCAATTAAATCACTAATAAGTTTAAACACTTCCTCGTTTTCTAAAAAGAAAAACAAAGAGATAATTGTATTTCAATTAAATCTAATAGATGTTACATAATCCCACCTTATGTAAAATGACTGTCACTATCTCTCCTAAATGAAGGAGGTTGTTATAATTTAAAATACAGTAAATGTCATTTCGTAAATTTGGATAAGAGTTTGGAAATGGACTAGCAATTTTCCACTATTTCTCATTGCACGAGTCTGTGCTATATCTACAAGTTAAGAATAGAAAGTCAATGAGAATGTCATGTGCGATTAAAATAATCAGCCCCGACCGTCGATATCGTAACGCAAGCACGCAAATCTATGTCATTGATTGCAAACCAGTTTTAGGTTACATTTTTTTTTTAATAAAAAATCTTCACGCATTCAACAAAAATACATACTTAAATAACAATATATATCTGTTGTGACAGGTTTGTTAAAAAATATACAATGATTTTTATTTTTTGCTTTTTGTAAGACAGTAGCATGAAAATTGTCTACTGGCAATCAAGTCAAATATGAAAAACCATATACCTAATGTTACAATAATAACGATTTGTACCTCGCATAGTGACGGTCGCTAGCGTTGCAAGAATTCCAGCCTCGTAAACCTCTTCGTTTGCCCAGAACGGAACAAAGAAAAAAAAGTAGCCAATTGCACATTCTAGTAAAAAGTTATCGCGTTCAGGGAAATTTGAATCTATTCCACCAAAGAACACAGCCGAACATAAAGCTAATTTAGGTGGGTCCAGATAGCAGTATTGCACTTCTAATAAAATAAAAAATACGCCAAGTTACAATGGTTCGTTTGCGACCTTGATAAGCAATAATTATTCAGCTCTGATTCTACGTTAGATTTGACGCAACGAAGTATATAATTTGACGTGATAAAAAACGCATTTTCATTTAACAATACAAATCGCACAGTGAATTATGATATCTACATTGAAGTCTAAAGTTTGATCGCGGTTTCATTTAAGACCATGCCTAGCCGCTGACGATTAAGTTGTAAATCTTTGCCTATCACGATCCATGTGCAAAATAAAGAAGTTAAAAAAATATTGCTACAAAATGAATGTTCCCAGAAAAAAAAACCTAACAGAGACAATTCGACTAAGTAACATTGAATATTATTAAATAAAATACTATTTGTACAAAATTAAAATTCGATTGAATCGTATACCATGTTTTGACGTAATTCTATCGCGCGTGCGCTTGTATTGCATAGGAAAATGTACCTCAGTAATGATAGCAAACCAGAAAGCCATATATATAAAATTTGAGCCAGTTATATATGTATAGTCCCACCGGATATGCGAATAACCTGGAACTAATCGGGTTTTGATGAAACATTAAGGCATATCGTAAATTGTAGATGTTTTTTATTTATCCGGTCAGACTTTATAATGACAGTTTACAGATCTTTGAAATGTTTTGCGAATGATATAATTTTTATTAAACAAACACTTTAAAAGTACATTCTCCAGAGAACACAAGTCCTTTATTTTGGCTATTAAGCGACTATCTAAGAGTGTACTTGTTCAGTTGCATACAATAACCACTGAACATTCACAATGGGGCCTAACATTGCAGGTGTGAAGTATATGAAGACATCACACTAATATTATAAAGGCTGAAGTTTGTGTGTGTGAATTTAGTTTTTACATAATTGATATATATATATATTATATATATATACATATCGCACCTCCGGTGCGACACTGTCACTTTTGCAAAAACATTTTTTTTTCAGGACGAGCATTTAAAACTTTTACATCCCAAAACATAAAATATTTAAAAAAAATACGTGATGAAAAGTTTATACAGCTTAGCTATTCATCTAAAAAAATAAAAAAAAAACTTTAAATATTGTGTTTTGGGATGATAAAGTTTTAAACGCTTCTCCTGAAAAAATGTTTTTTTTGCATAAGTGACAGTGTCGCACCGGAGGCACAGCGGTGACACTCTCTGTACATGAGAGTTCCAGCGTCATCGACCTTGAGCAGGAGCGTGTATGTGCTAGGGTTGAACTTGGAATTTAGACTTGTGCCAATGAATATTTATGCATAGTAAGTTATTAAATGTAAACTGATTCAAGGATACTGGGGTAAATAATGAAGGATAGGTTTCATTTTATAATCAATTTTCAATCTTTTAATGTAGGTACTATAACAAATTGCTAACTTTTATATATTTTCTCCTTTTTCGATTCGTTTTATAATTCTTATTATTTTGTAAATAATAATAAGGTTGCGTAGCGTAGTCAGTCTGTGCGTGCAATGCCATGCCTTCGGTCTCGGCAGTCGGCGACTGCCCTCTCCACGCCCCGCGCGCCGCGCAACGCCCCCGCACACCTCCAGACACCCACACATAGCCGCGGCCGATTTCACGAGCACACATGCTTAAGTGTCGCTTCTTTTCGCGTAGTGTATATATTCTGTGCCGGAGGTGCGATATATATATATATATATATATTGATATACACATAGGCTACGTTTTACTGCGGGAAAATATTCCGAATAAACCACGGGTAACACCGCGGGGCACAGCTAGTTGTACTATAAAGCAATAATAATATCCTCTATCCTAATTGTTATTATTCCATGTTTTTTTTATTCGTATAGATACATATTCATGAGATTTGAAGCTGTGTGCATTATGTTTTATTGTGTAATTAATTATCTTAAATATTATAGATTTCTTAATAAAACATGAGTCCGACTAGAAGTAAGCGCTACGTAGTTAGATGTAATTTGACACTAAAGGCGTCTTTAATGCGTAGCAGTAGGAATGTCATTCCTGTGGCATTTACTCTCAAAGAAAGGGTATGTATAATGCGGTTCAAATAAGAATAGGAAAGCTAATGACCTCTATCTGTCAAATTTCGCTTGTTTTCAAGCGTACTTTTGTACGGTTTGCAAAAAAACACTTGGAACCCTTTTTTAGCACTTCTCTAATTCAAGAATAAAAACCAAACATTTGTAAACAAACAATAACAAATATTGATAATTAATATCGGTTGATATTTTTTTCACTTATTGAGCTTTGGCCATTAATGGTTGATAACCTAAATCGTCAACCAAATGTAACTTTAAGTTGCGTTCAAAAACTCGATTTTAAACTTTCGTTTACATAAAGGATGCATGTTCGTATGTGACCTAGTAATAGTGCAAGATTATTCATAACTACTCCGGCGGTAATGCAGAGATGAGCGGAATAGAAGAGCTAGATTCTGATTAATGTTTTTTATCACAGTCTTAATAAATAAATATTATGAAAAATCGGTGTTTTTTTTTCTCAATCTTAGTAAATAAATGTTATTAAAAAAATCTGATGCTTTTTCTCACTTAAACTTAGTAAATAAGTTTTATTAAATAAAAACCTTTTTTTTGCCCACTCTACCTATTTGGTTTGAATTGACAGCTATGACATCACAATATGGCGCCCAGTCGGTCCTATTCTTAATTGAATCGCATTATAATAACGAAGGCACTACAGTATATGGTATCTTTGATAGTTTGAATTTTTATTATTCCAACAATCATTATAAAAAGGTTAGTCTTATTTTGAAATATCATTCGAAGGCAGTGTTCTATGCTGACACGAAAAAATGGATCGTGATACTACAAGAATACGGGACGTTCTGACAATAAATTCTATATCACAAACTACGTGATGTAAATATGTGGTGTTTTTTATTGAATATTAATCCTTATTTCGTCAATAGAGAAGGTGTGTGCTCCAGCAGTAACGATGCAAATAGTCTGCTGATGATAATAGGGTATTTGACTAGTTTTAGAAAACGATCTCACGTTATTGACTAATGTTTATGAAGTCCGTAAAAAGTGGATATTCATCATTCTGTTGTGTATTTCAGTAAAAATAACCAAATCGAAAACTCCATCTTCAAGTTGCCGCGGAAACGTTTCTGCGGACAATATGGCGTCTTATTAGTGTGTGACGTCACACGACTGTTATTAAAACGTCAAACGATACAATGTAATGTCACTTTAACCGGAAGTTTACTTGCGAGCGACGTAATTTTAGGCTCCGCCAATCCCAAGCGTTTTGGGTCACTTGACAATAGATAAAAATAACTATTATCTTTTTCGTTAGTTTTTAGTAAAATTATGATTTTTTTTGTAAAAATAGTAAAAACCCCTGCCAATATTCATTCTAAACACCTGTCAAATACCCTATTACTAAAAATAGTTGTAAATACATCATGCCAATAAACCTATTACTTCAGTCAATAATAAAACATACGTAAACATTATATTAGAATCCGGCTCGAAAGACCATTTTTTATTTTGAGTTTGAAAGGGTGGCAACTCAATTCTCGTTATAGTCTAGTCCGCCGCAATGTTAGACCCCATTCACAATTAAATACGTTATTAAAAATATTAAGCCTATGCAGTCATGCATACATCAAATAGATCACTTTCAGTTTACTTAAAATGAACTAAAATCTATAAGACAGTCGATATAGGCGCGCCCCGCGGACTCGCTTGTTGTAGGGCATCACATATTAAATTTTAACGTGAAACAAAAGGTTGTAAAAGCTTATCATAAATAGAATATAACACAATTTATAAGTAACAATACAGGGAAAAGTAATAAAACGACAACACTGTAACATCTATACGACAATTTTGGTTATGATAAATACTCCAATAATTTTTAATTATTCACATTTATTTTAACTAGAGATCGGATAATCGGATGCATATTTACCTTAAGTGATTTTTGACTAACAAATTATGAAAGGGGGCTTCCTAGGATATTTCTATTCAAAACAAATCCCGAGATTCCGGGTTCGCCTAACTAATCGGATGTATAATTTACTTAAACTTAAATTTTAATGTCCCATTCGTATATGTGTTGTAAAAGAAATGGCGGTGATTTCAATAAACATTATATTAGAATCCGGCATTTGAATATAAATTTATTTATTCAATAAAGACATTTTACATAGTATTTTTATGAAATACACACAGAGCAACTTACATTTGTGTCAATCTGGTTTATCAGAACCCACGGAGTATACACTTAAATCTGAATTTCCTGGGGGATTTTTTCGATAAAAAAAAGTGTTTTCCATAATAGCCAACTCTCATCTCATCTCAACTTAGGTAAATAAGCATCCGATTATCCGATCTCTAATAGGGATGATGACGGGGTACAGTAAACGAAATTCTATTTAGTCCGTCAGTTAGATGATCAAAAAATTATGGACACGTATTTTTTCTTTGGGCAATCAACCAAAAAATGACAAAGTTATAGCGCGTCAAAGTTTGGGAGTAGGGGCTCGTGACGTCACGTTTGAGTACACTTATTAGTGAAAATTCACTCAAAAGTGACGTCACGAGCCCCTACTCCCAAACTTTGACGCGCTATAACTTTGTCATTTTTTGGTTGATTGCCCAAAGAAAAAATACGTGTCAATTATTTTTTGATAATCTACCTGATAAACGAAGAAAAAAAAATTAGTCATCATCCCTATTATAACATAATTATATATTGTAACATACTGTTCTATTATATTTTGTTTCATAATCAAGACAGCATGCATTAACGAAATCGTTATGTTAAACATCTGTTCAAACATTGTTAAATGTTTGATGACAAAGATTTGGTTGTATGAATTAGCTGATGTCACAATTATGATGCCCTCAACGTAGAGGCTTATAACTCGAGGCTCGAATGCAAGTCAGAAGTCCAAAAAAAAAAGTCAAATTTATTTTTATTATTTTACATGTATGTAAGACGTCCAATAAGTTTCATTAAAACAAAAATAAAATAGACACAAATAAAACAACTATAATTACATAACGTAAATATAAAATAAGCGTTAAATCGCCAATTGATTTGGTAAACAAAAAAATATGATCAAAACAAGAAGAAGACGTATCACATTCAAATAAATATATAATTATGTACATAAACACAATACATACAATAAATTACGATGTACTTCTACCTATCAACTATGTTTTTATCACACAAGTGGTTGCCGCCAGGCTATTCCAATCACACGCCAAAGTGGCAAGATATTTCAACAATCACTAAGAAAAAATATTCAATTATCATCATAAAGACGATAATGTCAAGCCTCTTTTAAAATGTCATTTATTTATATTGGTCGAGTAATCTCCATTTTAAAAAGCCGCATCTCTCGGAGTGACCTGGAATTGTTATGCTTAGCAAACAAAAGTGAACCTTTTGCAACGCAATCAAGCCTCAAGTTAGCTCGCACCGTCCGATAGTAATTGACTTCCGAAGCGCCGCCTCTGATACCCGCACTTTGCTTGGCTATTCGTATTTGCTATTTGTAAACTAAACATCAGTCTCTCCTTTTCACTCCCTATAGAGTACGATAAGGAAAAACTGCTGTCAAAATGACAAATAGCAAACACGAAAAGCCTTGTAAAGTGCTAGCACGATACTCTACTCCTCCTAGCCGCTCGTATAAAAACTCCATGGCTCGAAACGCTTTGGCCCAACGTCATAAAATCTTTATCAATCGTACACAAAGTCAATCTTATGATCCGTGACTCGAAGGACCAAATCGTCCCGAACCAAACCCTTAACGCTAACGCTTCCCAACTCGAAATATCTCGAGCCAAAACTTACTGTAATCCAACGTTCGACATTTCAGTACAATACATCATTCGACAATCATATTTATTAAGCTACAACTTACCTACGTAATAAACTTTGTGGTCTCATCCGTCTGTTAGAGAGACAGCTTTCAAAGTATGTCCTACTTTTGGGAACTATACCAATAATAGTATTTGGTTTCGTGTTAAATTAAAAGTGTGAGCATAGTTTCAAAGCTGCCGCGCGCTATAATATCTTGTGTAGAATGGGCTCGTAATATTTCGCGAAGCGACCTCCGGGGCTGCGCGAGAGGAACTATAGGTATTGTGAGCCTTCAGCGGTAGACGCAAGGTTCACTTTAGCCCGTCGGCTTGCTCGAACGTTTGCTCGTTGACTGACACCGCGTCTGATGCGAGCGCGTCTCTTAGAGGCTCTACGCAGTTCTTTGGGATAAGTGTACCTGAAGGGAGAAATTTGTGGTTAGTTTTTACAATTTAGTTATTTGTTGGTGGGCGAAAGAATGTGACGAATAAAAAAAGAATGATCAAAATGGGACTAACTACTATGTAAAAAGTTACGCGTGATCATACATAAAAAAATACAAATACGCGTGGAATTAATAACCTCCTCTGTGTTTTTTTCGCCGTTAAAAAAAACTGCTCTGTACCCTAAGCACGAACCAATATCGAATTAGTAACGTTTGCGAGTCCGAAACTATTCGAATTCGATAATGGTTCGTGCTAGGGGTAATGTTCTTTGTTTTGCATGCACATAATGTTGCTGTCTATATTCAGACATTTATTATACAGATAAAAAATCATGCGGAACTGAAAGAACACTGTTTCAGATATCCTTCCTACTAATTTTATAGATAACTTGAAAGTTTGAAAATATTTGTTACTAAATCGGATTTGGATAAAATTTGGCACACATAGTTTTGTTCCAGGTTTGAGACATAGGCTATTTTTTCACTCTGGAAAATGGACAGGTTCGTGTGTGGGGTTCTCAAAAAACTTACGCGAACGAAATCGCGAGCGGTCGCTAGTTATGATATAAATATATTTTTATGAGGAGCTCGATGGCGAAAGTGGTTAGTCCGTACGCCTGCGATCGTTGAAGTTAAGCAACTTTCGCAGTGGTCGGTCATTGGATGGGTGACCAAAAATTTATTATCTCGAGCTCCTCCGTGCTTCGGAAGGCATGTTAAGCCGTTGGTCCCGGCTGCATCTGCAGTCGTTAGCACCCGCCAATCCGCACTGGGCCCGCGTGGTGGATCATGGCCCAATCTCCCTATTCCATCCATAGGGAAGGCCTGTGCCTCATCAGTGGGGAAATTAATAGGCTGATGATGATGATGATTGATGATGTGATTATACAGTTTTCTTCGCCAGCTCCTCTGACATATTCCAGATATAACTGTTGTATTATTAAGCTGGAAAGGCATCTGTGGCTATGTATTTAAATATAAAATATAAATAAATATAAATATTTCCAACACTCACACCAATTAGCCTAGCCCCAAAGTAAGCACTGTAAGGCTTGTGTTATGGGATGCTAGGGTAACGGATAGAATACATATACTGTACATATATAAGTATATTGATATAGAAGTACATATTAAACATCCATGACTGCAGTACAAATGCTCGTATTCATCACACAAACATCTGCCCCCACCGGGATTCGAACCCGGGACCTCTCGAGTCGGCGACACCATGAAACCCGGCGTACAAACCATTCGGCCACGGAGGTCGTCAATTTATGTTGGTTATAACTGACCTACGATCTTGAGTCCGTCGAGCGCCTTCACCCTGACCACCTGCATCTTGTTGAGCTGCGACCTTGCTGCCAACACTGCTTCTACTCGAGCCCATACTGCTAGCACGGAGCCGGCTAATACGTGGTATGTGCGACGACGTAACCCCACCTGGAGATCGTCAACAAAACACTTCAGTATATGCCAATTAAAAATAACGAGTAAAACATTTTCTGTCTTATAAAAACGTACAAAGTATCAAACGTATGGTAAGTAGGTAGCTTATTAGTAGTTTTTATTTTTGTAATCAAGTGAGGACTTTTTATCATCGTTTTGATAAATCTATTTAACTAATACAAAGTAAATAAAAAAGGCAAGTCATTTTGTGTCGACGTACTGACGGTTTTTTTTAAATTAGCAACAATGCGAAGATCGACAATAATTTTTCAAAATTGTTGGTAAAATGCAGATTTGAATCACGGCTAAGACCAAGGATAAACTTTATTGAGCGCCATCTAACGTTTGTTTGTTGTACTGCTATGTTCGTTTAAGTCAGAAGCATCTGATGATGAAGTACTTTTATGTGTTTATATTTTTGTATGTTTCACTTCTATCGCATGTGAACAGCACATGTCCGTTCTTTTTTTTATCAGCACACAGTTTACCTCGCAGTCTGTGGGGCTGCGGCAGACGCCCCTCCAGTAGGCGTGGCTGCAGACCCGGAGCGAGGCCTGGTACTGTCCGCGCCACCAGCTCTCGGCCTCGTCGCTCTCCCCGCGACGATACTATACCTCGCAGTCTGTGGGGCTGCGGCAGACGCCCCTCCAGTAGGCGTGGCTGCAGACCCGGAGCGAGGCCTGGTACTGTCCGCGCCACCAGCTCTCGGCCTCGTCGCTCTCCCCGCGACGATACTATACCTCGCAGTCTGTGGGGCTGCGGCAGACGCCCCTCCAGTAGGCGTGGCTGCAGACCCGGAGCGAGGCCTGGTACTGTCCGCGCCACCAGCTCTCGGCCTCGTCGCTCTCCCCGCGACGATACTATACCTCGCAGTCTGTGGGGCTGCGGCAGACGCCCCTCCAGTAGGCGTGGCTGCAGACCCGGAGCGAGGCCTGGTACTGTCCGCGCCACCAGCTCTCGGCCTCGTCGCTCTCCCCGCGACGATACTATACCTCGCAGTCTGTGGGGCTGCGGCAGACGCCCCTCCAGTAGGCGTGGCTGCAGACCCGGAGCGAGGCCTGGTACTGTCCGCGCCACCAGCTCTCGGCCTCGTCGCTCTCCCCGCGACGATACTATACCTCGCAGTCTGTGGGGCTGCGGCAGACGCCCCTCCAGTAGGCGTGGCTGCAGACCCGGAGCGAGGCCTGGTACTGTCCGCGCCACCAGCTCTCGGCCTCGTCGCTCTCCCCGCGACGATACTATACCTCGCAGTCTGTGGGGCTGCGGCAGACGCCCCTCCAGTAGGCGTGGCTGCAGACCCGGAGCGAGGCCTGGTACTGTCCGCGCCACCAGCTCTCGGCCTCGTCGCTCTCCCCGCGACGATACTATACCTCGCAGTCTGTGGGGCTGCGGCAGACGCCCCTCCAGTAGGCGTGGCTGCAGACCCGGAGCGAGGCCTGGTACTGTCCGCGCCACCAGCTCTCGGCCTCGTCGCTCTCCCCGCGACGATACTATACCTCGCAGTCTGTGGGGCTGCGGCAGACGCCCCTCCAGTAGGCGTGGCTGCAGACCCGGAGCGAGGCCTGGTACTGTCCGCGCCACCAGCTCTCGGCCTCGTCGCTCTCCCCGCGACGATACTATACCTCGCAGTCTGTGGGGCTGCGGCAGACGCCCCTCCAGTAGGCGTGGCTGCAGACCCGGAGCGAGGCCTGGTACTGTCCGCGCCACCAGCTCTCGGCCTCGTTGCTCTCCACGCGACGGTACTTCTTCTCTATCTCCGCCAGCGACTCCAGCTTCAGCTGCAGGCCCGTGTTGGGTCTAAGGGCAACACAATGAATACATGTATTATACTATCTTCACGGGCACGAATGAACAGAGCGATCTCATTTATCAAACGAACGTTTATAATTGAATTGAAAATCGCATTACAATATAAAGAGAAAAGTTACATAATATATCCAGAAAGATTACTGTTTTATATCATACAAAGTCATCGGGTTCAAAAATAACTACAATATCGCAAAAGGTGTGAAAAAATGTTTTTGTTAACAGTAAAAACCACAACAATATTGCTTTTGTACTATTGAGGAAGGAGAGGAAGAGGATATAGGTAAACGCAAAAGAAGGCTACTTCATTTGAAGACAAATAGAAGCATTTCTTGAATCCATCAAACAAAGGCTGTCAACAATTCATCTAAATCAGTGTAACAACAAATGAATTGAAAAACTTTGCACAGACCATATTAAATGCTGAACGACTGAGGAAATTCGAGAAAGAAGAAGAATAGAAGACCTCTGTTTAGGTTAACTAGTTCCTTTATCATAGATCGTTTTCACTAGTCCATGCGGTTCTTTTTATTTTCTGTGGCTTATCAAGGCTTAACCTAGACTGATTTCTTTGCTTGCCTTTTGGAAGGAACAAAGAGGAAGAAAATTTTAATGTCACTTCACGGCGTAATTTTCGAGTGGCGCAATGTTACTCTCAATCTTATTTAATATTATGATAATAATTATGATTACCAATAATTTTTAATGCAGGGAACATAAGTTTGCCGTGGAGATGGCTGTCGGCCATTCATTTACGGTACGTTACGGTTAGGACCGCGAGCGAGTAGAGTGCATCCAACCTGTACACGTGGAACGTGTCTTTAATGCCTTGGAAAATGTCAAGTTTCTGAGAGATTCTCAAAAAACTATAAAGAATTGAAAGTCGCAGTCGGAAGTTAGTATTTTTCGTAGTTCCCAGTCATAATTTTACAAACCTGTACACCTAAATCATGGCTTTATTCCTTGGAAAATGTCAAGTTTCTGAGGGATTCTTCAAAAACAAACTATAACGCAAAGAAAGTCGCAGTTAGAAGTTAGTATTTTTCGTTATTTCCCGTCACAATTCCATCTACCTGTAGACGTGGAACAAGGCCTTATCCCTTGGAAAATGTTGGGTCCCTGTGAAACTAATAAAAACAATAATAATACGGACGGATTCGCGGGCGGAACCTAGTAACTTCATAATTTCCTGCTACAACTCCACCAGCCTACACGCCTGGAACATGGCCTTACCCATTGGATAATGTGAAGTACATGTAGGATTCTCAAAAGATTAACTAAGACACAGTCGCATGCTAGAATATTTCCCGCCATAATAGGGATGATGACTAATTTTTTTTCTTCGTTTATCAAGTAGATTATCAAAAAGTATTGGACACGTATTTTCTATTTTTTCACATAATATAAACATTGCAGAGATATATTCATTTGAAAAGTCGCATGACGTCACGTTTGAGTACACTTATAAGTGAAAATTCACTCAAAAGTGACGTCACGAGCCCCTTCTCCCAAACTTTGACGCGCTATAACTTTGTCATTTTTTAGTTGATTGCCCAAAGAAAAAATACGTGTGCATTATTTTTTGATCATCTAACTGACGGACTAAATAGAATTTCTTTTACTGTACCCTGTCATCACCCCTATTCCACTCACCTATATACATGGAACATCTGCTCCTTCCTGTTGAGCCGCTCCCTCTTCCCGTGCGCGGCGACGGCGGCGCATAGGACGGCAGTATGCTTGTTGTTGCGCGCGTGTTGCGACAAGTAGAATCCTTCCTTGGGCCCGCCCAGCTCTGACCACTTTTCCAATGCTTCCGCCCATTCCATGCCTCGCTGGTGGGGAAAAAAAAGCAATTAGATTAGCCCTATAATGAACTGTGGGTAGGAGGACATCTTCCATGTTCGCATGTCCTCTGTACCAAGCATACAGATACACACTCGCATAGACACAAAAATCAGAAGAGACACATTATGGGAAATAATGGAAAATGAAAAAGAAAGGAAAGTATTCCTAGAATATAGTAAAAAAGTTGTAGAGAAAGTGATTGAGAGAAATAAAGACTTAAAATGTAAACATAAGTTAAATATGTAAGTAAAGAAAGATATATAGAAATAAGATGTCAAAGTCAGAAAGATGAACCAAAAAGTTTGTGAAACAGCATTAAGGAAGTTAAATTATAAAATACATTAATAAGATATTTAATACAAAGTACAGGACGAAATGTAATAGATAAAGAGCAAAATGTATAATATTGGAAAAAAAAAGAAAAATAATGATAAGAGAGCAAACATATATATATATATATATATAATGTGGTACAAAAGAATGAGCACCCAGTGAGGGAGAAATCTAAAAAACAGAAACCAAAAGGAAAATGTCATACTAAAAAACGAGAGTATGTCGATAAAAAAATAATTAACTGTGGGTAGTAAATAATGGTAGGTAGACGTTATTCTATACCTGAACTCAAACATTCAAAGTGCCGCATTCATGCAGAGTGAAGTCACGCGATATCACGATAATTGGGATAAATTATTTGAGTGGTGTGCAGGGCTTATATTTTTATGTATTAATGTATTAAAAACACATTAGATTAATAAAATAAGCATTATAGAAACTACCATTTTACACATACAATGGAGTCGATTTTGCCAGGGTTTTCTAAATTTCAAACTAATCAGTCTTCTCCTTTATATTCTGTATAGAAAATGACAGGGATACACTGTTGTCAAATTTAAGTAAGGTTTAGAGAATCATGCCAGAATTGACACCAATGACTATTTGACAGAATAACCTAAATTATTGAAAATCATACTATTCAAATAAAACTAGTTTTTACGGGTTAATGCACGAAACTTTATTTATTTATTGACGTTTCGCAGCCTTTTCAGGTCTGCATCGTCAGAATAATGATTTTTTATTTAGAAAAGGCTGCGAAACGTCAATAAATAAATAAAGTTTCGTGCATTAACCCGTAAAAACTAGTTTTATTTAATGAGTGATGTGCGTGAAAACCTAAGAAACAAATATCATACTTATAATTTTTATTATTTTTAAAGCATGTAACTGCTTGATGTTTAAATCTAAAGAAAATATAACTAGAAAAAATTCCACGCGGACCAGGCAGCAGACGGGACTCGAACCCGCACCCTTCGCAATCCGGGCGAAATTGCAATTGAATTGAAAGCACTGACCAATTATGCTACCGCGGCCCTCACGGACCGCGTCGAAATTCCTTCTAGCTATTCTTAAGCTGCAAGGCAGCGCCATCTCTTCGCATTATAGGTAAACCCACAATGTCAAATGAATACTTTTACAGGTATTAAACATTTGAAAGAAGAAATAGCAATTATAGTTATAATTTTTATTATTTTTAAAGCATGTAACTGCTTGATGTTTAAATCTAAAGAAAATATAACTAGAAAAAATTCCACGCGGACCAGGCAGCAGACGGGACTCGAACCCGCACCCTTCGCAATCCGGGCGAATGCACTGACCAATTATGCTACCGCGGCCCTCACGGACCGCGTCGAAATTCCTTCTAGCTATTCTTAAGCTGCAAGGCAGCGCCATCTCTTCGCATTATAGGTAAACCCACAATGTCAAATGAATACTTTTACAGGTATTAAACATTTGAAAGAAGAAATAGCAATTATAGTTATAATTTTTATTATTTTTAAAGCATGTAACTGCTTGATGTTTAAATCTAAAGAAAATATAACTAGAAAAAATTCCACGCGGACCAGGCAGCAGACGGGACTCGAACCCGCACCCTTCGCAATCCGGGCGAATGCACTGACCAATTATGCTACCGCGGCCCTCACGGACCGCGTCGAAATTCCTTCTAGCTATTCTTAAGCTGCAAGGCAGCGCCATCTCTTCGCATTATAGGTAAACCCACAATGTCAAATGAATACTTTTACAGGTATTAAACATTTGAAAGAAGAAATAGCAATTATAGTTATAATTTTTATTATTTTTAAAGCATGTAACTGCTTGATGTTTAAATCTAAAGAAAATAATAAAAATTATAACTATAATTGCTATTTCTTCTTTCAAATGTTTAATACTTGTAAAAGTATTCATTTGACATTGTGGGTTTACCTATAATGCGAAGAGATGGCGCTGCCTTGCAGCTTAAGAATAGCTAGAAGGAATTTCGACGCGGTCCGTGAGGGCCGCGGTAGCATAATTGGTCAGTGCATTCGCCCGGATTGCGAAGGGTGCGGGTTCGAGTCCCGTCTGCTGCCTGGTCCGCGTGGAATTTTTTCTAGTTATATTTTCTTTAGATTTAAACATCAAGCAGTTACATGCTTTAAAAATAATAAAAATTATAACTATAATTGCTATTTCTTCTTTCAAATGTTTAATACCTGTAAAAGTATTCATTTGACATTGTGGGTTTACCTATAATGCGAAGAGATGGCGCTGCCTTGCAGCTTAAGAATAGCTAGAAGGAATTTCGACGCGGTCCGTGAGGGCCGCGGTAGCATAATTGGTCAGTGCATTCGCCCGGATTGCGAAGGGTGTGGGTTCGAGTCCCGTCTGCTGCCTGGTCCGCGTGGAATTTTTTCTAGTTATATTTTCTTTAGATTTAAATATCATACTATTTGTCACAGGTAAATAATAGGGATGATGACTATTTTTTTTTCTTCGTTTATCAGGTAGATTATCAAAAATTATTGGACACGTATTTTTTCTTTTTTCACATAATATAAACATTGCAGAGATATATTGATTTGAAAAGTCGCATGACGTCACGTTTGAGTACACTTATAAGTGAAAATTCACTCAAAAGTGACGTCACGAGCCCCTACTCCCAAACTTTGGCGCGCTTTATCTTTGTCATTTTTTGGTTGATTGTCCAAGGAAAAAATACGCGTCCATTATTTTTTGATCATCTAACTGACGCACTAAAAAGAATTTAGTTTACTTTACCCCGTCATCATGCCTATTATAGAATTGTACTCTTTATCAGAACACCAAAAAGGTCAATATGGAACGATTAAAAAGATCTCATTTCTGCCAATAGCTGACCTTCAGAATACACATAACAGGCAACCACTTTTTATTTATTTTTTTATATAGCCAGGTAGGCAAATGTCTACCCCACCTGATGTTAAGTGGTGATAAAGTCCAAACGCGAAGATAGCTGGTACAGCTAATAATCTATATATATAAAACTCAAAGGTGACTGACTGACATAGTGATCTATCAACGGACCACAGTCCAAACCACTGGACGGATCGGGCTGAAATTTGGCATGCAGGTAGATGTTATGACGTAGGCATCCGCTAAGAAAGGATTTTGATCAATTCTACCCCCAAGGGGATAAAATAGGGAATGAAAGTTTGTATGAAACTCTGTCAATTTTAAACCGATCGGGCTGAGACTTTGCATGCAGGTAAAAGAAGAATCATAGATGAATGTCATTATGTATAATACAAACATGAGAACAAAAATTGTAGTCTACACTTCAGCTCTACACCGAAGCAAAGCGAGGGCGGGCGCTAGTTTCATATAATTACCTCGGAATGCACAGTGTGAAGTTCTACGGGCGCCTGTCCGGTGGCGTGGCGACGCAAGAATCTTATAGTTCTGGCTCGTCTCACGCACTCGCCCGCGCTGCCTAAATCTAAGATGCCGAGATCGAAGCGACCGCTGCGTTTCGCTACACAAAACAACATTAAATAAATTAATATTTCCAAATCTCCCGCCAATTAGCCTAGTCCTAAAGTAAGTGTTGTAGGCGACGATATTTTTTATATCTTATTCGATGTAATATTTTACTTTATTTCTGTTTGTCCAATAAAAAAAACGATGCTAATTGTTTTTTTTTTATTTACATTGCGTTAAGAAAAATATTAAGCCTTTTTTTAAATAGCATATAAATAAAGATTTCAAGTAAAATGTAGAGTAAATAGAAGCAGCGGATAATCTCACCTTGCTCCATGACCGCCGTGAGTGTGTCGGTGAAGTATTTGAACAGTCTGTTCTGTAATTCCACCGGCATTCCCAGTATCCTGTTCAGGAACTTCGACATGTTATTGTAGTCCTGAAACAAGACATTGGATATAGTAATTCTCTTGTTTTAAATATTTTACCCACACGTATTTTACGAAACTTCACTATGTCTATCAGACAGAATACAGACATATTATATATATATATATATATATATATATATATATGTGTATTTTTTTTTTTTATTTATTTATTTATTTGGACAACCAACAAGATCATACACCTTAAAAGCTAAAAGTTACACATTTGTTATAAAAGAGTTGGTGCGACCTCAATTACAGGTTGCCACGGCAAGCGTATACAATGGGAGTCGGGAGCGTAGGGCATCCCTTAGCTTAAATATTATAATTTAAATAAAGGTTTATTACAAGAAAAAGTTAATACTAAGAATCTATTTGAACATTATACGTAATTTTTTTTTTAATGCAGGTAAACTTAGATGGAATATGTCAATTTCACGATTTTTACTGATATTATTATAATCAGTAAGGAGCCTGTTAATAGGGGAAAATGAGCCTAGGTTCGTCTTGGAGCGCTTTGGTTTAAATAATGAGTATCTAGAGAGGCGCGGAAGATTATGAGAAATTGTAAAATTAACTTTTTGAAGCAATTGAGGACAATTTAAGTTGCCGTTGACTAAATTGTGAAGGAACGAAAGATTTAAAATTTTGCGGCGATTTTTAAGAGATATAAGATTAAAATGTCTTAACCGGTCCGAATAGCTTTTAAGGCTTTTACACAAATTAAATTTGTATGATAAGTGGTACAAGAACCTCTTCTGGACGCGTTCGATTTTATTGGAGTGGACCTCATAATACGGGTGCCAAACGACGCAACAGTACTCTAAAAGCGATCTGACTAGACTCTCGTATAACCTTATTACACTCGATTTGTTTTTAAAGAATTTGGTATTTCTGATAACAAATCCAACGCATTTTAATGACTTATTAACTATGTGGTCGTAGTGTTCCTTAAAATTTAATTGCTTATCAAGAATGACACCGAGGTCTCGGACGGATTCAACCTCCCGAATACATTTTCCTGATACAGTATATACTCCCGGTAACTCACTATGTTTACGAGTAAAATGAATATGACAGCATTTATCACCATTTAAAACCATATTGTTGCTCCTACACCAACATTCCAACCTATCAATATCTTCTTGAAGCAGCAATTTATCGTTGGTGTCCCTGATTGGTCTCATCAACTTTAAATCGTCCGCGTAAAGATATGGTTTGCTATTTCGGAAGCAGGATGTGACATCGTTCATAAATATGTTAAAAAATACAGGACCCAGGTGGGAACCTTGGGGCACACCTGACAAATTGGGAAAGGGGTTAGATACATAACCACTTACTACGACTTTCGACGTACGACCATGTAAGTATGACGAGCACCAATCGAGAAAAGTGCCGGCAAACCCAAACTGGGATAGTTTTTGAAGTAGACTACAATGTGGAACTTTATCAAAGGCTTTGGATAAATCCGTATATATAACATCCACTGCTATGCGCTCATCTACCAGGCGCGATATCTCATCGACAAAATCTACTAGATTAGTGCTGGTGGAGCGAGCAGCAACAAATCCATGTTGGGAGTCCGCCAGTACACTCTTAATGTGCCACGATATGTGAGGACATACCAAGGATTCTAGTAATTTACCAAACACCGATAAAATGGTAATGGGTCTGTAATTAATGGCATTATTTATGTCCCCAGATTTGTGAATTGGTACAATAAGGCCCTTCTTCCAGGCTGATGGAAACGTACCCGACGCGAGCGATGCATTGAATATATATGTGAGAGGTGGAGATAGTTGCTTAGCACAGTTGACAACAAAAATTGAAGGTATTCCATCTGCTCCAGCTCCCTTGCATCTGTCGAGAGATTCAAGACGTTTCAAAACTTGGTCTTCTGAAAAAGATAAAGAGCTCAGAGAGTGGGTGGTTTTACAACTGTTGTTAATGTTATAGTCGACTTGGGTTTTAGGGTCATCTGTGCTATATGAGGTTGAAAAGAATGCTGCGAGAGTATTACATACTTCAGGACCAGTTGAAGCCGCGATGTTGTCATATTTAATTGAAGCTGGAAACGAGACACTGTTGGTATTCTTCTGCTTTATGTAAGAAAAAAATAATTTTGGGTCGGATTTGATGGATTCTTCGATTAAATCTATATATTTATTATAGCACTTAACAATTAAGGCATCACATCTTTTTTTCAATGATTTAAAAGATAGGTTATCGAGAGGATTTTTATATTTTTTAAAACGAACGCGAAACTTGTTTTTTTCTTTAAGTAGGAATTTCAGTTCTTTGGTATACCAAACGGGAATATTGTTGGGAGAAATGGGCGAAATAGGTACAAATCTCTTGACGGCAGAGTTAAGTACCTGATAGAAACTGTCAACCATTAGATCTACCGATGCACAGGCTCCAAGCTGTTGAGACCAATCAGTGTCATCCAGAAGTTTGCGAATGCTGTCATAGTCTGCCTTGTAGAAGTTGTTTTTAGACGATTTGAGGTTGGCTTGTAACTTATGAGATGATTGGTTAAAAACAGCATTAAATTCCAACGCGGGATGATGGGAATCAATATTAACTAGGGGATCCGGTGAGGATACCAGTTCGATAATTGGTATGTTTGTAAGAATTAAGTCCAGAACTTTGTTATTTAAATTAGTTATGTAATTGAGTTGATAAAGATTGTTTAATGACATAAACTCCAATAAATTGTCCGAAGTGGAACTACTGGTATTTATTTTAGATGTTAATGGCAATCCCGGTGTACCGAGCCAGTCTACATTACTCTGATTGAAGTCTCCACAAATCATAGTCTGGTTGTATTTACTAACGACTAAATTGGCATTATTACAGAAGTGTTCAAAATGTTCCTTTGAGACAGGTGGTGAAAAATAAACCGTACATAGTAATAATTTATCAATTTTTTTATCCACTTTGATTTCAATTTCGATCCACAAATCCTCACAACCGCTTTCGTACTTTTTCATAATGCGTGATTTAATTCGTTTTGAAACCGCTACCAAGACACCACCTCCGCGCCTTTTACGTTGTAAGGGACTCGTTTCGCGATCGCGTCTAAAGACGTTGTAATTACATGTAAAAATCTCAGAGTCCATAATACTATTATCAAGCCACGTCTCGTTAAGAATAATAACGTCATAATCACATCTAGCTGAATTAAAATACAAGTCGTTCGTTTTGGTGCGCAATCCTCGAACATTTTGGAAATAAAAATTTAAATAAGAAGCGAATTTTAACTAATTATTAATTAAAGATTCATTAACATTACACAAAAAAAAAAGATAACAATTACAATCTACAACATTACAGTTTATTTAATTTCTCGAGCACTTCTTCATTACGCACAAAAATGGCTTCGGATGTTTCGGTTTTCCGTAGGTAAACTCTGCCGCCGCGGATCCAAACAAACTTATAATTTTTTTCTTTAGCTACTTTGTGCGCCGCAGCGTGAAGATGTTTATTTTCGGGCGATAGATTCTCCGTTACGTAGATAGGGGTAACTTTAGTAGATAAAATTCCAATGTGCCCGGTATTGAGCTTGTTTTCATGATTTTTCTTGTTGAATTCGATGGCGGCAGCAAGAAAACAGTCTCGGGTTCGAGGTGAGTTCAGTTTTACCAAAATCGAGCGAGGTCTGGGGCTGTCAGATTTCAATTTTGCTGTTCGAGAACAATAACTAATATCTTTCTCGTTTAGGTTAAAATTAATAGATTTACCCAGTTCTTGCACCATAATTATCAAATTTTCGGCCTTCCGTTCAGGGACGCATTGTATCTCAAGGTTAGATGAGCGGGAAAGCTGATCAAAGGTGTTCAAACGTAGCTTCAAAGAATAAATATCCGATCTCAGGGTTTCGTTTTCTTTATTTATTAGTGCAATTTTGGCGTTTGCGGCGGAAAGTTCTTTTTTCATGCAGTCGAAGCCTTCACTAATGAATTCTAAAGAATTTTTAAATTCGTTTATTTCGCTCATAATTTCAGAGAACTGTGATTTTATTGTGTTTTTGAAATCCGTCATATAATCAGCCATAAAATCCTTCATAACCCCGCGCAACTCATCGCGTATTATTTCACGTATATTATGAATACCCGCATCCGAGGCAGATGACAAATGTATACTCGGGTCACTGTCCGTCCGACTGTGTAACTTGCGGCGAGTGTTAATAAAGGTCATGTCTGCCATCCCTGTTGGCGTAGTAGGCCGAACAGGTTTGCGCGAGTTATCGCTTTTAGGCTGCTTATTAAGACATATCGGACATAGCCAATTGCTTTCATAATCTCTAGGGGCCTTCTCCAATTCGCCTTTTTTAATGTTAATGCATAACAGGTGAAATTTTTTTGAGCAGCGATTGCATTTTATAAAATTGTTATCGTCGATCGCATCAGGGCAAGCGGCGCAATTACTCATCTTATTGCGCGCCCGCGCACACACGATAAACGCCTGCCTGAGTAATTAGAGGGAGCGCGCAATTATTGATGTTGTCTCTTACCGCAGCGGTGAGGTATGCTGTCCCCGCGTTCGCTGCTATCGTCCGTGACCTTCGTAGCTATTACTTTTAAGCAATTTTTTGATGGAACCACTTGCAACCAAAACTCGCCAATAGATTAATTGATTGTTAAAGTTCTTACGGGCAACTTTCGTATACACTATCGACAAAATTTGTATTATTTTCTTGAGTTAACACTGTACACGTCCACTCCCAGCTGACACCGCGCGAATGATGATCGTATAAATACTATATTCATTGTATAATAATTGACGACCTCTGTGGCCGATACGAGCATTTGTACTCCAGTCATAGATGTTTAATATGTATTTCTACAAAAATATACTTTTATATGTACAGTATATGTATTCTATCCGTTACCCTAGTATCTCATAACACAAGCCTTATAGTGCTTACTTTGAGGCTAGGCCAATTTAATGTGTGTTGGAAATATTTATATATTTAAATTAATAAATCATGAAAGAACGATATAAACCACCCTCACCTTAATCAAGGTATAGCGGATTTAACACTCGAATCCCATCTGTAGATTTCCCGAATAATCTCCCAGTCATCCCAGTGGGCTCCAAGCTCACAGTAGTATAAGACAATTATTTTCAGTGGTGTAGTTTTTTATTCTTTTTGAGAAGCTCGATGGCGCAAGTGTACAGCGCGTTCAGCCTGCGATCGTGGAACTTCAGCAATTTTCACATAGGTCGGTTATTGGATGGGTGACCAAAACTTATATCTCCAGCTCCTCCGTGCTTCGGGAGGCACGTTAAGCCATTGGTCTAGGCTGTAGCTGCAGTCGTTACCACCCACCAATCCGCGTTGGGCCCGCGGGTCATGGTCCAATCTTCCTATTGCATGCATAGGGCAGGCGTGTGTCCCAGCAGTGGGGACATTAATTGGCTTGTAATGATGATTTCATTTTTAAGTAAATATCCTTTAGAAGAAGTAAAGGTTTGATCGAGTTCAGGCTCGCATGAAGTGTTGCTGAAACGGACCATTTTTGGTCACATACATCATCTATCTTCTGAATTGAGCTTCTCACTTATTTAACGTCTTTTCTCTTGCTGATGCTGTGATGAGTTTTGTGGTAATATATACATACATACCACTGCACACCAGTTTCAAGGCTTACTATTTTTAGGGTTCAAGGAGGCTGGGGCACTACAACGTATGATAAGAGTAGATATGGTCCCAGTACTGCACCTTGTCGAGGGACAGCACGCCGGGCGCCGCCTCGCTGTTGACGATGAGCCCGACGCCCACGAGTGCGGAGGCCACGTGTTGGAACAAGACTCGAGGCTGGGGCACTACAACGTATGATAAGAGTAGATATGGTCCCAGTACTGCACCTTGTCGAGGGACAGCACGCCGGGCGCCGCCTCGCTGTTGACGATGAGCCCGACGCCCACGAGTGCGGAGGCCACGTGTTGGAACAAGACTCGAGGCTGGGGCACTACAACGTATGATAAGAGTAGATATGGTCCCAGTACTGCACCTTGTCGAGGGACAGCACGCCGGGCGCCGCCTCGCTGTTGACGATGAGCCCGACGCCCACGAGTGCGGAGGCCACGTGTTGGAACAAGACTCGAGGCTGGGGCACTACAACGTATGATAAGAGTAGATATGGTCCCAGTACTGCACCTTGTCGAGGGACAGCACGCCGGGCGCCGCCTCGCTGTTGACGATGAGCCCGACGCCCACGAGTGCGGAGGCCACGTGTTGGAACAAGACTCGAGGCTGGGGCACTACAACGTATGATAAGAGTAGATATGGTCCCAGTACTGCACCTTGTCGAGGGACAGCACGCCGGGCGCCGCCTCGCTGTTGACGATGAGCCCGACGCCCACGAGTGCGGAGGCCACGTCTTGGAAGAAGTCGCCGGCGTAGTCCCGCGGCGGAGGCACTAAGGGAGTCTCGTACTTCATTATGGCCTTCATTACTGCCTCCAAAGCCGTACGACCTGATAGATACAGCAACAATTCAATTTGTTAAATAGATACGGTGAAAAACATATTTAAAAAAAAAACAAAAACTGACTGCAAATCAAACTTTGTAGCGACTGTGAAGTTCTTTCTTATAAACTAAACATATAAATTACTCGCAATGCAGCAAAGACTGATTTAGGTACACCCGGGATGTTACTGAATTGAAATAAATTGAAATTTGCGCAATGCTGTGCTCGCTGCTTACTTTATTTCAAAACCGCCATAATGTTTAAATTACAGACATTTTATTTAAATCTTAGGTTTTCACGCACATTAACGTCAATAAATTAAACCAGTGCATCCAACCCGTTGTTGTTTTATCATCTTCAAAGTTTTAGAAATATGAAATAATATAATGTTAATATTCAAATACTTTTTTTAAAAGTTCATTTTCAAAAATTCCTTTTTTTGCTATATAAAGCAATCGTGGTGACGCTTCACATTGTTACTGTATTCTTTCTTTCTTTTAAAACAATTTGGATTTAAAAACGCAAATGATAAAAAGTAACATAAATATTGTATTATAGATCTATCCATTGCTTTAGACACTGACCGTATTTGTTGTCGATGTTGAACTGACTAAGATCTCTCGTTTCGGTAGCTCTCCTGTCTCCGTGAGTGAGGGCCCCGAGTGATTCGAGTCGTTTGGCGACAGTGGAGGCGAATCGCCGCTCGCCGGCCAAGTCCGAGATCAGGAATATGTACTCTGGCGCGTTCACCTGGTTCGACCGGTGCGTGCGACCTGAGGAATAGGGTATTTCACAAGTTTAAGAAAACGATCTCACGTTATTGACTGATGTTTATGGACACTTTTGATTCTGTTGTGTAATTCAGTAAACAAAACTAAATAAAAAAAATCTGTTTTCAAGTTGCCGCAAAACGTTTCTCTAAACATTATGGCGTCTCACTGGTGTGTGATGTCACGCGACTATCATTAAAACTTCGAACGATACAATGTCATGTCAATTTGGACGGCAGTTTACTAGTGTGTGACGTCATTTTAGTCTTGGCCAAAACCAGGAATTTTCGGTCACGTGTCCATGGAGCAAATACATCATTTCTATTTAATTATTTTATAGGAAAAATATTAATTATTTGTTCTTTCGGATTAGTAAAGTCGCTGCTAATATTCATAATAAATACAGATGCCAACAATTGGTACATTATTTTTCATATTGTCAAAAAGCCTATTTAGCCAGTCATTAAGGTTTATTATATACATTTGTTATACGTTTGTCTAGCTTTAATTCAAGTCCGGATTTTTTGCCTGGATACATTAGAATGTGCATAATGAAAAGTAAAAAAGAATATGAAATCAATCTTTATTTTATAAATAAGAGTTCGTATCTAATGATCATTAATCATTATAAAAATCATATACATTTCTAGAATAATTTATTTTAAACTTACCGAATTGCTGTATTGCTCTGTCTGCCGACCAGGGCAACTCTAATGTTATGTGAACTCTCCGCCTTTGATTTCTCGCTCTGTACACAAAATAATTTTAACTATTATAAAATGGCTTTACTATCATGTTTTTATGTAATGGAAAAAGTAACCTGCAAATCTAAAATAAAGTCAAGGCCAAGGTTATTGTGTTACATATTCCACTTTAGTTGCACCCATAATAAATTCAATGTAAACTACAAAAGTACTTTAATTTTGCTTAAAATTCTACCTTATGTGTTATTGTAATAGGGTGATGGCGGGGTACAGCAAACGAAATTCTATTAAGTCCGTCAGTTAGATGATCAAAAAATAATGGACACGTATTTTTTCTTTGGGCAATCAACCAAAAAAATGACAAAGTTATAGCGCGTCAAAGTTTGGGAGAAGGGGCTCGTGACGTCACTTTTGAGTGAATTTTCACTTAAAAGTGTACTCAAACGTGACGTCATGCGACTTTTCAAATCAATATATCTCTGCAATGTTTATATTATGTAAAAAAAGGAAAAAATACGTGTCCAACACTTTTTGATAATCTACCTGATAAACGAAGAAAAAAAAATAGTCAGCATCCCTATTATGTTAGAAATATCATTATGAAGAAGCACGAACAATTGAACCGCGTAAGTAATAAACATCGTTTACAATATTAAAAGCTACTTTTGTACATTTATACGCAGACGTTATATAGTATAGTATACTAGCGTACCTTCGTACGCGTGGAGTTAGTTAGAAATAAAGGTTCACGGCTCGTTCCCCGTAGGTGATAGCGTGATAATATGTGGCCTATATGTTGACCCGACTTCTCAATAATATTCGTGCCAAATGTGATGGTTATCCATGGAGTACTTTTTGAGTATATCCCGGATATACATATAGATAAACAGGCTTCGGCTTCGGTATCGATTGTAGATCACACCCCAAGTATTCTTTTAAAAAAAATATTCAATGTACAGTTTTGACTTTCCTACAATTTTATAATGGTATCGATTCTGGCATGATTCTCTTAATCTAAACTTAAATTTGACAACAGTGTATCATTGTCATTCTCTATACGGAACGAAAAGGAGAGACTGATGTTAAATTTAGTTTTAAGTTTATAGAATCACGCCAGAATCGACACCATTGTGTGGTCATCATTACCGTCTGTCGGATTGCAGCGATATGCCGCTGGACGCTGCCTCGGAGATGATAGCTACGTCTTTCTCGCCGTCCATGAAGCGTTGCTTCTCCGTCAAGTTGAGGGTTTCTAGAGGAACATCAGCCTCTGACCGGCTCTCGTAGAGAATCTGTCCGTCTTCGGTTTGGATCACACGACCCTTGCGACCTGTCATCTAGACGATAAACAATAAACGTTTATGTTGGACTAATAATACTTCTTGGACAATTTAACAACAACATAATGATTTGCAAATGTTGTTACATTATACTATTAATATTGTGGAGTTTTTTTCGCTCGTTTTTCTCCGCAGCTTAAAATGCTTACTTTGGGGCTAAGCTAATTGGTGTGGATGTTGGATTTTTTATTTATTTATGCTATTTCTGGTGTCTCCGGTCCAATGGTTGGCCGGTGTCTCAGACGTTGTCTCACCTCGGCCACGTTGTCGGTGCCGCCCAGCTCGTCCACGAGTTGGTCCAGGGTGTTGGGCGGTAGCCTCCGGCCCAGTCGTTCGATGGCCGCGAGCAGTTCTTCCTTCATGCTGCAAGCTCGCTCGATGGCCGATCGAGGAGGCGGTTGACTGCGAGTCGGGCCTGAACGATACATCATTCATCTTTATTAATATATAAAGAGGTAAAGCTTGTGCATTCAGACGTTGTAGAGGGTAATATCAGGATGTAGTTAATCCGTTTTGAAAATTCTTTTACCAATAGAAAGCCACGTTATTTGTGAGTGTCATATATAATAATATGTTAGTACAAAAAAATAATCTACACCGAAGCGAGGACGAGCCACTGGTCTATGATATTTTGTATTTCATTTTAATACTTATATATTTATCAGTATATGTATTCTATCCGTTACCCTTGTCTCATAACACAAGCCTTCAGTTGCCCTTACTAAAACTTATTTGCACCACTAGTAAATCGAAATTAATTATATAACACAACATTACATAATTACAAAATCAAAATTTTAGTGTCTTTTGTCAACCTTAAGTTAACAAACAAAAATTCTTTAAACCATGAATAAACCGAACAATGCTTTACATCTCATGTGCACTCGTTTGCTTGAAACAGGGCTTTGCGACCTTACTATCGAAGCTCTCTTCCAACGTTAACAAAATGAGCTATTCCATCATCATTACCTGTATAGATATCTATCGATTCTATGAGAATAAAAACATGTGAGTGAAAAGCCAGTTTGCTAAGTGAAGTAAGGCACATGCAAACTTGAGTCAGTCGCCATATGTCATTGTTGCCATATGTATTTTTTTCCTTTTTTTTTCACCAGAAGTGATTTTTTCGCTTGTAAAAGACACCAACATCTTTAAAGAAATAATGATGTTGGTGGTTGGTTGGTGTGTGGTCTTTGACTTCATGAGTTACATAAAATTTTATAGACATTTTCAATTTTAACTAAAGTTGGCCTTTGAATGTATGTTACATACTGGCAACAATCCCAATGTCAAAGCATTTATAGTAAGCGCTGTTCGCTCTAATTTCACGATTGTTTCTGTAAAAAAATTGTGAAAAATGTGATGTGTCTATGTCGGTCGGGAAAATGAGCGTAGAAAAAAGTTTGTTGGTTGTTTAACACGTGTATTGGTGATCGACCAGCGAAAGGTAAATTCTTTGTCAACGTACTTCTAATTAAAATACCTATTTTGCATAAATAATAGTGTCGATTCTGACATGATTCTCTAAACCTAAAACTAAATTTAACAAAAGTATCTCTTTTTAATTCTGTATAGAGAATAACAAGGATACACTGTCGTTAAATTTAAGTTTAGGTTTAGAAAATCATTCCTGAATCGACACCAATGTATAGTTGAAGTAGGTTTATAAAATCAGAAACACACAATAGAATGACGACCTCCGTGGCCGAATGGTTTATACGCCGGGTTTCATGGTGTCGCCGACTCGAGAGGTCCCGGGTTCGAATCCCGGTGGGGGCAAATGTTTGTGTGATGAACACGAGCATTTGTACTCCAGTCATGGATGTATAGTATGTATTTCTATATAAATATACTTATATATGTACAGTATATATATTCTATCCGTTACCCTAGTATCCCATAACACAAGCCTTACAGTGCTTACTTTGGGGCTAGGCTAATTGGTGTGAGTGTAGGAAATATTTATTTATTATAGATAGTTCTTGCTTCGGACGCTAATTTTAGCGCACTTTGTACCAATGCCACCCCCGAAGCTTTGTCGCGCAGATATAAGATAAGATAAACATTTACTTCATAGAATATGGTATACATAATATAATGACAACATTGTTTTTTGTTCACATACTCTACCATGATAGGTGGCATGGAAATATTAAAATATAAACAAATCAGGCTAATTTTACTATGCAATAATTATCAAAACTATAACAAATAAATCTATATATTACCCCATTTCATTATTAATATCAAATGCCTTGTCAAATTAGACAAAATCATTGCAAAAACAATGCATCTCCCGCTATAATATATTTAATCAAATTCTAGTGAATGACCTTACCATAATGTAACTCATGCTATGGAAGAGTGGTTCTTTTTGGTACAGGTGCAAGAAAAAGAAAGAGCCTAACTTTATTCATGTAACTAGATGTATGGTAAAGAAACAAATCATTTTTATTATTATTTATTATTAAATATTTTTTTAATGAAAAGCATGAGAGAGACATCATCATTAGGACTCACCCAGGTATAATCCATTGGTCCCCACTGGAGTCCCAGTAAGCGCCTTGCCCGCGTGTGAAACGCTAACCGTATTGACGGGTGGGGCGGCGCTCTTCCTCTCAAACATTGTCTCAATCTTGTCCTGCGTTGAAGCAGGCTTCTTCTTCACCGCTGCCTTCTTCTTTTTAGATATCTTCTTCTTGCGACCGACCCATGGTTCTGTGGAATGAAGAGTGAATGTTAAATCAAGGAAATTAATTCGTTAAGGGCGGTTACGGTAGATTAAACGAAATAAACAAAAACACTAGAACTTTTTGGATATCTTCTTCTTGCGACCGACCCATGGTTCTATGGAATGAAGAGTGAATGCCAGATCATGGAAACTAATTTCGCGTTAAGGGCGGTTACGGTAGATTAAACGAAATTAACAAAAACACTATAACTTTATCATACTTGTCCCCTAGAAAGACCATCGCGTTACGATTATGTTTTGATCATCCTCTTCATAAATACAAAACCAGCTAAAAGCTAAAATATACGAGAAAATAGATCTTTTGGTATTCCGTTCCGTTTTTTTTATGATCTTCTTGTCTTTGATACCATTTATCATTGTAACAACAGTCAAATCACTAAAGTCGATTTCTCTTTCCAAACTGTCAGTAATACAGGGTGTGAAGTTAGGCATAAACCCAATACAGTTTGATCTCAACTTGTTCTAGTGCTGTAGTGAACACTTATTAATAATTAAGGTTAAATGAATTATTATATATATTAACCAGCTGACCCAGCGAACTTCGTACCGCCATAAAAAAATAGAAGTTGGTGGGAGAAGGGTGAAAATTTAGGGTTGTATGAATTTGTGTATAATGTATCATAAAAAAAATAAAAAAAAAAAATCTAAAATTGAAAAAAAAAATTAGGGGTGGATTACCCTTAACATTTAAGGGGATGAAAAATAGATTACATCCGATTCTCAGATCTACTGAATATGCATATAAAATTTCACGAAAATCGGTCGAGCCGTTTCGGAGGAGTTTAACCACAAACACCGCGACACGAGAATTTTATATATTAGATGTCGCTGCCAGCGTGGAAGGGGTCGGAGTCGCTGAGGTCGGAGCGTCGGAATTGTGCTCGTGGTCGAGCTCATACAGTATCATCATCATCAGGCTATTAAAGACCCCACTGCTGAGGCACAGGCCTTCCCTATGGATGGAATAGGAAGATTGGGCCATGACCCACCACGCGAGCCCAGTGCGGATTGGCGCGTGCTAACGACTGCAGATGCAGCCGGCACCAACGGCTTAACGTGCCTTCCGAAGCACGGAGGAAAACTCGAGATAGAAGCTTTTTGGTCACCCATCCTATGACCGACCACTGCGAAAGTTGCTTAACTTCAACGATCGCAGCCGAAAGCGCTAACCACCCGCGCCATCGAGCTCCTCGTCATACAGTACAGTGTGGTTTAAATAGCAGTACAGTATTACCATCGTCCGAGTCGCTGCTGGCGCGGGAGTGGTCCGAGTCACTGAGGTCGGAGCGTCGGAGTTGTGCTCGTGGAAGAGCTCATATCGTATCTCCATAGATATAGGATATAAAGGTAGACAGAGTACCCATTGCAAATATTCCAAAAATATGTGTATTTGTGCGTATCGGTTTGACAAGATACGCTTAAAAGACAGGATATGATGACACAAACTGAATAGGTTATTTTCCAATTTTTTGAAAACTGCTTATATAGGGTGAAATTGAATGTTTTAATGAAACTTCGTGAGATTGTTCGGTTACATGTATAGAGTATGCCTGATTTTTTTCGGAATTTTTGAAGTATATTTTTTTCATGTATTTATTTATAATTTGTGTATTTTTATGTCCTTTCCTCCTTTTGAGTAGTTATTCATTTTAAACAAACAAACTTACATATCCAGTGAAAAATAACTAATAAATAAGCAATTCTAAAAAATGGAAAAACATTAAAATTCCACCGCGGGTCAACGACCGACCGTGCCCGCCAGCCGTTGAGTGAGTAGGTACCTCTACACAGAGTTCAGCTGACTCCTTTGATTCCACACAATACAATAAAGTCGTCTTATGCCTTTATTGAAATAATAAGCACAAATGTCATCTTCTCTTAAGCAGAGAAAAACTTTAAAAGTTAATAATAATTTTGTCACGATTAGAAATAGGCAAATGTTAAACAAAAAGAAATACTTATTGCAGTTCAATACTTGGGTCAGAATAAAATTTATAACCAGGTATTCAAAAGTACTTACGAGACCGATGAACCTATTCATTTTTTTCACTTTAACTTCCCGTATACACTTTGTAAACACAATCAATCACTAAACCTACTTTCGTAAAGCCTTGTGGCTTTGCTGAGTATTCCATGACACTACAATAACAACACACCATATCCAACTTCTTATATTGAGGCCACAGAACAAGAACTAATCAAGGCATTATTTGCAAATCTTCTCTTGTCACAAATTTAAAAGATACGCACGCGCTGTTTATAAACTTGACACTGCGCTAGCTCACTGCGCTTTGCAGGTATTCAACGCATAGGTAGGTATTCAACCGATTCAACGGGTGGGAGCGGTCATTGCTCCCGGCCGCTCGTCTTCTGTTTTTACGTTTTTTTTAGCAGTGCTTATTAGTTGTTTTTTACTTACTCTGTATGCGTGTTTAAAAAGAATAATTATTTAGTACCCAAAATGAGGAAAGGACTTAAAATATAACAAAAAAAAAACGAAATTTTATTTTAAATCATTTTTAAAAAATCCGAAATAATTCAGAGATACTCTATATACGTAACCCAACAATCCCACAAAGTTTCATTAAAACATTCAATTTCACCCTGTATTTAAAGATTGAGACGAACTATTGACCAGAAAAAAAAAATAAAAAAAATTAATGTCTCTTCTCCGTTAAACCAATTAAAGTTGAATTAATTTTTAATGGTTTTGAATTTACCGCCAAAACGCTCGATTCGATGTCATCTACTGTGTGACGTCAACTCTGTGTATGCTATGTAATCATCTGGAGGTCAAATTATTAACTTTTTGTACGTTCGCACGTTCGGGATAAATTTATAGTATAATACTTAGCAGTTTTCAAAAATTTGGAAAATACCCTACTGTATGAACACAATTATTTTCTTAGATTCACAGAATTTCATAGAAAACTTTATCAGGTACGGCTTAACAGGACGTTGTTGGATCTTGCATTATTTCATTTCATTGGGGCAAAGGTACATCATGTTGCATCTCTTTCTACCTTGTAGGATTGTCATAAGGGCATGATATCTCTTTTCGTCGCTCTGTCAGTCTTTAAATACTTAGGCATTGTCCTAATACAACGCGATAACGCGAATGAGCGATGCGATCATCGTACGAGTCGAAACAGGTGATCGCGCGATGCATTCGCGCGACTAAAATGTTTAAAAATCTATTCGCGCGGTCTAAGTTCGCGCGAACGCGCAATCAAACCTATTAACGATGAATAGGTGTCCTAACTGAAGTTCGCGCGATGATCGCGTCGCGTCGATAGGAAGCGGGGAGAGGGGCAGGGCTAACCCGTTCCGTATTCGCGTTCCATTAGGACACCCAGTTCGCGATCACGCGATGGTCGCATCGTTTAAACGCGCGATGATCGCGTTATCGTGTTGTATTAGGACAATGCCGTAGGATTGTCATAAGGGCATGATATCTCTTTTCCTAGCTCTGTCAGTCTTTAAATACTAAGTGCATGAGTATCTCACCGTCGTCAGAGTCGCTGCCGGCGCGGAAGGGATTGGAGTCGCTGAGGTCGGAGTCGTCGGAGTTGTGGTCGTGGTCGATCTCGTCGTCGTCGTCTTCGTCGGAGCCTCTCACCCACGAGTCCGACGACGAGTTGCGTGTGCGTTTAGCCGCAGCGTTCACTTGCTGCCGGGCCGTTACTGAAACAAACGTACGTTCAATCATATAATCAACTTTTTCTCTATTTATTGAGCACTTTTTAACTGATGAAAAAACTGATTTGTTATTAGCAATATCAGAATTGGTTCTATTCATGAATTAAATAAATAAATATTTCCAACAGATACACCAATTAGCCTAGCCCCAAAGTAAGCACTATAAGGCTTGTGTTATGGGATACTAGGATAACGGATAGAATACATAAACTGTACATATATAAGTATATTTATATAGAAATACATATTAAACGTCCATGACTCACAAATGCACGTATTCAACACACAAACATCTGCCCCCACCGGGATTCGAACCCGGGACCTCTCGAGTCGGCGACACCATGAAACCCGGCGTGCAAACCACTCGGCCACGGAGGTCATCAAATAAGTGACTAAAACATCTCTATTATGGAAATCACACACTTCAAGGAATAAATTTCTGTTTGTAGATCAAATTGACCCCTGAAAAACAACATAATACCGAATAAACAACTTAGGTTTCACCATTGTGAAAATAAATGTAAAAAAGCATACCCAGATGTAACCGAATTTATATCTTAAAAATATTCAAAAAACAAAATCTAAAGAAAATATAACAAAAAAAAATCTACGCGGACCAGGCAGCAGACGGAACTCGAACCCGCACCCTTCGCTATCCGGGCGAATGTACTGACCAATTATGCTACCGCGGCCCTGATGGGCGCGTCGAAATTCCTCTAGCCATTCTTAAGCTGCAAAACAGCGCCATCTCTTCGCATTCTAGGTAACCTACAATGTCAAATGAATACTTTTACAAGTATTAAACATTTGAAAGAAGAGATAGCAATTATAGTTATAATTTCTATTTTTTAAACATGTAACTGCTTGCTTGCTTGAGTTTATTTTCCTCAGATTTAAACATCAAGCAGTTACATGCTTAAAAAATAAAAATTATAACAAAATGTAGTTATAGTTACATATAGAATTAGTGTCTTAGTACGTATACTGTTGAACTTAGTATAAGTATCTTTCACTCACGTTTCCTCTTAGAAGTGTTGGCGTCGTTGTTGGTCGGCGTAGGCGCAGGCGCAGGCGGTAAAGCGGCGAGCGTCGGTTTCCGGCCGGATTCGAGCCCCAGCAGTCGATTGATGCGGTCGCGGTCCGGCGCCGGGAAATGCTTCTCAACCAACGTTTGGAACACGCCCCTGGGAGAAATAATAAATAAATAAATTTATCTAACACATTAACAATTAGCCTAGCCCAAAAGTAAGGTTTGTGTTGTGGGTAGAGATTGGATAGTCGGATGCATATTTAAGCGCTTATTCCACCTGACTAAATTCAGACGTCCTAGTTAGGATCCTAAAAAGAATGCTGATTAGAAGCTTCTGATTACAGTTGACTAATTTAGTTACTGATTCAGTCAGTTACAAGCGCACGGCGAATTCAGTCGGAATTTTTCGTAATGGCTCCAGTCCTGTAAAAACAACAAAAAATCTGTCTTCTCATAGACCGTTGGCTCAATAAAAATAAAATAAAGTAAAAAACGAAAGTTTTGTATTGTAAATATTTGATTTAATTAAGTAGATACCTACATAATTTAGTATGGAAAAGAACAAACGACGATCAATATCGTACAACAGCACAATTGCTGTTTTTGGTTGCTTGAACTCTTCAATAACACACCCAGATATATCATTTTTTAAATTACCTGAAATATTGGAAAGGTGTCTTACCTTTATAGAATATTTTTTATATCTACTAGTACGTTATTTGTTTCTAATATTTAGGTATTTCGGTTTTTCCATCGGGTAAATATCTGGAATAATATATAAATAAGTGGTTAGGATGAAAAAAGAGACAAACGAGTAATCTACCTACACTCGCGTTAAAAACAAAACTACATAAAATACTGTAGGCTGGCGGCCCTACCGCGTGCCAACGCAGCGTTCGGTGTAGGCATTTATTTTCAAGGACAGGGCGGAGTCACAATACTGTATAGATAATATTACCGTGCCTCTGCGACTGAAGCCTCTAAACGCTTTTACACCTTCCTAAATCGCGTTCTAATTAGGATACTAAATGAATTTGGTCAGTCAGAAGCCACACTTCTTTCGATTTAGCATGCTAATTAGGATCGTAACTTCCTAAATGCTATTTCACTTGACTGAATTAGTTACTGAATGATTTAGAACGTTCTGAATTTAGACAGGTGGAATAAGCGCTTTACCTGAAGTTGAGAGGTTGGCTATAAAATGAAAAGCACATTTTTATCGAAAAAATCCCGCGTTTCCAGGAAATTCAAATCTGAGGTATACTCCGCGAGATCTAATAAACCCAGATTGACAAAAATGACAGTTGTCCTCTATGTATACATCCAGGATATCGTTAATGAACAAACAAATTTATATTCACTAATGTTTTCTTATTTACCATACCACCATTTCTCTTACACCTTACATATACACATACTCGAATCTATATATATAAAAATCCGTTTAAAAATTTATATGAGATTATATTGTGTAAAACGCGCGAGTATATTTATATAGAAATACTGATAAAGATAAGACAAACGCTCGTATTCATCACACACACATTTACAAATACATAATATTTGTTTAAATGATGTAAAAAAAAAATACCTGTTTATTTCATTGTGAAAGTCCACCAATGCCTAGTTGTGGCTAAGGCTCGTATCGTACTTTTCTCAAATAATGCGCGGACATTTAAACAAACTAAATAGCACCTAGGAACTAGAAAGGTATGTAAAAAATCCATTTACCTGCTTTTCAAAATCAATAACGAACAACAACACTCATTTTTTTTCCAATAACCAGCTTTCTATTTGCTGATCAGTACCCTCAGTACGAGTTTTACAATTACGAAAACTATGATAGTTTTCGAGAGCTCGCACTCGTACTAAGGGTACTGATTTTATTGTTTTCGTTACAATACAAATAAACAGTGTTTAAATTTAATCATTAAAAAATTTGCGTCTTCTTAAAATTTAAGTATATTTGGTTACTTTTCACCAAAATGGACATAGAAACATAATTTACAATAGGGATGATGACTATTTTTTTTTCTTCGTTTATCAGGTAGATTGTCAAAAAGTATTGGACACGTATTTTTTCTTTTTTCACAATATATGAACATTGTTGAGATATATTGATTTGAAAAGTCGCATGACGTCACGTTTGAGTACACTTATAAGTGAAAATTCACTCAAAAGTGACGTCACGAGCCCCTACTCCCAAACTTTGACGCACTATAATTTTGTCATTTTTTGGTTGATTGCCCAAAGAAAAAATATGTGGCCATTATTTTTTGATCATCTAACTGACGGACTAAATAGAATTTCGTTTACTGTACCCCGTCATCATCCCTATTACTATAGTAAAAACTATGATAGTTTTCGTGAGCTCAAACTCGTACTAAGGATACAAGTTCGAAATTTGCATCCTTGGTTACTCCTAGGTATCGCAGTAAAAGATCGTTCCATTTTTAAATTACACGTCAGATATGAGTTTCCTAGGTAATTTATTTGGTCGTTAAACTCGACAGAAGGAATTTCATACTTATTAATTAACTTATAAAACAATTAATATAACAAACTTAATTTTAAACAACAATGTTATTAAAGAAGTTGAAATTGTACTTTATTTATTTGAATGATTTTGTGTTAGTTTATTACATACTTTCATATAAAGAATTGAAATAAATACATACTTGGAACCAAATATCAAAACAGGAATAAATAGTATCGAACAACTCTATATTATAAGATTGATATATTTTATTTATCGAGCTTTATTACAAACACATTAAAATTATAAAGTCTCATACATGATACACATCAAATCGATTTGAATTTGCCGCCACAGCGCGTCGCGTGTATCCGAACGTTAGCAGCAAACCGTACTACGCGCCGGGCGGCCCTGGCAGCGGGCGTTGACCCCTCAGCCATCCCGGGCCGCCATTATGCGGAACAAACACTACGCGAGCTCAGCGCGTTATGCACATGCGCGCCTAATCCGGAAACATCGATTCAATTAAAAGACAGTACATGTTCGTCACGCAGTATATTTTGTATGGTTAGCAGGCAATTTATTCTTTCAACTGTATTTCGAAGAAATATTTGATAAATTTAATAAGAATCAAAGGGAAACAAACAATGTTCACTGAACGAAGTTTAACCGAACATTTACGAGAGATATCGGAAAATGCAAAGTTCGCCAAATTGAATTACGTGTCGAGCGAAAAATTCTCTGTGTTACTCAAATGTAAAGTGGAAGTGGATCAAAATAAATCATTTTATGACGCATTCGTTTTGCAATGGGTTAAGAAATTCTCCAAGTTTACAACGACAACATGGATCGTTAGAAACAGTTTCCCGAAGTTAAAACGAATATTATATCGGAAAGTGTACACTTGCCACCGTTCCGCGTTTAATAAAAAGAAGACAACAAACTTCATGGCTCTTAATCAGCAGTGCAAAGCTAAAATTGACTTCAAGATGAAGTTTATCAATAGAAACACCATTAAGAATGACCCGTTATTGAAAGAGGGTTTGAATATGACCATAGCTATAGAATTCCTGCACACGCACAAAGTGAGGGCCCCAGAGTCAATTAATATGTTGAAGAGCACGTCTGAAACTGATGATGTATTCTATAGATACTTCTCCATGGGATACTCAGCGACTGCGGCCAAATTATACCACGAGTTAGTCATAAGCGAACGTTACGGTGACATTCCAGAGTTCATGATGAACGCTAACATAAACCCTACTACTCGGCATATCTTGTACTTACGCGGGAAATCGAAATCTAACAATTGGGATAATCAGAGCTTCGCACAGCTGATGGATCCAAGAAAATCAGCTCTAGAAGCCACTGGCGGCTTTATTAGTTACGATATACCGGAAGTCGTGATTCTCATCACGCCGATTATGAAAAGAGTGATATTAGCATTTAAGTTGGATCATATTATCGTAGATAGCACTGATACTTCTAACTTTTTATTTGTAACGCATCTGTACATTCCTAGCAAGGCGGGAGCACTACCAATTGTTTGCATATTGCACACAGGCAAGAGTGCGGCATGCTACAGTCAAGCATTTCTCGAGGCGAAACTAGCCTTGGAAAAAATTACCAATGGGAACATAGAACCGAAAATTATAACAATTAAAGATTGTAAAGAAGTAAGAGAAGCTGTCAACGTAATCTGTTCGAGCAGTAGAGTGGTTTCATCTAAATGGTCGGTGTGCAGCCAAATATGGCGGCTCATCTGTGGCGATGATATTAAAATTGAGTTGAGGAAACGACACGGTCTTATGGAATTATTCTACAATATGGTTAGGCCGCGCGATGCAGAAGATGGACAGAAATACTACGAGCAATTAAAAGGAGAAGAATGCGTGGCCACATCTCTTATACTAAATGAGCGCGTAGAGCAATTGTGGCAAGATCGGGAGGAATGGTTGTCGGAATGTGACAGCCCTTGTATGAACCTCGTGGAGGCTTACATACGCATCACGAACGAATTCATACGTGCAAGGTGCAAGTGTTTTAATGTGTATGTAATGGTCGACGTGGTGACCAACATAATCGAAAACATACTGCGTGGTGTGTTACTAGCGCATGCGAAAAGTCTAAAAGTGTCTGAAGCATATACAAAGTTGTCGACGACGAGTAAGGAGGTATTCGATGCAAACGCCAGAAAAATTGTCGGTACTAAAGAATTCAGGGTGGAAATCAGCGGGTACAAAAACACTAAAACCGTCAAGTTCAGAACAGATACGTGGTGCTGCAACTGTCCCGTGGGTAAGTACGGCAGATTTTGTGAACATCTGTCAGCGGTTATCAATTTTCAAGAGACGGAACTGATGAAAACTACGGAATTGACTGATGAAGAAAAATGCATGTTCACTGAAATAGCAGGTGGTGAAGATGAGGCAGATAAAACTGTTAAACAGATAAAATCAGAAGTGGCTGAGAGCAGTTGTTCCGAAGACGAAGCTAGTGATAACGAGGATGATGACAACAAGAATAACTTGCCAATGGAGGTTGTAGAGGATGAACAACCCGTCTCTCCCGTGAATTTGGACGGTCATGACAATTATTTTTACTTGGAAGTCAAAACAGAGCGTTTGGATAGTAACGATCCTTTGGAAGAATATGAAAACGTGGCTACCGATCAACCGATAATAGTTGAGAACAACGTAGAAAACTTGAATGAATCAACAGTTCACAATATTAGCGACACAACTGAAGTATCTACGGTCGATTTGAAAAACCAATATGAAAGGGCTATGAAAGTGTTAAATGAAGAGTTTCGAAGACTAAATAACTTTTTTAAGAAAAATCCGAATAAGAGTAATATGGAGACGATGCAGCGACTCGCGAGAGAACTAAGCAAAATTCGACCGATAGAGAGGGTTAGTTTTGGCGATCTGCATATCACATTGAATGATCAAGAATAAATAACACAAAGTATTATAAACAGAATGAATAAGCTATGTTTTTTGTTAAAATAAAGAACAAGATAATATGTTAACTCAAATTATAGTTTGGGATTACAATATTGTATTTTTCAATAACAGTAAAATCCATAAAAAAATAAGTGATGTAGATATTCCATTTGTCCCGTCGGCGTAGATTTTTTCTAGTAATATATTATTTAAATTTAAACGCCAAGCAGTTAAATGCTTAAAACATATAACTAATGAAGATTAATTTTTTATTTTTGATAAACTAATGAGCCCAAACTTAGAATGATTATTATAAATGATATGAAATCATTATTGTCTAATCAAAGTCGCTAAAAAGGTTCCAAACTCATACAACTTAACTTCAATAATTACTTGACACGCACACAAACAAAAAAAAGTACTTTGTCAAATCAAATATCTGTAAATGAATTCGGCTATCCATTCATTGGGTAAGATAATGTTAAACGGAAATCACAACCAATCCCATGATCGGCGTGTTAATCGCATATTTTCCTCCCGCTCGATTAACCGCAGTTGGCGATCACTTTGAACTACACCTTTTTTTAACCTTATCTTAAATGAGAAAGTTTGTTACTCAGTTTCGCAAAAACTACTGAATGGATTTGGATGGAATTTGGTACGCATCTAGTTTATGACCTGGATTGAGACATAGGATACTTTTTATCCCGGAAAAATGTTAGGTTCCTGTGGGATTTTCGAAACTTAAGTTGTCGCGGACATAAGGACGGATGTATACAAATACAGTGGAAACCGGATATAACGACATTAAAGGGACAATATAACTTCGGACGTTATGTCCGGTAGTTGTTATAAGCAATATACAAAAGCAATCATATTATTGTCATATGTATGTATGTAGTATGGTTATAGATAATTAATATATGCTTGTTTTCGTATAAAATATCGAAAAAAGAAGTAATAAGTTTACTATGAAAAAATGGAAGTACCTACAGTATAATATTCTGTTTTGGTGGAACAAGTAAAATGGTTAGTCATTATATCCGATGAATATCAATATAAACTTTATCAATATAAGTCGTTTTAAGCGGTATTTCGCTATATTCAGTGTTGTTATAGGCGGTTTTTTTACTTAAGGGTTTATATAGGGTTTCGGTAGGACCATGCCAATAGGGTATTTGACAAGTTTTAGAAAACGATCTCAAGTTATTGACTAATGTTTAAGAAGTCCGTAAAAAGTGGATATTCATCATTCTGTTGTGTATTTCAGTAAAAATAACCAAATCAAAAACTACATTTTCAAGTTGCCGCGAAAAAGTTTCTCTGGACAATACGTCTTACTAGTGTATGACGTCACACGACTGTTATTAAAACGTCAAACGATACAATGTAATGTCACTTTAACCGGACGTTTACTTGCGTGTGACGTCATTTTAGGCTCCGCCAATCCCAAGCGTTTTGAGTCACGTGACAATATACAACAAAACTATTATCTTTTTCGTGGGTTTTTAGTAAAATTATGAATATGTTTTTTTGTAAAAATAGTAAAATCCCCTGCCAATATTCATTCTAAACACAGATGCTAACCATTGGCACTTTATTTTTAATACTGTCAAATACCCTATTGGTCGTAATAACCGACAAGTCGTTATAAACGATGCCGTTATATTGGGTTTTGACTGTATATCTATATGACTCACTTTGCGGTGGACACGAAGTCCGTCAGTTCTCCATCGTCTCGCTCGAGTTGGTCCAAAGTGCGAGCTTCACCGGTACTCTGTAGACCGATCACTACACATTTGCCGCACTTCACCGCCTCGCGGGCCGTCACTACGCAGTGGTTCACCTGAAACAAGAAAATTTCTTTAGTAATTCAAAATCGCCACATTGCGATTGTACTGAGCAATCCTCACATGACTTTTTTTTTGAAATATAAAATGCGACACGGAGCAACCAATACCAACTATCGGCCACGAGTTCGCTTTATCTTTATCAACCTATACCGGATGTGAGAAAAACGCTTCCGAAAAAAGATAGGGCGTAGAGTTACCAGATCTTGAAGAAAAAAAACAATGAAGAGATACTTGAAGAACTGCCACAACATGGTCTTCTATCAGCTCCATCGTTTCTATGAACCTCTGCATTCAATCTACGAAGGTCTTCAACAATATCAATAAGTTTTAATTCATACCTTAGCAGCGATACAGAGGTATTTGAAGAACCTCTGGTGCGCGGACCAAAACTGGCCCCACATGGTCTTCTTCATGCGAGATTCGGCGTCTATTAGTTCTGCTGCTTCTGTGAACCTCTGCATCGCTTCCACCCACTAAAACAATACACAATGTTAGTTAGTCTGAGCAATGATCACAAATTAAATTGATCTATATCTACACAATATGAGAGTTTGAAAAAAAAACGCAAAATAAGACAGAATTTTTTCCCAAGTACATAAATCCTCAAAATAGATAAATGACAGAATATTGCATTAGATTACGGAAACTAAGGAGCGCCCCTACCGGACGTGAAAGAATTTGAATTAGAATAATTAAAATATTTGAATATTAGTGTTATTGTAACAATATTACAAATAAAAAACGAAAATTCACTGTCTAATGTTGAATTTTATCAACCGTCCATTGAACAGTTAAACCGCAAAACGCAGAAAGAGTTTAGACAGGCAGGCGCGCCATAAAAGTTAGTTTGTGTTAGCAAATGCTCATAACTTAACCAAAACTTGGTTCTGATTGCGTTCTTGCTCGCGGCTGTGAGCGCCGATTGGTTCGACTGTTCGATGTAGCGTAGTTTGATTGGCTATCTATATATTATCTACTAGATAGTGAAGTGAGGGCGAGCCGGTGCCATCGGTTCTCGTACAATCGGTCTCTGATCAACCTTCTAACCTCTTTCTGTGTTCTGTGAGTTAAACTATATTCGTTGCACCATTTATTTAAGCAGATAGTTCTCGCGCCTGCGGCGATCCCAAGCGGTCCGAGATATCGTGTCCTTGAACGGTGTCCATGTGTGCGTTGCTCGAGCACACTTTGTATGGGGCTGTCCATTAATCACGTGATCCTCGCAAGGGGGGGGGGGGTCCATAAAAATCACGAAAAATCACAAGGGGGGGGATAATAATATAAAAGGTTGCCTGGAAGAGATCGCTTTAAGCGATAAGGGCGCCCATTGCATCACGTGTACTAGATGGTTTTGTACTTAATGTTCAATGTTTTTTTGTGGTGTACAATAGAGTTTTTGTATTGTATTGTAATATAACACGTGTATGGGCGCTTTCAATTTATGCGTTTCTTGACGTCCTGCTGCGGTGCCGAACCGGTGCGTTTGTCGTACAGCGTACGGACGATGCTTTTTTTTTCATACAAAACGCGCGGTGCGGCAACAGTCACAAAACGCGCAGTGCGGCAACAGTCCTGTTGTCGAGCGTTCGCGGTACCGGCGCCAGAAACGCATAAATTGAAAGCGCCCTATTTCCAGGGCCCGAGGATACTTTACGTTAAATAATGTTCATGCACTAGCACAAAAAAGATTTTCGCATTTCTTTCATTATTTTTATGTCAGTCAAAAACAACCTACAACCTTTCTGTCTACCTCTAAACGTTATTATTGTAATCTTTAATTTTCTATCATAAAATTAGACGATAGGTGCTTAACCTGTATTTTATAAATATTAAAAAAAAAACAAGATTATTTGTAGGTACTAAAAAATACGCGTGATACACCAGTGGCGAGGGGAGATTTCAACAATGCCAAAAAAACCTCACGTGATTGATGGACGGCCCTATGTAGATTGACTAAGTATATTTTGGTACTGACCAGAGCGACAGCTTTGTCGTAGGTCTCCTTGAAGGCATCGGAGAGAGGCACCTCCTCTATCTTGAAGGAGACGCCGTGGAAGGACAGCTGGCGTGCGATGTACATTCCACGTAGCTTCATGTCCATGGCAACGATCTCCATGGCGCCCACGCCACTATTGAAAACGAAGTATATTTAATAAATAAATATTTCCAACACTCACCGCCAATTACCGTAGCCCCAAAGTAGGCACTGTGAGGCTTGTGTTACGGGATACTAGGGTAGATCCCGGATAGAATACATATACTGTACATATATAAATATATTTATTTAGAAATACATATTAAACATTCATGATAAATCATCTGCCCCCGCCGGGATTCGAACCCGGGACCTCTCGAGTAGGCGACACTTTGAAACCCGGCGTACACACCACTCGACCACGGAGGTCGTCGAAATCCTAACAAAAAGCCTTAAGAAAAATTTACTCATATTTGCAAAATTAGACTAAAAATACAATAATGGTGTCGATTCTAAACTAAACTTAACACAAGTCTTTCCTTCTCATTCTGTATAGAAAACGACAAAGATACACTGTTGTCGAAATCCATTTTAGGTTTAGAGTCACGCCGGCGTCGACACCATTGTTAATGGAAAAACCAAACATACTAGAGTAGACGGGGTAGAGTCATTTGCCTACCTGGCTATATTAAAAAAAAATGAGCGAGCCTTACAGTAGTCGCGTATGATGTGTAACATTTGAACCCCACCTTATATTATTAAAAAAAGAAATGAAACCTACAACAACAGGAATAACCCATTTGAACATTATATTCTAAAATCAAATCAAATAGCGCGCGCTTCCCAAACTTCCTGTTACACACTTCCCTCCCACTTCACGTAATATCTCCCACAAATTGCACGAAAGCGAGAGGAAAGATGTTACACATAAAAAAAAAACTTACCGCTTCTCCACAGCGTTGATAAAATCCATGAATGTTGGGAAAGGCGTCCCTTCGCCCCATATGCCCAGGCGGACCATATACGCCATATTCCTGGGCTCAGAAGCGCCTGTAGCCGAGGCATAAACTACCCTGGCCTGGGGAAGACGCGTCTGCAGTTCTAAAGCGGTCAGACCGGTCTTGGTGGCTTTACCGGACCCTACAGGGCATAAGTTCTTCGCTTTGTGACACTCGTCGAAAACGATCTGTTTTGGTGCAGTCAAGGAATTTATATTTATGATAGATATTTATTTCGCAATCATGTTTATTTAGCTGTCATTTAGTCTTGAGCGAAGATCTGCACTGAGCTTGCGTTTTTTCCTTTCAAGATTGGATTCATCATCATCAGCCTATTAATGTCCCCTCTGCTGGGGCACAGGCCTTCCCTATGGATGGAATAGGGAGATTGGGCCATGACCCACCACGCGGGTCCAGTGCGGATTGGTGGGTGCTAACGACTGCAGATGCAGCCGGGACCAACGGCTTAACGTGCCTTCCGAAGCTCGAGATAGTAAATTTTTGGTCACCCATCCAATGACCGACCACTGCGAAAGTTGCTTAGAGCTCCGAGCTCCTCAAGCTCCTCCTGTAAGATTGAATTACATTGAAACTTTTCTTTAGAGTTGAAGTAAATAAAATATTACGAGTTCGAGTTACGCAAGTAGTAAAATTACAAAGCCAGGGCTGGCTGACTTGAATTTTTCTAATAAAGTAATGCAACTTGTGAAAATTGGACACTATGACAATGAGAAATTTACATTTTAAGAGTTCGTCTTTGTGTACTGAATTGAAGTTCACAAGACGTAAGTGTGGATATTAGTGACAGATTGATGATGAAAAGTGGTGTGTGCGTGTGGTGTATGCGTATAAAGCCTCATACCTTTCGGGTAAAACATTATTTAGGAAGGAGATACTGCGGTGTTTACACTCTAAGAAATAGCATAATACAAAGTCATTGATAAAAATATGATTTCAATAATTCGAATAATGTAATAATAATATATAATAATAATAATGTATTGTAATTTGATTTAACAAATGTTATGTCATCATCAGCCTATTAATGTCCCCACTGTTGGGGCACAGGCCTTCCCTATGGATGGAATAGGGAGATTGGACCATGACCCACCACGCGGGTCCAGTGCGGATTAGTGGGTGCTAACGACTGCAGATGCAGCCGAGACCAACGGCATAACGTGCCTTACGAAGCACGGAGTAGCTCGAGATAGTAAATTTTTGGTCACCCATCCAATGACCGATCACTGCGAAAGTTGTGTATGTTATGTATTCCACCAATATTTAGTATAATTTGTTAAAATTGAATTTAGTTTCAATTTTAAGGACACTTTAAATAAATTAATGTTATTAAAAAAAAATGCCTGCTCATATGTTGCATGTTGTGGTCACCTGAAATAGTACAGTACATTGTTTCTTGTTATGCGAAATTCTGTTTTATTCCATGTATCATTTACTAGTGATTATTAATAAATAAATAAATAAAACATAAATAAAATAATAATATAACATAAACATAACATAACATATATATAACATAATCTCCTATCTAATAGACAAGTCCGTCCGTCCGTCCGTGGTGCTGTTTCAGCGGCCCAACCGTAAGAGATAGATAAAGAGAATGTTTAAGTTATAAGTTAAGAATAGTCTGATAAGACTACAAACCGGATTTGAGTAACGCAGCACTTCCGGTTTTCGAGAAATCACGTGATTTCTATTTCAAACGAAACCACACAAAATCTCCGAAGTTCTCAATTAACTAAATACATTTTTTTTTTGGTGAACATTTGGTTCACTGGTTTACTAGTATAACATAATAAGTGTATTGTATTTTAAAAGGATACGCATCCGTCGAAGTCCTCGCCGCACCACTGCAGCAGCTGCTTGAGCCGCGTGCGGTACTTGTTGCCGGCCGCCTGCGTCTCCCCTATCAGCGCCGAATACGTGCAGAATACTACGCCCTTCTTCACGCCCCCATTCACGGCCGACGAGATCTTGGCGTATTTGAACTAAAATAGACGAGACAAAAGACAAAATAGTTAATGGACGAAGTTCAGAACACTGCAGCGAGATATTGGCGTATTTGAACTACGATAGCCGAGACAAAACAATTGCAGCTTATATAGTGACGTCTTGCGATAGTTATTGCTGGCCGTCTTCGTCTCCCCTATCAGCGCCGAATACGTGCAGAATACTACGCCCTTCTTCACGCCCCCGTTCACGGCCGACGAGATCTTGGCGTATTTGAACTACGATAGACGAGACACAAGACAAAATAGTTAATGGACGAAGTTCAGAACTGTACAGCGAGATATTAGCGTATTTGAACTAAGATTGACGAGACACGAGACAAAATAGTTAATAAAAGATCGACGTCCAAAACACTACGCCCTCCTTCACGCCCCCGTTTACCGCCGACGAGATCTTCGCGTATTTTAACTACAACAGACGAGACACAAGAGAAAATATTTAATAGACAACGTTCAATTCACTACGCCCTCCTTCACGCCCCCCACGTTTACCGCCGACGAGATCTTCGCGTATTTGGACAACGTAGACGCGACACAAATTCTATTCTATTTCTATTCTATAAGGAGAACACTTCCTTCCAACTACCACACGGGAGCCCAGATTTGAAAAAAAAACATAGCGGCGGCGTCGCGATGATAAAGAACTTCAAGATAATTTAGACGGCAAGGTAGATTTTGAAGGACGGCTGATACATTCTATGATTTAGGTCACTAAAGAATACCATACTACGATTTTCTGATCCTTCGAGCTGGATACTGACCAGAACTTAGAATACAAACAAAAGAAATGATTTTTTATCTTTAAGTAACATGCCAAACATGTAACCCCTTATTTACACCGACGTATAATACATGTATCTAGCAAATTTTATACATTTATTTATACTATATTGCAAAACAAACAACAAATGGCGGACATAATGCCATAAGGCATTCTCTACCAGTCGACCAGTAAAAGCGTGAGAAATAAAAAATAAAAATACATTTTCTTCATTTTTTTTCACACTTACTATACATGTAGTACTTGCAACTTATTGGATGAACAAAATATATGAAGTAGATTAGTGGTTTATACTTGTAAAGATACTAGTTGTCTATGCAGTGTAAATGAAATAATGTTTTAAATAGCCAGTATTCTACAAGTTTTGTGTAGAACTTATTTCTTGGTGTAAACGAGGGGTAACAGAAACAATTAATACATTTTCTTATATGTTCTTATTTAAGCAAATTATTCAGTCCATTATTATAAATTATCAAAGATTACTATTGAGATATACCAGAAAAACCTAAAAATTACTATACATTTACCAATGACACACTACCCTTAGCACGAACCATTATCGAATTCGAATAGTTTGCTAGTCCGAAACGTCATTGTCAAATTTGTATGAAAACTTGAACAGCAGCGCCATAAGCCATACCACACGAAACGAGTACGAAAAATCATTACACATTTGACAATGACATTTCGTACTTGTAAACGATACGAATTCGATATTGAGGTATAAGAATAGAGTGGGGAAGGCGGCTCTAAAGGTGTCCGACTAGTAGAAAGAGAAAGAAGATGAGAGGCCGCTAGCTATCTCTCTCTCTTGTGACGCATGGCATCCAAAGGCATCACATCGAAATAGTAAGATGCTTACGGTTGCCAATGCGCATGCGCGATTAGAGAGAGAAAGCTAGCGGTCTCTCATCTTCTTTCTCTTTCTATTAGAGGGACACTTCCACTTGTAGTAGAGTCTATATCTCCCCTACTCTAGATTCTTATACCTCTGTGATACTGGTTCATACTAAGGGTACAGTTGACAATACCTTATTGAGCGGGTAGACGGGTATCCTGTCCGCGGCAATGTCACGCAGGTCCCGCTCCGCGTCGTACTTCAGGTCGTTGGAGACGGACACCCAGATGGCGCGCTTGCGACCCTTCAGGTAGTTCTCGAAGATGATGCCGGCTATCGTGCGGCCTTTGCCGACACCGGCGCCGTCGCCTGTTATAATGCAATGTTTCATCATCATCATTAGCCTATTTATGTCCCCACTGCTGAGACACAGGCTTTCACACAGGCAGGAAGATTGGGCTATGACCCACCACGCGGGTCCAGTGCAGATTGGTGGGTGCTAACGACCGCAGATGCAGCCGGGACCAACGGCTTAATTTGCCTTCCGGAGCACTCGAGATAGTTAATTTTTGATCACCCATCCAATGACTCTGCTGCCACTAAGAAAGTTGCTTAGCTTCAACGATTGCAGCCGAAAGCGCTAAACACTTGCGCCATCGAGCTCTTCAATGATTATTTTTGTTAAAAATTAAATAGGTACTGGTTTAAATTAAATATACTCATACTTTTATAGTACAAAGCTAACACCTTTTATTTCTGTTTATTTCACTATTGAAAATGATGAGGATATATCAGTTGCTGTCAATATTAGTTTTAGGTACTGGAGAATCGTACCATAATCAGGCTCACTACATAACTTATGTCGAGTGGAGTTATTGAAATATTCCCCTAACTTTCACACTTTGACAACGTATATTAAGGAAGTGAAGGGGATGTTGCAACGCATCATTTCCAACTCACTATAATTAATTGAGTGCTTTTGTTTGGTTTATATTTGAATTTTGGTTGTTATTTTTAGTTAAATAATCAGCTAAAGAGCACTTACAATAGGACTCAGTTTAAAGCAGAAAATTGGTATTAAGTATGTAGTAACGAGCTGTAAAGTGAAAGTCTGTTTAACAGTTAAGGGTTTGTTTATTTAACAAACTTAACTGACCAATACATCACTCTACTATTATAAAGGCAAAAGTTTGTGAGTGTGTGTATGTTTTTAACTTCTTGAAGTTTATATAGCTGGAGCGATTTTAATAAAATTTGGTATGGAGTTGGACAATCTTGATTATCACATAGGTTAAGTTTTAAAGCGGGAAAATCTCCTTAATAAGCAGCGGGTAGCACCGCGGGGCACAGCTAGTACAATATACGAGAGGAAGAAAGTAATCTCCACTTTGTTGAGTTTCTGTCGGTGAGTAAACTTCCAGAGCTCCATGGGTAGGGGTTGGAGTCAAGGTGGACAGCGGCGCTAATGATATTTTATGTTATAACGTCTATATGTTATGATGACCGCTTACCATAAGCTAGTACGTCACCTTTTCATCATAAAAAAATACGTAAAAATTGTACAATAGGCGGACTTGTTATTATATCTTTTTTGGCATGAATAAATTATAATTATCATTATTGCCAATATCATTCCCTACTACCTACTGAACGATAAACACTAGATTTAAGGGGAGGCTCAGCTCGTAGGTCACGTCATCACTCACCAATCAGGAAGCCCGCGCGCGCGCCGCCGGGCAGCGTGTGCGCGTGCGCCTGCGCGGCGTACACCACCGCCTCCAGCTGCAGCGCCGACAGCAGGCCCGTCCTTATGGTCTGATCGGGGAGGCTCAGCTCGTAGGTCACGTCATCACTCACCAATCAGGAAGCCCGCGCGCGCGCCGCCGGGCAGCGTGTGCGCGTGCGCCTGCGCGGCGTACACCACCGCCTCCAGCTGCAGCGCCGACAGCAGGCCCGTCCTTATGGTCTGATCGGGGAGGCTCAGCTCGTAGGTCACGTCATCACTCACCAATCAGGAAGCCCGCGCGCGCGCCGCCGGGCAGCGTGTGCGCGTGCGCCTGCGCGGCGTACACCACCGCCTCCAGCTGCAGCGCCGACAGCAGGCCCGTCCTTATGGTCTGATCGGGGAGGCTCAGCTCGTAGGTCACGTCATCACTCACCAATCAGGAAGCCCGCGCGCGCGCCGCCGGGCAGCGTGTGCGCGTGCGCCTGCGCGGCGTACACCACCGCCTCCAGCTGCAGCGCCGACAGCAGGCCCGTCCTTATGGTCTGATCGGGGAGGCTCAGCTCGTAGGTCACGTCATCACTCACCAATCAGGAAGCCCGCGCGCGCGCCGCCGGGCAGCGTGTGCGCGTGCGCCTGCGCGGCGTACACCACCGCCTCCAGCTGCAGCGCCGACAGCAGGCCCGTCCTTATGGTCTGATCGGGGAGGCTCAGCTCGTAGGTCACGTCATCACTCACCAATCAGGAAGCCCGCGCGCGCGCCGCCGGGCAGCGTGTGCGCGTGCGCCTGCGCGGCGTACACCACCGCCTCCAGCTGCAGCGCCGACAGCAGGCCCGTCCTTATGGTCTGATCGGGGAGGCTCAGCTCGTAGGTCACGTCATCACTCACCAATCAGGAAGCCCGCGCGCGCGCCGCCGGGCAGCGTGTGCGCGTGCGCCTGCGCGGCGTACACCACCGCCTCCAGCTGCAGCGCCGACAGCAGGCCCGTCCTTATGGTCTGATCGGGGAGGCTCAGCTCGTAGGTCACGTCCACGGGCTCCACCGACGAGAGGGAAGCCGTCTCCACCACCGGGTCGGGGTGCTTGCGGCCTAGTTTCACTGTGCGCGACGATATACAATTGTGAAATACATCCTAGTAATATAGGGAAAGTTTGTTTGTTTGACGACCTCCGTGGCCGAATGGTTTGTACGCCGGGTTTCATGGTGTCGCCGACTCGAGAGGTCCCGAGTTCAAATCCCAGTGGGGGCAGATGTGTGTGTGATGAATACGAACATTTGTACTCCAGTCATGGATGTTTAATATGTATTTCTATAAAAATATACTTATATATGTACAGTATATTATGTATTCTATCCGTTACCCTAGTATCGCATAACACAAGCCTTATAGTGCTTACTTTGGGGCTAGGCTAATTGATGTGAGTGTTGGTAATATTTATTATTATTATTATTGTAACTCAATCATGGAAAAACTACTAAACGGATTTGGATAAAATTTGGTACGCATCTAGTTTATGGCATGTATAGAGACATGCTAACATGTTGTAGTGACTACATGAATCATCTCTGAAGTCATTTTTAAACTTGACGACACTGTAAATAATAAAAAGCAGCCTTTACTGAGTTTCTTGCCGGTTTTTTTCAGTACAAGGTCTCCGGTTGTAGATTTACGAACCAATGGTACCTTCCAGACATTCATGACTGATTAAATGATTTTGATGATTATTATTATAATGATACTTTTTATCCCAGAAAAATGTCACGTCACGTCACAATTTCAAATGTAAAACAATAGAAGAAGATTCTAATATAACATTTTAACTTTACGTTTAATTTCACATATAAATAAAAAACAAACTTCTTAATATCAACTCACATTTAGTAGGCATATAGTCTGCATATGTTTCCGCTACACCCATTTCTTCATCATCCACTTCCTCTTCTTCACCAGGCATCTGAAAGTATAACCATTTAGAATACCACGAAAAGCTATGCCATTATTACTTAGCAGACTATACATGATAATGAAAACAAAAACTTTCCCTTCATCATCAGTCTATTAATGTCCCACTGCTGGGGCACAGGCCTTCCCAATGGATGGAATAGAGAGATTACGCCATGATCCACCACGCGGGCCCAGTGCGGATTAGTGGGTGCTAACGACTGCAGATGCAGCCGGGACCAACGGCTTAGCGTGCCTTCCAAAGCAAGGAGGAGGGAGAGACAGTAAATCTTTGGTCACCCATCTAATGACCGACCATTGCGAAAGTAGCTGAACTTCAACGATCGCAGCCGAACGCGCTAACCACTTACGCCATCGAGCTCCTAAAACCTACAAATTCTAAAATTCGCTGTAACTCTATTGGCGACTAAATAATTTTATTCGAACTTTGCAATTGCCAAACTCCAAGGGATTCCTCACTCATTGGATAGTTATGATAAAACAAAACCATTTTTCGTGTTTCTTCGCAGGACTATAACCGAAGCACGAAAGTGGTCTAACAGCACTTAACTAAGTTAAAGTTATGATTTTATTTATTTTTTAAGCATTTAACTGCTAGATGTTTAAATCTAAAGAAAAGTTTACTAGAAAAAAATCCACGCGGACCAGGCAGCGGACGGGACTCGAACCCGCATCCTTCGCTATCCGGGCGAACGCACTGACCATTATGCTACCACGGCCCTATTAGCCGCGTCGAAATTTTCCTAGCCTTAAGCTGCAAGGCAGCGCCATCTCTTCGCATTGTAGGTAACCCACAATTAAGTTAAAGTGTTTTATAAAGAAAAATTCCACGCGGTCCAGACATCAGACGGGATTCAAACCCACACCTTCCGCAAACCGGGCGGATGGTATAATTATTATTTACTAGTGGCCCGCCCTCGCTTCGCTTCGGTGTAGAGCTGTAGTGTAAACTATACTTTTTGTTCTCAGGCTTGTGCTATAAAGAATGACTTTATTTATATAATTACACGTGTTATTGTGAGTCAACCATAAAAGATAGACATATGCTGTTGCGGGATATTTTTTAGACAATTTTATCCTTACACGCCTGAATAGCTCGCAGATTGCAGAATTTTTTCAGACTTAAATGACATTTAGCGTTATATTTTGGACAATTCACACAATATCTTTATAAATTATAGCCTATGTGTTATTCTGATCTATAAGCTACATTACTGTAAAGTTTCATTAAAATCCGTTTAGTAGTTTTTGCGTGAAAGAGGAACAAACATCCATCCATACATCCATCCAAACAAACTTTCGCCTTTATAATATTAGTAAGGATGATAATAGTAACATGACACCATAGTCACGAGTTTGTAACTACCGTTTCCGCACAAATGTCATACAACTTTTTTCAAACCATTTGCAAGAAAACAGTACCTATACCTTGAATGAAGCAAACTTCTTATAAGGAAAATGGCATTTCCAAATGGCGCCACGTGCGGGTGGTGGAAATTAGAACTACATCTTTTTAGTATTAAAGTGACAGACAGAAGTATAGATTATTAACGAGGTGTGAATGAGCAATATACAGTCAGGTGAGGACGGCTGTTAGAACTGATGTTCTACCTATTGACGACTCCTTGACGACCTCCGTGGTCGAGTGGTTTGTACGGTTTCAAGGCGTCGCCTACTCGAGAGGTACAGGGATCGAATCCCGGTGGTAGTATAGTATGTTTGTGTGATGAATACGAGTATTTGTACTTGTTATGCCATTGCGATGTACAGTAAACGCCGATGCAGCATAAACCCCGTTTCACCTGAAACACATGGATTGCGACAACGGCGGACACGAGGCGCTGAGTCAACGCAACGTGACCGCACACCACGGACCTTCGACGAACGATTCCACGCGTTACTTTGTTTCCCACATCGAACACTGTCACATCGCGTAGAATAATAATTCTAATTGTAATTTCTTTTACCTAATAAATTTAGTTTCTCGAAATTCGTTTTTTTTACATCTCCCGCTGTGCCCGGTCGTAATTGGCGCAGTCGGTAGGATATTCGAGATCGGTCTCCAACTTCATCAGAAGATTTCCGTTCCGAGCCGATCGGTGGCTATCGCGTCGCGTCCCGAATATCCGAACCTACGACGCGGGTTGCAGCGCAGCAGGCATCCAGACATTGATACCGCGGAGGTACCAATTAAAATGAAATTGTAAGTACACCTAAATCTTTTATGTGTTGCTTTCCCTAGCGTGTATTCCTTTTTTATCCTGTGTAATTTTCCCTTTTCAAAATTTTCCACCCTAGGCAGTCGGGGGCCACTACCCCTACTAATAGGTTAGACAGAAAGTAGGTTAGACGAATTTAGGAATTTGAACCCGGAATCCCAGGATTCACCACTCACATCGACTGCGCCAATTACGACCGGGCACAGCGGGAGATGTAAAAAAACGAATTTTTACAAACTAAAGGACATCGACGAAATCGGCCCTAGCATGCCCAAAAGAATATCCTTCACTATTATTTTTCTATTATTTTTTTAACTTATTAGCAATTCAACATAGTAAACGGACAATCTGTTTAAAAAAATAAAAAATAAAAGTTCTGTTACTAGATACTACAGTCTGTTCATCCAACTTGTCCTATTTGGTAAACAATCTGGGCACTCCTTTTTATTGAAGATACAGCATTAAAAATGAACTGATAACTGAATTCAATAGGTTTCAGTCTATAATAATGATTTATATTAATAGTTTATTGGCTTCGTTAATATTTTATTATTAAATGTGTGATTCTGTTAAAAAGTTGTGCCAAGATTGTTTACCTTAATAAATGCAATATAGGCGACCATAGGTATTTATCAACATAAAAATAGAACTCGGTACCTTAGTTAATAATACTTATTATTAGTATTTATATTATATTTATAAAAAGATTATTTCTGAAATTATGTAAAGATAGTTTATACTCCCATCCCATATAATATCTGTTTATTTTTATGAAAATCATAATGATAACCAGGTACATACCTAATTACCGATAGTAAAATATAGAAACAGGTAAATGGAAAGACTGAACATTTCATTTGAAAAGAAATCTATTATTACCTACTACAGGTAGGTATAGGTATCATAGGTGCCAACTGCCAACACTCATAAATCAATATGAATATAAGCATTTATTATTTTTATTATTAATTGCATTTTATGTTCATTTAATGCATATTATTTAATTGCTTACATAGAGGTAAACACCAAATCTATTCAGAATATATAAAGTGTGCATCTTTTATGATTAAGTAAAATAATTATAACCTCAAAATCTAATACATTCTGTAGTAGGCCATGGTTCCTCAAGTTGTCCGTATCTCAACAAATGCCTAATTACAGTTTATCAATGATTCCGAACACAACTAGCATTTTCTCATTGCTGGGCGTTCTAGGGCATTCAATGTATGGGGAACGAGCAATGTCCTTTATTAGGTAAAAGAAATTACAATTAGAATTATTATTCTACGCGATGTGACAGTGTTCGATGTGGGAAACAAAGTAACGCGTGGAATCGTTCGTCGAAGGTCCGTGGTGTGCGGTCACGTTGCGTTGACTCAGCGCCTCGTGTCCGCCGTTGTCGCAATCCATGTGTTTCAGGTGAAACGGGGTTTATGCTGCATCGGCGTTTACTGTACATCGCAATGGCATAACATACTCCAGACGTGGATGTTTAATATGTATTTTTATAAAAATATACTTATAAATGTTATGTTATACTTATATGTGTATCAGTATATGTATTCTATCCGTTACCCAAGCATCCCATAACACAAGCCTACAGTCCTTACTTTGTGGCTGGACTAATTCGTGTGAGTGTTGGAAATATTTATTTATTTAATAAAAGCGACTAACGCCACTTTTTACCCGCTCACGTGTTACCTACCTCCGACTACCAGGAATCCTTTACGAGGTGTAAAGGAGCTATATGCAGGCAGGTGAGGATGGCTAGTAGAACTGCTGTTCTACCTATCTTCGCGTCTGGACTCCTCCGTAGCTTAACACCAAATGGGGCGAGTAGTTTATCGGGCCTATCTAATATATAAAATTCTCGTGTCGCGGTGTTTGTGGTTAAACTCCTCCGAAACGGCTCGATCGATTTTCGTGAAATTTTATATGCATATTCAGTAGGTCTGAGAATCGGATGTAATCTATTTTTCATCCCCCTAAATGTTAAGGGTAATCCACCCCTAAATTTTTTTTTTCAATTTTAGATAATTTTTTTTTTTTTTTTTTATGATACAGCATTAGTAAATACATATAACCCTGAATTTTCAACCCTTTACAATCAACCCCTATTTTTTTATGGCGGTACGAAGTTCGCTGGGACAGCTAGTTTCTATATAAAAAAAACAACGCCTACATACCTTGTCTTGCTGCCACATGTTCCTATTGGCTGCAGCCCAGGGCGGCAGCTGCGCCTGCGCGAACTGACCCAACATTCCAGCCAGCGGGCCACCCATCCCAGACGCTAGGATCTGATTCAGATTCTGCAGCAGGTACGAGTTCATGCCGGGCATACCGACCATCTCCACTGTACGATCAGAACAACGAGAGCTTAATCTCCGAGCTCATATTTATTATGTTTTCATCAACGATATTAAATACCGTAGATACACCACGAGCGCACAAAATGTGTCCCAATCAAGAAGTGCTTGAACTCCACTCAAGCACTTCTTGGTTCACAGTCACGCGCGGACCGTTACAAAGTCAAGATGCCACAGAGCTCCGATAAAAAATTCCAAAATAATACTTAGAGTACGAAAAGTGTCGTTTTTTCGACAGATGTCTAGTCAATGTTTGTTAATTTAACGCATTTGAAGTAAATTTTGATCTAATACTTACTATAAACTGATTTAATATAAAATATTTGTGATATTCAAATGCATGGTCGATTATACGTCGCCATATAGCCGTCTCTGTTCCTCGCGGTCCATGCCTGCTGTATTGCTAACAGCGCCTTCAGAATTGCGCGTAGAGTCAAAGAACTAAGGTCTAAATTCTTCCGGATAAAGCAATGTCGTAAAATTTTACGAGCTTGCATTTCGAACTGTCAGAAGTCCTTGACGCATGCATTTTGTTTAATACCAATATTTAAATAATGCCTTATATTGATTTTGACTACGCGATCATCTTACGGAGCTCCGTGGATCGTTCAATGTACCTTTTGGACAGGTTTTGGACACGATTTTGTTCGTGTTAGTGTATCTAGGGTATTTCATATCGTTGGTTTTCACGCAAACCAGTCGTTAGATAAGACGGTTTTTGAAAGGGCATAAAGCACCATTTAGAAACTTTTTTCATTTACAAGTGTTGCCAAAAAGCAACCCCGGTTCACATTTCTCAATTTTTGCTTAAAATCAAAATCGCCAAAGTTGCTCGCGTGCGGGGGTAAAGCTCCATATTGATTGATCTCGTCAGTACCAATCACCACAGAACACAGAGAGTGGTTAGTAGGGCTTTGTTGTGTGGGCGGGGCAGGCGCGCCGCAGTTGTGTGAGCAAATGCTCATAACTTGATCAAAACTTGGTTCGGATGGCGTCGTTGCTCTCGGGTGTGAGCCCTAATTGGTTCGATTGTTTGATGTCGCGTCGTTTGATTGGCTATTATCAATAAGGTGGAAGTGTATTGGGGGCGAGTTGGCAACGTCGGTTCCCGTGGAAACGGTATATGATCACCCTTCCAACTTCTATCTGTGTTCTGTGGACATCACGATCGGATAACAATTTAGGGGCAAATTGTATGGGGGAGTGTCACACGCTAATGTTATATTACTTTCCAAGTTTGGCACAAGCGAGTACTCTTGCATGCGTCCTTAATGGTTTGCTCTGTGGGTCTTGCGCTTTATACCCATTCAAAATTCATCATATTCATATCACTCTAGCACTTCACATGTGTATTCGTATCTGGTAATAGTTAATTTGGCAGTCTCTCATTTTCATTGACTGTATAACATGATAAGGATATACTGCTGTCAAATAAATATCAAATACCATGTGAAGTGCCACCATTATTGTAAGAACTAAAGCAAATGCGAGTAAAAACATATTTTACCCTAATCTACAAACACTAGAATTTATTAACTACTGAACCGAATCGGAACCAAGGACAATACTCAACGATCTCACCATGCTAAGTTATGTTATGTTAAGCAAATTTTGTATATTATGTTAAGTACGAACTTATCTGATGTCTAATTGTACTAAAGCATTAAATATGTTTTTTTTTATTATGTTAAAGCATGTAACTAACTGCTTGATGTTTATAAATCTAAAGAAAATATAACCAGATTTTTATTTCTAGTTACATTGCATTAAATATGTGCCTGTGTAGCGGCGAGCATATCTACTATATGTAGTAGATATTTTTTGTGCCGCTTCCGTGCAGTTAATACGGTATCTATGTGTACTTATTGAAAGGGTACAAAATAGATCATAATTAGCAAATTAGATACAGAAACTATCTTTGAGAAAGAGAAATTTCACAGAGACATGCTTTTCACATTTAATATTTTCTATTCTACTGAACTAAGTAAGACATACATCTGTACCCTTAGCACCGAATTCGAAGTTTGCGAGGGCGAAATGTCACTGTCAATTGTGTACTGATTTTTAGCTTTCGTTACGTCCGTTGTGACGCTGCTGTTCAAGTTTCCATGAAAAAATGACAATGACATTTCGGACTCGCAAACTATTCGAATTCAATATTAGTTCGTACTAGGGGTACTCAATCTGAATACTTTCAAAACAGTACTACTCTTTATAAAACTAGTTCACTCGGGCGTACACACCTAAAAAAAGCACCAATACTACTCATGTTTAACTACTACGATCCATTAAAACGATAAAATACAGAAAGTTCGCATTCCACTGTCGCGTTCGTACTACGCTACTCACTCTGCGCCAACAGCGAGGCGGCGTTGTAAGCGGCGGACGAACCGGCCGCGTACGGCGACGGCGCCGCCGCTCCGACGCCCGCTACAACACGTGCCCCGTTAAGATGCGGCCAATCATAGCGCGGTTTACGCACGCAGCAGCGTATCATGTTAAAATCAACCAATCACAACGCGGACGCTGCTCAAAAGCAGTGGTTTGATTGGACAATTGTTGTGCTTTTGCTGCCCCGTGCGTTTGCCGCGTTAAAAGGTCACACATTTACGCGCTGTTTAATTATTGTGCTTCCACAGCAAAGGTACTTTTCGTAGCTTAATGTTTTGAGCAAAATTTAGTTTAATCATCAACGGATGACAAAAACTTTAAGAGTATCGATTAATATTTATAAACAGACTACATTCGATAACATGCAAAATTATTGTTGGAGATTTTTTTTAATATTATATCGGATCAGTACGACCTCAATACCTACAGCAACCAACTAGTACAAACTTTTCTGTAATTGGCCGGAGTAATCACGCAAGGACTGTTTTGACCAATGGCAGCCTCCTTATCATGTGATGACGTTTTCCACCCTTGTGTTTTATAAACGATTGTGTGATAAAGAAAGCTGACTTGTTTCCGTGAACAGAGTATAGTTAACCACCTACGGATATTGGCAGAATTTGTGACAGTCACAATATTGCCCAAGAAAAAGAAGAAGAGTATGTTACTTTGCTTAAGGCATAGGACTACTTCAAAGGATTATTGTTTATACTGTGGAAGACATATTTTCGAAAAATTTATCTTTGTTTCTTTACGTTCATTTCAATAATTGCATAATTTATGGATACTATAAGTAACATGTACAAAACAGCAAAAATCAACGGTAAAAGTTATGAAAAGTCAATTCTCGTTATGTTGTTCTACAAAAAGTATATTTGATGTGGATGCAGCTTTACCTTAATCTAACATTTATAATCTATATATGCAAATGGTCATGTTGGTGCAAATATTATTGACGCTTCACTACAAGCGTATCCAAAATGGGATGAATTATCAGAATTTTCTTTAAGAGAGTGTCGTGTTTTCACATTGCGTCGCAAGAATAAATTTATGCAATTTATCAGTGCATATATTTGTGACGTGATCACGTGAGTCATAGTAAAGCTAAGGGCTCATCGGTGGTTACTATTCCATATTAATAGTGAATTTATTACGTGGCAATAAAAGTGATATTGGCAGAGCAAGTTCAACCACCACTGTGAACGCCCTGAATAAGAGTCTTATTATAAGACACATAGGTATCATAGTTCCATACAGGAGCGGATTTACGTAGGGGCTTGGGGTCACGTCATCTCATGAAATACCGAAAAGAAGTTTGACCTGTACATATATTCCCTTCTACATTAAATGCGTGCAAGTTCGAATGCATATTATGCATAAAAGCGGAATTTAGAACAATTGGGAATCAGATGATTTTCATATTATTAAATGGGCCCCGCATCAATTTCAGCCCCGGGCCTCACCATTTCTAAATCCGCTCCTGGTCCCATACACATTTAAATTACATAAGATATCCATAGTTTATTGATTGCATAATTATTTGCGGTCATATTCAAAGTAGAAACAAAAAACGGTATAATCTGATTAAATATTAATCAATCAAATGAAAATGACATGTTGTATACAAATGACATTATCTTTATAATATATAAGCGTAAATAGTACGATGTAAAAACAGATTCTTCTGTCTAATAGGCTCTGTGTACAAGATTTACTAGGCTAATGACAAATCCTTGTCATTCCCAAGAACACATCACACTGTTTAATTTTCAGTACCCCTGGCACGAACCAATACCGAATTCGTATCGTTTGGGAGTCCGAAATGTCATTGTCAAATGTGTACTGATTTTTAGTTCTCATTACGTACTTTGCGCCGCTGCTGTTCAAATTTCCATACAAAATTTGACATTGACATTTCGGTTTGCAAACTATTCGAATTCGATAATGGTTCGTGCTAGGGGTACTGTTCCAATTTACATTTGTTTTTGACATTGATTTTGACTTTATGATATTGCTGTTATTTATTTGAACTTTTTCTTGTTGTATATCCAAAATAAATGTACAGATTTACTGGCTTACATTTAACATCACAAACGCCAAGCCACATTTAATGTCAAAGATATAATATTTAAGAACTTACCTCCTCTTCCCATTCCTCCCAAGTTAATTGGTTTTGTGATTTGACTGGCGGATATCTTGATTGGTTTAATGTTGGTCGCTTGTCCAAAAGCTACGCCAGATGGAGCTGTTAACAAACAGAAGTAATGCAAAATAGCAAGTTCAATGAAGAGCTCGATGGCGCAAGTGGTTAGCGCGTTCGGCTGCGATCGTTGTAGTTAAGCAACTTTCGCAGTGGTCGGTCATTGGATGGGTGACCAAAAATTTCTATCTCGAGTTCCTCCGTGCTTCGGAAGGCACGTTAAGCCGTTGGTCCCGGTTGCATCTGCAGTCGTTAGTACCTATTCATTTTAAGGATTTTGAACGAGCTTTTAAATTGAGCCATATACTATGACGAAATATGGAAAAAGTTTGATGGGTGAGACGACCTTTAAAAATGAAGCGGCAAGGAGAACATGCATTCGCCATCCTTAAAATGAATAGGTTTGAGACTGGCATATTGCAGGGCATCCTAGCCAACCCCCTATCGGCGGAGGCTGGTGTGCTTTGCAATATGGTAGCAAACATTTTATGTAATAATTAAGTAATTTTAAGAAAATTGTATGGTCAGGTTATGATGGGGCTGGTATGGACAGTGTAGTCCGAAAGTATCTTGAAACAAAAAAAATGATCTTTCGTCTCAGTGCTACCACCTGGCGCCCGTCATTTCGGAAAACCCTTATTTAACTTCATCCTCATCAGCCTCTTAATGTCCCCACTGCTGGGGCACAGGCCTTCCCTATGGATAGAATAGGGAGATTGTTCCATGACCCATCACGCGGGCCCAGTGCGGATTGGTGGGTGTTAACGACTGCAGATGAAGCCAGGACCAAGGACTTAGCGTGCCTTCTGAAGCACGGAGACGTGACAGCGAGAATCCATTTACCGTTGCAACATTTTATTTTTCTATATAGCCAGGTAGGCAAATGTCTCTACCCCACCTGATGTTAAGTGGTGATAAAGTTCAAACGCGAAGATAGCTGGTACAGCAGTTATAAACTGCCACACCAACCATCCTGACCATGCCGGCCTACAAAAATGCTTCTTCACGCTTCTCTTAAAGAACCCCAGATTGTAGGTTGGTTAGGTTTACCTTACCGTTTTCAAGTTATAAATTGCGCAGGTATGAAAAATCCAATAGAGCGGTTTTGGGCAGTTCAAGTACACATTTGCAGTGCACATTTCAATGTACGTTTTTACTATTTTTTTTTCAATCATGAAGTGCACTGCAAATGTGTACTTGAACTGCCCAAAACCGCTCTATTGGATTTTTCATACCTGCGCAATTTATAACTTGAAAACGGTAAGTAATACAAAAAAATTGTTTATACAAAAGTTGTTGGTAATTATGTACGAAACAACTTTGCCATTTAAAGTTTTCCATTAAAATTATATTTTCAGGGTGAAAAAGTGAAAAAACACTTTTTTGAGACTTCAGCGCCACCTACAATGCGCATTTTTTGTTGTACGAGATTGCAACATTGACATAAATTGTAGTACTCAACGCCCTCTACAATTATGGTAAAAAAAAAGTTTCTAAAATGCATACAAAATAAGAAAAATGCGTTTCAAAAAATTTTTGACGGTTTTTTTGAGTTTTTAAAAACCGCCTACGAGTTGAACATGCCCATCGCCAAGGTGGCTTACTGACGTCATTTGGCAACAGAAAAAACAAGACTTACCCTTTAGGTTTTTTTTTCAACCCTCAACCTACAGATTGACTGTACTATGATGATTTTTCTTTAAAATGTGTATGTGCTAATTAAACATACACATACAACTTATTATATGTATATTTAAATTTATCTAAGCATGCTAAAGTCGAGCTCGATGGCGCAAGTGGTTAGCGCGTTCGGCTGCGGTCGTTGAAGTTAAGCAACTTTCGCAGTCGTCGGTCATTGGATGGGTGACCAAAAATTTACTATCTCGAGCTCCTCCGTGCTTCGGAAGGCACGTTAAGCCGTTGGTCCCGACCGCATCTGCAGTCGTTAGTCGTTCTGCACCAATCCGCACTGGGCCCGCGTGGTGGGTCATGGCCCAATCTCCCTATTCCATCCATAGGGAAGGCCTGTGCCCCAGCAGTGGGGACATTAATAGGCTGATGATGATGCTAAAGTCGGATAGCCGAATTTTTGGGCGAGAGTAGAATAGCTTCGCTTATGTAAAAGCTAGAAAGTTAACTTTCTAGCTTTTACATAAGTGAAGCTAAATTACTGACTACAATACCAATTGGTATTGTAGTCAGTAATTTAGGTTCGATTTCATCGAATTGTATAAGTTTTTTGGTAATAAATATTGGTTATCGTTTGGTGATCTGACAGGAACTAGGTATTTGATCTGAGGGGGCCCCTATCGATCGCGGGACCCTGGGCACTTGCCCAAAGTGCTCACTGGGAAAGAGGGGTCTGGATCTTAGCGTGACGAAAATTGGCAGCTGTATGTAGTTCTGATGACAATACAATAATATGGTACTGTCGAACTTTTCTGATGATGTAGCCGGAAGATATGAACTGGAACTTCATGATGGAACATCGTATCATAGCTGTTTTTGGATTTCTTAGAAAAGTTATATATTGACTTGTAAATATTGAGTGTCATCATCATCATCAGCCTATTAATGTCCCCACTGCTGGGGCACAGGCCTTCTCTATGGATGGAATAGGGAGATTGGGCCATGACCCACCACGCGGGCCCAGTGCGGGTTGGTGGGTGCTAACGCCTGCAGATGCAGCCGGGACCAAAGGCTTAACGTGCCTTCCGAAGCACGGAGGAGCTCGAGGTTTTAAATTTTCGGTCACCCATCCAGTGACCGACCACTGCGAAAGTTGCTTAAATTCAACGATCGCAGCGGAACGCGCTAACCACTTGCGCCACCGAGCTCCTCAATATTGAGTGTAAATAGTGAAAATTAATAGATAGTGTATATATTGACATAGGTGCCTGTATAAAATGTATATAGACCTGTTAAAAATACCTGCATATTTTTCCAACAAACGACCAAGTAGAGAAGCACAACAATGAACTTTTAAATTTTACGAACAAAAAGGTACTCGGAATGTACGACATAAAGGCTCAAGACCAACTTTATTCGTCCCCGAAACCTTAGAAATACTTCATTGGAGACCATTATTCCCAGCGATATAAATAAAACGGGTGGAACACCGAGTAAATTAAGAATTTACAAAGGGGCTAAAATCATGTTGCAATCCAATATAGACGTGGAGAAGGAATTGCCTGTTCCAGCGCCCCACGCTTTTACAATCAAATATTATAATTAAGAGGAGCTCGATGGCGCAAGTGGTTAGCGCGTTCGGCTGCGATCGTTGAATTTAAGCAACTTTCGCAGTGGTCGGTCATTGGATGGTATTTGATGGGTGACCAAAAATCTTCTATCTCGAGTTCCTCCGTGCTTCGGAAGGCACGTTAAGCCGTTGCACGTCCGGGCTGCATCTGCAGTCGTTAGCACCTGCCAATCCGCATTGGGCCCGCGTGGTGGGTCATGGCCCTATCTCCCTATTCCATCCATAAGGAAGGCCTGTGCCCCAGCAGTGGGGACATTAATAGGCTGATGATGATGATGATGATTATAATTAAAAGCACATAGTTTACACTTCGCCGAGAAATAGAAACAACTTGAACGATCCATTTCTTTTTGGTTTTGCATATAGGATTTATAAAAGCGTGTTTTTCTAATTTTTATTCAACTTTTAATATGTGTTATTTAATGTATGTCATCGATATTTTTTTCTTCTTTTCTATATTAAATTTTGGTCACCCATCCTATAACCGACCATTGCAAAAGTTGCTTGTTAGATCAAAGACCGAACCCACTAAAACCTTGCGCCATCGAGCTCATCGTATCAGTTAAACATATAAACGTACCTGTAGGTATTTGTAAGCCGTCTGAATCAAGATTAGAGGAAATTATGTTATGCTACCATCCTCATCAGCTAATAACTCTAACAGAAAGTCGGCAGAAGGGCGCCAACACTAAGGTTGTATAATATCGTATTTTACTATATTAGGGGAGGAGTTCGATGGCGCAACTGGTTAGCGCGTTCGGCTACGACCGTTGAAGTTAAGCAACTTTCGCAGTGGTCGGTCATAGGATGGGTGACCAAAAATTTACTATCTCGAGCTCCTCCGTGCTTCGGAAGGCACGTTAAGCCGTTGGTCCCGGTTACATCTGCAGTCGTTAGCACCCACCAATCCGCACTGGGCCCGCGTGGTGGGTCATGGCCCAATCTCCCTATTCCATCCATAGGGAAGGACAGTGCCCCAGCAGTGGGGACATTAATAGGCTGATGGTGATGATACTAGGGGATCAAATACTATATTTCTATAAAAAATATAAAGTACGCGAAACTACTAAAAACTGTGTAAAAATTAAATTATTATTATTATTGTTGTTTATTGAAATTGTTAAATCTATTTTATAAAATTGAATCGTTGTGACAAAATGAAATGTGAACAAAGTATTATAATATAATTATTTAACAAGCCCTCTGGCTTGATATTTGCTATGCCCTTGCAGGGCGTCACATATTTACCTTACATAAATTAATGTACCATCATGAATGTAATGTAACATGCAATAAATAAATAAATAAACTACATTTTGCTTAAAGCAGACTATTGCCCGTACAGGCTTTCTTAAAAATAAAAACTTAATTATTAAGCAAAAATACATTGTAACACAATGTAAGTTAGCATACTCCTTCGAAACGGCCTGGCCGATTTTTATGAAATTTTATATGCATATTCCGTGGGTCAGAGAATCGGCTACTATGTATTTTTCATATCCTTAAGTGATAATGGTTGTCCACCTATAACATAATCTTCTGAAACCTACAATGCGCCTTCGCGCCAAAATTCAAACTATGTATTGGGTATTGCAACGTAATGTTCTCATATGGGTTAGGAGGAATATTATCCCAGGAAATTGATAGAACACTACGTTACACAACCCTAAAAATTTTTGGACACTATTTTTTTTTTATAATGTGTTATTAAAAATACACACAACCCTAAATTTTCTCTTCTACCACCTGCCCCTATTTTATGGCGGTACGAAGTTCGCTGGGTCAGCTAGTAAGCTGTAAACGCGATATAATTTAAATAGGTGACCTAAACCATGCTTTTTCACCACATTCGTTCTCGAGAGTACATAATCAAAATCAGATACGCTCGGCTTCCATATAATTTCTACATCAGTCTAGATATGTGGCTTCCACCCTCCTTTTTTTATATTAAGGTAGGCAAATGACTCTATCATTTGCCTACCTACCCCACCTGATGTTAAGTGGTAATAAAGTCCAAACGCGAAGATAGCTGGTACAGTAGTTATAAACTGCTACACCAATCAACCTCACCTTGCCGGCCTGCAAAATTGCTTCTTCACGCCTCTCTTAAAGGACCCCAGATTATAGGAAGGAGGGAACACTTGCGCGGGAAATAATAACCTAAGCCTGCCGTTATTGATTATAAAAACAGGACTCGCTAGCCACGAACAACTTATGCTTGAAACTGCGCGCGAATGTCAGGAAACGTAATGTCAATGTGTACGTGAAAGAATTGATACTTTGTACTGACCTAACCTATTCTCTGCTTGTGTACAGCGATTGCGTACTAAATGCTATTATCAATCCAGAATCTCCATTTTCACAGGCTTTCCCTATCAAAGTGGGTCTAATTTCACGAAGGAGTTGGAGATAGTAATTTTTGTTAATATTTACGTGATCCATCATCATCATCAGCCTATTAATGTTTCCACTGCTGCGGCACAGGCCTTCCCTATAGATGGAATAGGGAGATTGGGCCATGACCCACCACGCGGGCCCAATGCGGATTGACAGGTGCTAACGACTGCAGATGCAGCCGGGATCAACGGCTTAATGTGCCTTCCGAAGCACGGAGGAACTCGATATAGAAGATTTATGGTCACCCATCCAATGATCGACCAAAGCGAAAGTTGCTTAACTTCAACGATCACAGCCGAACGCGCTTACAGTTAGAGATAATTATATATAATTTGAGATATTTCTTGTTAATGGCAACCGATCCTTAATCACAAATTATCTAAAATCCATTGCCCCATCGTTGCTCCTCACTACATACATAATAAAATCATATCAATAAATAATAAAGTTCATACCAGCTAATGGGTTGGTGGTAGGTTTGACCGTGACTTGCACAGGGGCGGGCGTTCCCTTGCCCTTGCTGGGAGCCAGGCGTGCAGCCGCCGCCAGCGTCTTGCCCCCACCTGCGTGCAAAATTCTTGCATAAATACAGACTTCATACACTTAAAACAATAAAATAAATTAGAAAACCATGAGAGGAAATTTAACAATAAAAATCTTATATATAAATTTCTCGTGTCACAATGTTAGTAACCATATTCCTCCAAAACGGCCTGACTGATTCTTATGAAATTTTATATGCATATTCCGTGGGTCTGCGAATCGGCTACTATCTATTTTTAATATCCTTAAGTGAAAATGGTTGTCCACCTGTAACATAGTGTTCTGAAACCTACAATGTGCCTTCACGCCAAAATTCAAACTATTGGGTATTGTAACGTAGTGTTATCATATGGGTTAGGAAATTGATATAACACTACGTTACATACTCCTAAATTATTTCTGGGCCATTTTTTTTTTATTGTCTTATTAAAAACTACATACAACCCTAAATTTTCTCTTCTACCACCTGCCCCTATTTTATTGGCGGTACGAAGTTCACTGGGTCAGCTAGTTTTAATATAGATTTAAACATTAACCAGTTTGATACTTACAAAATAAAAATGTCCTATCTGCTGCCTGAACTGTGTGGATTTTTTTCTAGTAAAATTTTCTTTGGATTTAAACCTCTAGCAGTTAAATGTTACAGAAATAAAAAATATAATAAACCACGAGAGACTTGAGTGTACCTTTTTTTTCCAAATCATTGCAGTCAATTAAAATGTAGCCAGTGCATTTTTGCAAAATTAAAAAAAAAATAAGCAGGGCAGGTTTCTATTTATTCTTCTTTAATTTGTTTTTTGTAGCCAAATATAAATGTTTTGCAAACAGTAATGAAAAATTCTCATACAGGGTTCTAAAGTGGGTCTACCTTGTAATGCTGAACTTTTAATGTCATAATATTATTATGCATATCAGTGGATGACATAAACTTTTTTTTTCAGGGAATCGTTAGACATCGCTCAAATTCAAATGCATAATTGTGCTTTTTTGATTTTCACATTCTGCATAATTTTTTATGCAAAATAAAAAAATTACCAATGAGTATTATGCCGAATAAAAATCTGCCATCTTAACAATAGGCCATTGTGAATTTGCACATATAAATATGCAGCCATACAGTAATTATATTTATGTTGTGGCAAATGAATTTCAGAGCAACAAGATTCTGCCAGATGGAGGGAACCCTTTCAAAATATCGTATATTTATGATATAGGTATGTAGGTATGTTTTTTTAATTATTCTTGGAAACAAATAGCATAATAGGGATGATGACTAATTTTTTTTTTCGTTTATCAGGTAGATTATCAAAAAGTATTGGACACGTATTTTTTCTTTTTTCACATAATATTAACATTGCAGAAATATATTGATTTGAAAAGTCGCATGACGTCACGTTTGGGTACACTTTTAAGTGAAAATTCACTAAAAAGTGACGTCACAAGCCCCTACTCCCAAACTTTGACGCGCTATAACTTTGTCATTTTTTGGTTGATTGCCCAAAGCAAAAATACGCGTCCATTATATTTTGATCATCTAACTGACGGACTAAATTCGTTTACTGTACCCCGTCATCACCCCTATTAGGGCTATGAAAATATTTATATCATCAAAATAGTACATACCTGGCACTTCCAAATTATCTGGATCTTCATCATCATCAAAATCAGAATCATCATCTGATGGTGTTGGTGGACTGTCCTCATCATCTCCATATGCAGCACGTTTTGACTAAATACAATACTATGTATCAATAAAATTCTAAAGCATATAAGAAAAGGTCATTAGCGATGAGTAGCCCAAAATCGATCTGAGTCGCGTGCAATTGGAGAGGCCTATGTCCAGCAGTGGACTATGATAGGCTGTTGATGATTGATGATAAAAAGCTCCTATTGAAACTATATAATTCAGGAATCCGTGGCCCAACCTTATCTTGGTTCAAATCATATCTTCAAAATAGAAAACAAATAATCCAAATCGACACTACAGCAACAACAATGAAATAATGACTATATGTTCCGAGGAAAAGGTTTATCTTGCCCTATCCCGCAAGGCAAGAGTGTGTGGGTGTATTTTTTTTTCGTTATACATAAATGAACTACCAAACTATCATTTGATAGGGGTGAAGCACTACCAGTCCACTTTGCTGATGACATATCATTATTGCTAAAATTTCAGAAGTTAACTGATCCAAATGCACAAATAGAAAAAACTTTAGATATTATAACAACTTGGCTTGAGAACCATAACTTAGAGATTAACTATTACATTTTAAGATTTTTATAGGTGTGTAGTTTATCTTTTGTTGCTTAGCATTTCACTATAAATTGTTAAAACTTATTGTTTAAGCTGTGGATAGTTTATTTGACTGCATGTTTGTTGTTGAAAAAGTTAACTATTCCCAGTAAATCAAAACAAAAGCTATACAATTCAGATAAAACCCCACCATTAAATGTTACATTTAAATTACTTGGTATAAATGTAATGTAGTGAATGAAATCAATTTTTTTTTATAAATGTGATTATGCCCTCTAAATCTTTAAATTTGCAGTGCTCAAAAAGAGTACATAATTAAGTTGTAAGTTAATTAATTAGTTCTTAAGATAATTTTTACCGTTGATATATAGTAATTTAATAAAGAGGAAAGATTTCACTGTTTGTTTGTTTGGATTGCATAGTCATCTACATTATCACTGATGTACATAGGCCATAGAGTATTTTCAAAAAAGTTCTGGTTCTGTATGAAAGCTGTGATAATGTAACCCATCGCTTATGGTGCGGAAGTCATTAACAGTAGAGCAAAGTAATGTACTAAAGTTGTATACAGGACATCAATATCTACAAAAAAGTCTGTGGTACCATATGACTAACAGACATTTAAGTCAAAGCTAAAGGTCTTCACCCATGTAAATTTGAGGAAAAATGTTAAAGTGAGAACTTAAATGATAGGCGTATGCTGTCGCTGACTTTTTAATAGGACCTTTAAAGGAAAATAATACCACCATATATAATTTATATATAACTTTTATCATTTACTTTTTTAGCATGCAATTGAAGCTCACAAATGGAATATTTTTAACCGTTTTTGCAACATTTTACATTGATGATCCGCTCGTACTGGTCTCAGCGTAATGTTATATAGGCTTAAGCCTTCCTCAATAAATGTATTATCTAACAAAAAAAGATTTTTTAAAATCGGACTATAAGACCAGATTTGCATGTCCAAAAAAAGGTCCAACCCTACAACGAGTCTCAAAGTGCGCAACAAAATTTTTAACAATTAATTTTTCATGGAAAGTTTATAATTATAAAGAAATTCATTGTGTATAATACAAGCCTGAGAACAAAAACTATAGCCTACCTGCACTACAGCTACAGCAACAACATTTTAATTTGAATTCACTATTACTTGAAGTGTGATTAAAGTAAATTTCATTATATCTATTTATGTCACAAATACAAATCTTTAATTTATATACTGAATTACTAATATGTGTTTGGTTTTGAGAAATTTTGCAAAAAAAATACATAAATTTAATAATAAGTACAATACCAAAGACACAATTAAATAAAATTTCTGTTAAATGTGAAAAAAATGTAGCATATTGATATACCACTCTTTGTTTTACATTTCATATCTTTGCTAAGGGCAATGTTTATGATAATGTAGATATGCTACATACATAAACATATTTAATAGAAAAATGAATTTTGTAGCTAGGTACAATGGTGAAATATAAACTGCAGTTTCTACTCAACTACATCTGCATTCATACTTTATGTAACTGATAACAAGTTTTTATAATGCATTTTATAGGTACTGCAACTTGCTGCAGCATTTTTTGATAAGTCATGCCTGGGGGACATTTTAAATTTTAGAAATACATGTGGAGAAAATATTGTAAAACATATGCAGATCTGAAAATGTAAAAATAACGATTCAGCTAACATTTCCAGCATGGTAAATAATGAAGCAAACACGCTAGTACCGCGTTTCATGAATGTGCCCAACATAGGTAAAGTGCAGATGTTAAAGACATATTCTAACACTATGTCTAGAACCTTCGAAGAAAATCAATACAGCCACACCCAACTTGCATAATTAAGTCGTCGTCGACCTAAAGAACCATCTCAATTTAGCTAAAACATTGGATAAATAACACATGTGAAAACGCCATCATCAGAGGACACTTTTTTTTTTGGTTATAAAACTTGAAAACAAAGAAAAAAAAATTGTCCAACATCATTTTTAAATACAATAAATTAAAAATTCGTCTTATATTCATTATATTTACTATATAAAATGCCCAGATAAGGTTTTTACAAGCAAAAAAATCATATCCCAGCGAAGTAAAGTTCGTAAAAAAGTATCAAAACAAAAAACTATCATTACCATTTTTATAGCTGCTTCAGCACGGTCTTTGTTTCGTAGTCAGTTAACGATAAAACAAAATGTGCTTTATAATAAGATCACTTTAACGTTTCACAAACTTCATTAACTAATGAAAATCGTAATTCTTATTTCGTAATGACAAAAACCCAGACGTCCGCACGGCGGTCAATGCGTCCGCCATATTAAAAAATACGTAAAGTGCAAAGAAATTAGTTCGGATACGACGACTACGACGAGCAGAAAAATTAAGTATTGTTAGAAATAAAATCGTTGAATTCTTTGTTCTACTTATCAGAAAATAACACAAAAACTATCAAAATCATATTTAGTGTTAATAAAATACAAGCACTTTATAAACGAGTTGAAAAAAGGAAATAGTAATGGAATATTTCAAAAGAACTGTGAACATGGGTCTATAACTTCAATTACTTTTTTTTATTACTTTTTGCATATATTTAAAGATATAAACAATTATTCTTTTATTAATTAGTGATATTAAAGGCAATTCTATTTTTATTATGATAAATGTATCCGAACGTGTACACAACGTTTCATTTTTCCACTCTGTAAACTTTTATAAAATGTCAATAGAATATTATTGAAAAAACTTTAAGTTCAGTTAAAATATGGTTGAAATCATATCATAATTTAATGAGCTGTCATAAGGAGAAGAATTTATAATTTATTAACTGCTTCTAATTCACCCAAATAATTTTTAACGCGCTTAGTCGTAAATTCAGTCTATGCCTACGCTTGGAACGAAACGCAATAAAAAAATACCACCCGCCGCCGCCATATTGCGTAAATTATTGTGGAGGAATTTTCGTTCGTGCATATTTAACGCAATTTTCATTAATACTTTATTATCACCTTTTAATTTTGATTACAAAATGGATTGCCTTGTGGGTTACGGTAGTGATGATGAAACTGAACGCTATGGAGCAGGCCAGTCTTCTGTAAGTAATACTTCTGTCCTTGAGATTGCAAAATGGCCAACCTTTATTTCCAATGTTTTCAGATTTCAATTATGACCATCAACGTAATTCCAATGATTGCTTTTTAAATTTGATTTTATTTGTGTCAAATTTTACTTTTATAATAATTGTTAATCCGAAATGGTATTTTTTAATCGTTATTTTGGAAAAATGTATTGTGTTTTGTTCAGGCCTCTGATTTTGGCTTGATTCATCATTTCATTACTACCCTTTGTCATTATATTCATGCTAATACTCACGCCCTTTATACCTTGCTGGGTTAGGTTAGGCCATCAAAGAACTGTCAGCTTAAAAAAGATGCATAAAGTATTATCACGTCCAAACTTTCGGCCGCTATCGCCACTGTGTTTTGTAACAGTTGTCTAGGATTTTTTTTCCTTGATACACAACCATTTCTTGATATTTTTATTTATAATTTCACTGCAACCAGTTGTGATACAAGAACATTTATTATTTTTACACAAAGGCAATAGGGTGTACTGCTATTTGGGCTTAATAGCATTTTGGGTAGATTATCATTCCAAATAATTTACATTTCACACAAAAGCTATTGCGTAAGCTTTATAAGTAGGTAGGTATTTAGTAGATTAGAGCTGCAATCTCAATAGTGAACGGAGAAATGTTAGATTTCTTTTTATACATTTGACTAAATTATCCTTGATAAAATTAAACATCACAAAGTAGGTGATTATTTGTTAAATAATAATTTGCCATAAAAGTTTTGGTTAATGATAATTTGCTATTAATTTAACAAACTATGATAGATCCATTTTCATTTTGGAATACCTAGTACCTATTATGGTTGTGAGAGAAGAAAATAAATTCTTCTATAGCAACTATGCTTTTTGCAGTTTTCCTTGATGTGTGCTGGTTATATAAACAAAACTAAAAATTCTTCTATCACAACTGGTTACCATGTAAGAATAAAAAGTCCTCATAGACAAGTGGTTGCTAAATGCAGTTGCAATGGCGGCCGAAAGCACCCCCCATAGCTGCGTAATAATACCTGATTTGACATATTGTGCTGATTATGACCACATATAAGTGCTAGGGTGGTAGCCAACTCATAGCTTGCAATACAAAGTTAATTAAGATCTGTTTTTCTTTCACTCTCAGGTGTTAGTACCTATGGGGTGGTTCAACTGTTGTTAAATTATAACTTTTGAATTGTTTTAAAAACATGTTTTTGATGTCCTAGACACAATGTCTGGTGAAGATCTTCCTTTTTAGAAAACCTCATAGATTTTCATTGTTTATTTTGATTTCTTTGCCATACATTGTTTTATAGGGCTGTAACAAGAAGTATTTGATATTAATCTCGTTCTCTGCTTGACAATAGACTGGTATTCTAGGTGGGGGGCACGAGAAGCCGACGCGAAGACGACACAAACTATGAGGAAGTCAACATGGACATGAGTGAGGTAATTACTTATAGTTAATAACACCTCTAAAAAAAACAACCCTCTTAATTACATTTAGTATATAATATCTGTGTTTTCAATATGTTCTGCCTTTTGCGGTTCTATTTTTAAACAATTTAGTAATTACTCTCCAGAATAATGAAAAACAAACTTAGATCTTTAACTAAGAAAAATTGCGCTGTTTTCAACGATGATATTAACACTTTTATTATTTTATATGTTACCCATTTATAAATTGACACAAAACAAAAGTCAAATACCCCCCACGACTACGCCATGGCCCCGTCGAGGTGACTGTCTGAGCGCGCTCTACACTTGACACTCTTGCATCGCACACGTAAGTACTTAGTTTAACAGGCAGATATTGATTGGATATATTTCGTTCATAAATGAAATAAATATCCCGACCTAATGGGAGAGTATCGTTAAAATAATTGTGCTTAAGTACTTTTAATTACCATGATTATTATGGGTAAATAATTGCAAGTTAATATATAACATACTTATTGTTATGACTAAGTAATAAGTACAGTAGATAAAAGTTTAGGTGGTGCTGGTCTAATTAACCGAAAGAAGATTACAATAATATTTTATTTAAATGAAGGTGTGGTTTGTATAATACATATTAGAAAAAATAAGTTTTAGATGAAATTAAAAGCTTAGTTTCTGTTAAAATAGATATCACACTTACTTATTTACAAATGTATCTTATTCATAAGAAGTGGCTTAGAAAACAGCATTAATATTATTCTATGGGCTTATTGAAAATTTCATTGAGGTTGTGATATTTATAAATATTGTTTATTACTCCGATCTGCTGAATAATAGATGTATAATCTATGTTGAACCAAAAAAAATGCGGGTAATTAATTTCTAATAATGAGAAATACCATTTGACTGCTATTACATTTTAATGACAAGTTCTTAATCATTAAGACTTAATGAGCTTTTGTAAATATGTTTTGGCAGGGTTAATTTATAACCTTTTATGTAATAGTAGGTTATTTCCTGATATTATTGTTACTTTTTTCTAGGCATATAGGGCTAAGATCTCACGAAGCGGTTTTTACCTGCACCTGCTGTTTATTTCGAAGTTCACGAGAGCCGCACGCGCCCGCAACGGGTACCGTAAACAATCGCGCAACCATGTGATTCACCCACTGCAGCGCGCTACGTTGCGTAGCGCGTGAACGCAGATTTAAAATATAGAAATCCTGCGACCTATCAGACACTATAATGCGATTCAACTAAGAATGCTGTCAATTCAAACCAAATAGGTAGAGTGAGCAAAAAAATGTTGCTGTTTATTTTTATTTAATAAAACTTATTTACTAAAATTAAGTGAGAAAAAGCATGAGATTTTTTTAATAATATTTATTTACTAAGGTTGAGAAAGAACACAACCGATTTTTAATAGTATTTCTTTATTAAGACTGTGTGAAAAAAAAACATTAACCAGAATCTAGCTCTACAATTTCGCTCATCTCTGCATTACCACCGGAGAAGTTATGAATAATCATGCAGGTCACATACGAACATGCATCCTATATGTAAACGAAAGTTTTAAATCGAGATTTTGAACGCAACATAAAGTGACATTTGGTTGACGATTTATGTTATCAACCATTCATAGCCAAAGCTCAATAAATGAAAAAAAAACAACTAATATTATTTATCAACATTTGTTATTGTTTGTTTAAAAATGTTTAATTTTTATTCTAGAATCAGCCGAGTGCTAAAAAAGTGTACCGAGATTTTTTTGCAAACCGTACTTTTCAAGCGACATTTGACAGATGGAGGTCATTGGCTTTCCTATTCTTATTTGAATCGCATTATAGAAATCCTGCGACCTATCAGACACTACTGACCAAGAGTCGGCGCGTAGACTCCTCGCGCGCGTGTTTAAACGGATTCGCCCTCTGGCAACGCGTCCCGTCGCGTAGCACAGATCACGCGCGCTGCAGTGGATGAATCGCCTTAACGGGCGTAAATCACGTCGTAAATTTTTCAATTTACATTTTCACATTACACGAGTTGCGGTCTCGCAGCCCGTGGCGGGCGCGGGTAAAAACCGCTCCGCGAGTTGTTACCATAAGAATACAACAGAATAACAAAACTTTTTCTTGATAGTCTTGTGACTATGAAGAAAACTGTTATAGCACTTCATAAGCTGTATTAAACTGATTTGTATATAATACAAAATTATTATATAAAGCCTCGACGACACGGGGCGAGTTTACAAGCTACAAGCCAGCGAGTTCGCTAGTAGCTTATAAACTCGCCCCGTATCATCGAGTAGCAGATGGTAAAAAAGCTGATGACACGGGGCGAGTTTACAAGCTACAAGCCAGCGAGTTTGCTAGTAGCTTATAAACTCGCCCCCTATCATCGAGTAGTAGCTTATAAACTCGCCCCCTATCATAGAGTAGCAGATGAGTTCACAAGCTGCGAGCAAACTCGCTGGCTTATAGCTTGTAAACTCGCCCCGTGTCATCGAGGCTTAATGAAAGTTGTAACAAAACATTTATTATCTGTTAGTAGTGTCTGCTATGTCTTAGTGTTTGTTTTCTGTGATATGTAGGGCACGCGTACCTTGTCGCAGGAATCCCAGGAGTCCGAGCCGGAGCTGCCGCAGGCGGAGCCCGCGCCCTCGTCGCATTCCTCGCGCGAGGACCATAGAGGATCGGGTATGTTGCACGAATCGTTTATTTATTTATTTATCAATAAGTGTTGCCGCACACGGGCCACACGCCACAGCCACAAACTCCACCACGAGAAGCTAGAAGCGGCTTCTAAAGTGACTGAAGCGCGCGATAGCGACCGACTAAGGTTAGGGAGAGAGGAGTGGGGAATCGCGCGAGTGACGTGTGGCGGCGTTTTGTATCGGCGCATTAAGTGGCCGGTGCGCGCCACAAGAAGCGAGCAACGACCATTTGTAGCGTGTGGCGAGTCCATGTAAAATGTATAAAAACTACAATAAATATGCCGGTGGCGGCGTTTTGTGGTTGTGGTCGGTGGCCCGTATGCGGCGACAATAAAGGTTACCAATATAAGTTACAGCAGATATTAGGTAAAATGTTAATAAAACTAAATTACTTATAGTTAATTACACTAACAATCAAAGTACCTACAGCATGCGTTCGATCGCGGATCATTGCTGTAAAATGTTGCAAAACCGGCTAAAAATATTCCATTTGTGAGCTTCCGTTGCGTGCGCTGCGTAAACGATTACATTTATACAAAAATCATAATTATGGCGGAATTATTGCCCTTTAAAAGTTCTTTAAAAAAGTCAGCGTCATGCAGCATATGCCCATCTTTTAAGTTTGGCTCACTGTAACCTTTTTCCTCAAATTAACGCGGGAGACACCACAGGAGCCCTTTAGTTGTGACATAACTGTAATAGTTAGACACTGTCACATATGCAAAAAAAAATTTTTTCAGTATGAGCGTTTAAAACTTTAATATCCCAAAACATACAATATTTAAAGATTTTTACGTGATGAAAAGCTTATACAGCTTAGCTATTCATCTAAAAAAAATAAAAAAAAAATTGTATGTTTTGGGATGTTAAAGTTTTAAACGCTTCTCCTGAAAAAATGATTTTTTTGCATAACTGACAGTGTCGCACCGGAGGTGCGATATGGTATCGCGGACTTTTTTGTAGATATTTAAATGTCCCCTATATAACTTTAGATATAAGGATATATTTGGGTATTTTTTTTTTCACGGAACCCTAACTTTTTTGAAATATTCTATAGCCTATGTAAATCGGGGATAATGTAGGATTCTAAACGTCAAAGAATTTTCCAAATTGGTCCAAGTTGTTTCGGAGCCTACCTACTGCCCTTGTTTCAATACAAACAATCAAATCTTTCCTCTTTATAATATTAATTATAGATATAAGCACTTGCAAAGATTAGCGGTTATACCGCATCATCCCCTACTCAGGGGATCCATCCAAATTTATTTTGTCCTCTATCGTCTTAAGTCCCTCGTATGAGCTGGTCTTTATTGACAAAATTAGTTTTGGTTCAGAGAATCTGGCCTACTATTGAATCACTATTGAGATACGACAGGATTTATTGGCGCCACTTGTTAATAATATTATTGCCCTCAACAGTGGCTCGATGGTGCAAATAGTTAACGCATTAGGCTGCGATTGTTGAAGTTAAGAAACTTTCGCAGTGGTCGGTCATTGGATGGGTGACCTAAAATTTACTAGAGTCTCGAACTCCTTCGTGCTGCGAAAGGCACGGCTTAAGCCGTTGGTCCCGGCTGTATCTGCATTCGTTAGCAGACACCAATTCGCACTGGGCCGGGTGGTGGGTGATGGGCCGATCTACCTATTCCATCCATAGGGAAGGCGTGTGCCCCAGCAGTGGGGACATTGATAGGCTGATGATGATGATTGCCCTCAGACGATGGTCGAGATCGCGACCGGCGCAGACGCGACCGGCGACGAGAGTCCCCGCAGCGCGCCCGCGGCGACCGGGAGCGCCGAGACGAGCGGTACACCAGGTATGTTATATATATATATATAAATCTCAATCTGCACTTGGCCGTCAAATTAACCCCCCTTCAGATTAGTGTGGTCTGGAGCAGTGGTGGGCAAACTTTAGAATGGCGGGCCACAAAATTTATGAAATTCTTAAGGAGGGCCATAGGTATCAAAAATTGTCAATTTCAATTAAAGAAAACATTGTGGATCGGTCAATGACAAAGAAGATTAAGTTGGTAATAATCACTTAAACTTCTACGCGACCTTTTTTCACTACAATTTACACTAGATATTTTAAATATCTAAGCTATATGGCCAGTTGGGTTTCAAATATTGACATATGACTAACAGTCATATGTTGCCTGTGCCCCAGCAGAGGGGACATTAATAGGCGGGTGATAAAACAAAAATAATACTACTTTATAATTACGTGGACAAATCCTGAACATATTTGGATAAATGCATATAGTTTTTGACAGATTAAGACGTAGGATACTTTTAATATATAAATTGTAAGGTTCCTGTGGGATTCTAAGAAAGCTAAAGTTGACGCGGACGAAATGGAAAGAGCAAGTCGGGCAATTACCTGACCTTCGTATTACCAAATTTTCTAATTTCGCTAAACGTCATACACGCTTCTGCGTGTATGACGTTTCTATTACTTCTAAACATCATAGAGTCCATTTCTCTTTGATAATCTAACTGATAGATGAAGTAAGAAAAGTTTGTCATCATCCCTACTGACTTAGTGTAAATCTACTCTTACGAGATGTTACGTTTTATCTTAGATTAAAAGAAAAAGGGTAGATATGGTACGCTCATATTTGCATCAAACGAAAACTGATCCCACGGCAGCGCGAACGGGACGGCGAGATCCGCGTCACTGCATTACCGACCAGAGCGAAACAGCACGTTAAGTTTCAACGGCAGCGCGAACGAGACGGCGATATCCGCGTCACTGCATTACCGACCCGAACGAAACAGCACGTTAAATTTCAACGGCAGCGCGAACGGGACGGCGAGATCCGCGTCACTGCATTACCGACCAGAGCGAAACAGCACGTTAAGTTTCAACGGCAGCGCGAACGAGACGGCGATATCCGCGTCACTGCATTACCGACCCGAACGAAACAGCACGTTAAATTTCAACGGCAGCGCGAACGGGACGGCGAGATCCGCGTCACTGCATTACCGACCAGAGCGAAACAGCACGTTAAGTTTCAACGGCAGCGCGAACGAGCCGGCGATATCCGCGTCACTGCATTACCGACCCGAACGAAACAGCACGTTAAATTTCAACGGCAGCGCGAACGGGACGGCGAGATCCGCGTCACTGCACTACCAACCAATCACGCGACCAGTACTCGACGTCACTACCGAATAAGATTCAAAACAAACAGCAATTTTTATGAAAAAATATATTTTATAGTGCTTACGAATGGAAAGTGATGCCGTGGGTTTTATTTTTAGTTCTTGAGCAATTTGAGCACTTTTCAAAAACACACTTAGGCATTAGTTTATCATATAAACACAAAATATTAGCAATATTTCTTTTTGGCGTTCACATGTACGTCGTTTGCATGTCAAGTTGTGACTAAAGCGATTAGGGTCGTGGACCACAATTTATGCGGATCACTTTTGTGAGGCTAGTGCCGTATCTACCCTTATTGTTTTAATCTAAGCGTTTTATTGTACCACTAGTACGACGACCTCCGTGGCCGAGTGGTTTGTACGCCGGGTTTCATGGCGTCGCCGACTCGAGAGGTCCCGGGTTCGAATCCCGGTGCGGGCAGATGTTTGTGTGATGAACACGAGCAATTTGTACTTCAGTCATGGATGTTTAATATGTATTTCTATATAAATATACTTATATATGTAAAGTATATGTATTCTATCCGTTACCCTAGTATCTCATAACACAAGCCTTATAGTGCTTACTTTGGGGCTAGGCTAATTGGTGTGAGTGTTGGAAATATTTATTTATTTACTATAGGACGGACCGCAGTGATCGCGGTCGCGGATTGGGCAGCGGTGGGGAAGGGAGCTCCCGGCGCGGCCTGCTGGGAGACCGCCCCGACGACAGGCATGCGGACAACAAGGTAATTACACGTGTTGGTTTTTGCAAATGTTTCATAGAGTTGCTTAAGAGCCCTTTTACAAAATTGCGCCGCTGCCGTACTGATCGGCGCGTAGCACTAGTATATATTGCATTTTACGGGTGATGTTTCGAGTCTTATAAAATAATTATTAATAAACTAATTGAAGTTATACTTCTTTAGCCGCGTTATGAAAAAATTATGAGAGTGAAATTTTACGATGCGCGCGCATCACTGTAACATAAAAGTAACATAATGAAGTTACAAAAAAAGAAAAATAGCATTTGTAAATATTCTACATTAACTTTCAATAGGAAGAATAAATCTACGGTTTACTTCTATTGGAAATAAAAAAAATCCAAGGGGGGTAAATGAGGCGCTCAAAAATCACGATTGTTTGCAAAAAATGTAAAAGGGCTCTTAAGACGATTTGCGGAAAATTGATCGAAAACAATTCATCGAATTACAATTCTTCGAACACAATTCATCGAAAAAACAATTCGTCGAAAAACAATTCTTCGAACGGTAATTCCAAAAAAAAAATGAAAATTTAGCAGGAGGGAGGCTAAAACGAGGTGGGGAAAGGGGAAAAAGTATGAAAAAAAAAACGTTGCACGTACAAAAGTGTCGTTTCTGGCGCTTCGCCGGCCGCTGCCGCGGCACGCTCGCTCCGCTCGCTCGGCTTGCGCGTTTTTGGTCATCATACTAACCTGATCTAACCTAATGAACTCTTTAGGCTTTATTCATTGCGGGGGGCTTCGCCCCCCGAGCCCCCCTTGCGGGGGCTGCGCCCCCCCGCCCCACTTCGGTTCTGTCACTAATAATATGAAATATAAAAAGCATGAAATTCTACACATTAATTTATTTTGTATACATGTTTTATGGCATTAATTGTTTCTAAAAACGCGTCTTTTTTATATTTAATTATGTTTCTGCGCCACAAATATTCTACAGTCGAATCTGCAAAATCGTGCGGATGGTTATAATTATCTTTTCTGAAATATCTTTTGACAGCCCTCCACTGGGACTCGATCCTCTGCGTGTGAGTACCGTCTGGGGCAATAAATGGGTTGTCTGGATCAGAATGGTTTACTTTTTTGTTTTTCGGGGAATTACCGTTCGAAGCATTGTTGTTCGACGAATTATTTTTTCGATGAATTGTGTTTGAAGAATTGTAATTCGATGAATTGTTTTCGATGATTTTTCCGGTGAGGTCTTAAGACCTACACAATCGATATATAATAGAAATAGTGTAAGTTTTTTCCTTTTTTTTGAACAACCTGGTTCCGAGCTGAGTACAGGTTTTTTTTAATTCAATGAATGCAGTTGTTTTTCTTATTAACCTACTACCTACCTAAGAACCTAAGAACAGATCTCGATTTAAATGAGACCCTGTATAGGTTGAAGGATTCAAAATTCTGAGTTTTGCTTTACTACTTTGAAGTTGTTTATTCTTCTAGCTAGTTGTTTACACAATGAATGTTCCTGGCAGACTACAATTTGCCTTACAATTGTTTGTCTTATATACTAATTTGGCCCCGGTTATCCTGGACCGTCGACCAACTACAGCGCTGACTTTAATGCGCGTCCCTTAAAAGGTACGCCTTTTGATTGGCTACTATCCCCCCGTCGCACAATGCCAGAAGAACCGACAAGAAACACAGCAAGGCCGGTTTTTAGGGACGCAATATTGGTCCTCTCTGGCTATTTTGATATTGAAGAATTACGAATGCCATGTTTCTACTTCATCTACCATCAAAATTTGTGAGATCCATGTTATGCCAAGTCGGTTAATTTATTCAGTCCCTACTTAAGGAACCTTCTGTCTTGAGTTATTACGAAATTAGCTTACCTAACAACATCTTATACTGACCATATCCAATATTAAAATTTTTGCATGTTTTGAATAAATAAATTGACTTGGCAATCGCACTCAACAATCTAATTTAATATAATATGTGAGATACATTGTTTCATACGTAAATGACATCGAAATTTCGATATTTTTGGTATTTTCGATATTGAATGTTATTGCAAGGCTGTTGATTATATATTAATAAGTTATTAATTTCAAAATTAAACGTTAGTTTCCAATCATATTGCTTCGAAAAAAAACAACTTTTATGTAATCGTTTCCCAAACCGAAGCAAAATAACGACAGGAATTCTTATTATTACCCTACATTGCCACGTATTGACCCCTCAACTGACGATTACCATTGAGTACCTACCAAACCATAGACCACGTGAATACGCTGTGGCAGGAGGGTGGCAGGTTATACACAAGTCCGAAGAGTATCTTTGCTTGGTGATCTTAGACTATGAGAAAGCTTTCGATTCGGATGAGACCTGGGCGGTGTTACAATCTGTCCAAAGGTGCCAAGTAGACTAAACAGATAACGATGTGTTATCTTTGGTACCTTTACTTAAACGCCACTATGTTAGTTCGATTAAAAACCAGAGCTCAAACCATTTCCAACTGCAGCAAAGCTTGAGACAGGGAGAGTTAATATCTTCGAAATTGTTCTCAGTTGCGTTGGAGGATATGTTTACGTTGAACAATATCTTCCAGTATTTTGTTTCGTCTGTGCGAACCAAGTATTGATTTGTTCATGTGATATTGTTAAAGCAGGTGCCAGCGCTGATGGATCTGAAGCCGTTTGGCGGGGAACCCCCGCCGGGCATAGACTCGCGACGCTCGCAGGACGCAAGAGATGCAGTCTCCCCGAGGTACGTACACTGGGATAATAGAATATTTGACAAGTTCTAGAAAACGATCTCTCTCTCTCATATAATAATGTTTATGGAGCCCATAAAAAGGACATTCATCATTCTGTTGCGTATTTCATAAAAAAACTAAATCAAAAATTCCGTTTATTAAGTTGCCGCGAGAACGTTTCTCTGGACATTATAGAGTCTCACTAGTACGTAGAGATGGGCGTTTATAGATTTTTGTGAAATCGATGCACATCGGTATCGGATAAATCCCATCCGATGCGCGCATCACATTATGTTTATGTGCGCATTATGTTAACTCTCATTTCAGTAATACTTGCTCAACCCTAAAAATTGCAGTAGAAAGAATTCAGAGCTACTTCAAACAATTTATTATATTAAAGTTTGGTATAAAGTTTGTCCTAAATAAAATTTTTGTTTCAGATTTGTGGATCGCGACAGGCGCGACAGAGACAGGAATGACAGGGACAGAGATAGAAACGATAGGGACAGCAGGAGTGATAGGGACAGAAACGACAGAGACAGGGGTGAAAGGGAGAGAAACGACAGGGACAACAGGAGTGAAAGGGACAGGGACAACAGGAGTGAAAGAGACAGAGACCGACACAACCGCCGATCCGAAGAGAAAAGGTAAGGCTAGTTAGCATTTCTTGTAGCCTCTAAACTTCCAAATGCAAAATGTATGATGTAATTAAAACTTTTCGTTTATGATTGGACTCAAATCTGTAACTCATCGCTTTCCAATCTTAAAGAAAGAAAATATTACTTTACTGAATACAATAGTATTCATCCAGCTGTTTATTTTTAAGTAAGTCATGATTGTTTTTAATATCTTAGAATAAAACAAAAAGGGAAGATACTTTTGAATAAAATGGTGTATGCGATATAAGAAAAATAAATTTATTGTTCACAAATAAACAGACATATATTACAGACAATAGTATGAAGTAAGAATTGATTAATAAGTCACATAAAAGTCTATGAAGAGTATAAGTGGCCAGGGTGTTCTAATTATAAAATAACTTAACGAATAAGGTTTCAACAGATACGGAAGTCGCGGCTTAAAAGTGATCCGCTTGAATTGTGGTGCATGACCATAATTCGTTTTAGTCACAATTAGATATTCAAACACGCTGCATGTGCACTCAATATAACAATATTGAGAATGTTCTGTGCTATAAAAAAACACAATCCCTCCGTTGCTTTTATAAACAAACACAAATAGTTCAAAATCAAATTACAAATGTCTCGGCAACACTTTTCATTTGTAAAACTCTAAATTTTTTTTTCTCAAAAATCACGTATAGGTTATTTTTCCAAATTTTTGAAAACTGCTTATGTGTAAAGATTGGGACAAACGATTTAACAGAAAAATAAAAATGAATAAATTAATGTATTTTTTTCGCCATTAGAACAATTAAAGTTGAATTTATATTTAATGGTTTTTAAATTTACGGCCAAATAGCTCGATTCGATGACGTCTACTGTGTGACGTCAACTTTGTGTAAAAAATTTAACATCTATGTAGTCTGTGGACGATCTGCGATTACGGAGCTATTATTTGACGATTTCTTTTCTTATATTATTTTTGTATTATACTATAAATTTATCCAGAAAATAAAAAAAATAATAATTTGATCTTCACATGATTACATAGCATACACAAAGTTGACGTCACACGGTAAACGTCATCGAACCGAGCGTTTTGGCGGTAAATTCAAAACCATCAAAAATAAATTCAAATTTCATTGGGAGAAAAAAAGACATTAATTAATTTATTTTTATTTTTCTGTTCAATCGTTTGTCCTAATCTTTAAATATAAGTAGTTTTCAAAAATTTGGAATATACCCTATTGTCGTGATGTAATTTACGCAATCGCCATTTCGTTATCAAGAAAAGGACAAGAATAAAGCTTACTCGTTCGGACTCGGAAGCGGACTCGCCGTTTCGCTCGCACTGCGTTGAAGCGTATAGTTCCGTCTCGCTCGCTCGATTCAATGTTTATTTACAGAAGTGTGCGTGTGTGAAAATTGCTTATGTAGTTAAGTCGGAGCATATTTTATTTGGTGCTAGTATGAGCGTACCGTATCTTCCTTTTTGTTTTAATCTAAGCTTCCCCAATAGGATGACCTTCACCTACTGCATGTAATCTGTTTATGAATAAATAGATAATAAATTATTATTATATTTGATCAGATTGTATGGAGACAGACACGAGCGTCGGGACAGGTCTCGGTCCAGGGGAGCCGCCTTCCCCCCGCCTTCTACCTCCAGGTACGTAAACATAGTGTTTAAACCAAACAGACATAAATGTTACCTAATTTGCACTGATAAATATTGGCGCTCTCGTCTCCTGCTATAAAACGGAAAATATAAACAAAAATATTTTAACAAAAAATTGAATGTACCTACTTCAAAATCGAAAATAAAACTAAAAAGTTGGGAATAGACTTTTATTTCTAATCATACCTACCTATGTGTTTCAATGTTGACTCCGCCTGCCTTCAAATTATAAACCAGATAAAATTTTTCACTTTTTAGTTACATTTTCGATTTTGAAGTTGGTTTAATTTTTTATTAAATTATTTTATTTCATTCAATCTAGTGAAAATTACACCAACCAAGTAAACGATAAATAAAAATGCTCATAAAATAAAAGCGACCGGGTCAAACTATATATTTTTATTTTTTAAGACCAAATCATGTAAGATTTTCAACCATCAACTTTTTGATTAAGGATATTAGCTTTGTTAATATTGAGCATTTAAATGATTTTGCAAGGGGAAAAGGAAAAACAGCCATGACAATGACAATAATATAGTGAAGTTGCTGAATATTTAAGCTAATTAGATCTTTGCCATTTGCTGTAACAAATGGGAACAAATTGATTAAATTACAGTATTGTAATTTAATTTGCGTTCGACAGCTCGAGTGACAGGCGCGGTTCTCCATCTTCAGGAGACTACAGGCCTTCCTCCTACAAGGTGAACAAGAAACTGGAAGTCATGGAGAAGATGGGTGAGCATATTTACAGAAAAAAATATTGGTAATTTTACTAAGAAACGAAAAGAAAATAGTTTTTTATCTATTGTCATGTGACCGGAAGGTCTGGGATGGCAAAGCCTAAAATGACTTAACTTCCAGTAAACGTTAGTAGTACCGTACAGCGTTATACACGCCGTATTACCCAAAGAAACGTTTTTTATAGATATACATAATGAGATGATAAATAACCACTGTTTATGGAGTCCATAAACACTTATACATAACACAGGAGATCATTGTCAAAAAGCTGTGACGTACCCTATTTTGTGTAGATAGTTATAATGTCAAATTTTTTATGGATTGATCGTAAGTTTTCGATCAAATTGGATTTTGAATGTAAACTATATTTGAAAATTATGAATTTAGTCAGTCAATTTAGTAAACGCAGGGTTTCGTATTATATTTAAAATAGAATTAACAAAATGATTCTAAAATACACCATATAATGTTTAAAAGAAAGATTTGTGAACTATTTGTAATTAATTATTTCTATTCATGTATGTCATTCGTTAAAAAAAAAGAGTGTGCTTATGACCACATGACTGAAGTGAAACTTCTTTAGCTTCATATATATATTAAGATATATATGTGTGTACAATATATACATGTATGTACATATACATATTTCATTTAATAGCTATAAGAGAAATAGAGAAAGAAAATGTGCGCGCGCACTGCTTTGTCTTGCTTATATCCCCCACTCAACTCCCGTTCGCCTCGCCCGATCACACTTTTCGTAACGCGTTCGCTAGCTTACACCCCAAGTCAAGCATGCGTAAAGAAGTTTCACTTCAAAAATACATTTCAACAGGTTTAAAATGTGTTTTTCAATACTTTTATACAATATCTCTACGGTTTGCATCCCTTCCAGGATGTTGTTGAAAAAGCATGGAAAGGATGCGTAACATTTAACTCGGAATCGCGCTATGCGTGGTATACGCATTGGCAGTTTTCCAATTACAGAGCATAATGCGACTCAGTGGCGCACAATGCCGAATTATGCTGATGCTTAATTGTAACGTGAATTAGTTTTTATATGCACCAGCAGAGTGCGCTCAATTTAGTGTTGAAAAAAAAGTCAATGTTTCTACCTTCATCCATACATATTATATTTATTTTTTTAACACAGTTTGAATTAACTTTGATTATTTAAAAAGAAACTACAATGAAACGAAAGCTTTACAAAATTTTCAACAATAAATAATATTACAAACGGTAAATAAAAAAAATCGATCAATGCCAACTTAAAGAAAAAACACTTCATTTTCTGTCACTAAGTTGGTACGATTGCACACATCACACGAAAACATTACTAATGAGAGTGTTCGATTGTGCGAAGCGTTGATGTAGTCGAAACATTCAACGTTAAGCATTATGCCGTATCATCATCATCCTCTTTTATGTTATACTGCTGGGGCACAGGCCTTCCCTATGGATGGAATAGGGAGATTGGGCCATGACCCACCACGCGGGCCCAGTGCGGATTAGCGGGTGCTAACGATTGCAGATGCAACCGGGACCAACGGCTTAACGTGCCTTCCGAAGTACGAAGAAACTCGAGAAAGAAATTTTTGGTCACCCATCCAATGACCGACCACTGCGAAAGCTGCTTAACTACAACGATTGCAGCCGAACGCGCTAACCACCTGCGCCATCGAGCTCCTGCTTATGCCGCATAATGCGCGCTAATGCTGTAATTGGATAACTACCATTGTTTTCTCCGCCTGATGATTGTGTATCGTGTGGCCAGGTCTACAGATCAAGACCCCGGACGGTTCGATGGCGACGGCTCAACAGCTACGCGCCGCCGCCGGAGAGCCCGCGTTGCCTTCATACAGCGCTACTGCACCAGCCGCTGCAAAGCTGCTGCACCAGGTAACGTACTCACCACAGATTCATAAAGTCATACCTTTAAAACTATGGTTTTGGAAAATCGTGCTGGGCAAAATGGAAGATGCTGTCGATTCTGGCATGATTCTGTGAACTTCTTCATTCTGTATTGGTAATGACAAGGATACACTGTTGTTGAATTTAGGTTTGGGTTTGGAGAGTCATGCTAGAATTGACACCAATGTATGTGTAGAATTATTGAATCTTAATAATAATAATAATAAATATTTCCAACACTCACACCAATTAGCCTAGCCCCAAAGTAAGCACTATAAGGCTTGTGTTATGGGATACTAGGGTAACGGATAGAATACATATACTTTACATATATAAGTATATTTATATAGAAATACATATTAAACATCCATGACTGGAGTACAAATGCTCGTTTTCATCACGCAAACATCTGCCCCCACCGGGATTCGAACCCGGGACCTCTCGAGTCGGCGACGCCATGAAACCCGGCGTACAAATCACTCGGCCACGGAGGTCGTCTTAATTTATTAATTATATTGTGCAATTGTATAGTAACGTATTTTAAATAGATAATAACCCTCTAAAGTTGCTATACTCTAAATATACAGTAACTGAGTAAATGTATTTTTCTGTACCACCTTATTTCTGAGAATATGATATGCAATAAATGAATAAATAAATATAAATTAAATATTACATGAAACTTTAATAATAATCCGATTAAGATTAGGGTCCTACATGTGCGTCTTCCCATCTTGCAAAGCTTGGTATATTTATTAGTCCTATTTATTAAATCACAGCAATTGGGCAAGCGCTAACAAGGCAAGACAAATATGCTGTATATTTGTTGGTATTGGCCCTTGCTTGGCTAACAGGTATTTGCCTTTATCGGCAAATTAGGCAGGCGATGACAAGGCAAGAAAATATGCTGTTTATTCATTGTTTTTTGCTTACATCTAGTGGGTAACGTATGTTTGTTTCCTTCCCCAGTTGCAGAAACGCAAGCTCCTCTGGTCTAACAAGGGCAAAACCGAAGCAGAAGAAGTGGCCAAGTGGTCGGGCGCTCGTTTCGCTCAGGACAGCGACGGCAAGCAGGCCTGCAAGTTTATGCGGCTCATGGGCATCAAGGATCCCGGTAACTGCAACTACTTAAATTATAAAGAAAATTTTATTATAATAATACGAAAAACTTCATCCAGGCATTAGGGGCCGTTCAAGTATTACGTAAGCACTACAGGGGGGGGGGGGGTATACTTATTTTTATGACATGGGGGGTGGGGGGGGTCTACATGGTGATGACGTCAGCGTCAGTAAATAATTGTAATAAATCTGCTTACGTAATACTTGAACGGCCCCTTAGACATGATGGAATGCCCAGACCGAGTGGAATATTTGTTAAAAAAATCTTAAGATTATTTAATTCTTACTAATTTTAAATATGTTTTTTTATTCAATGAAAATAATACCTGAAAAAACAAAAAAAAATTAAATGGATAAATTATTTACCCATGAATGGATAATTAATTAATTATCTTGATAATTTGCAACCCCGATTACGATTTATTAACATTCCCTTAATGTTTCAATAGCGGCCGTAAAAACCGAAGCCCCAGCAGCGGATCCTATCAAGAAACAAGAAGAGTTGTTCCAAGCGATGCAGGCACAGTACGATGTGGCTCGTGCAACCACTCACACGATGCGAGGTGTGGGGCTCGGCTTCCAACGAGGACAGTTCTAAACATTGGGTGTTTGTGTAGTGAAGTGCACTTTAGACTTGACCAGTTACAAAAAACTTGGTGTTAGTAACAGTGAAAATAATAACCAGCAGTAGCTGTTTTATAAACAGCTGAAAATGATTCTGTTATCGAAGAAACTTGCCAAACAGTCTCTTTAGTTTTGCTGGTACAAACTGAACACTATCCATCCTGATAAAGGTACAAATTCGCAATTGGCTGCAGGCGACAACCGCAAGCGCGACACTGCGGCTGACCGTGCATTATATGAATTGTGCAGCCGCGGCATGTCGTCTGCAGTTGCGGCCTGTGGTCTGCGGTTCAGTTCGGACTTGTACCTTAAGTAATCTTAGAGTTTGGTTTTGAAAAATGCGAAAAAATTACACGCTTTGTTTTATACGCTTAATTATAGTTTGAAGAATGGACTTACAAAGATAGGGATGTGTTTAGAAATGGGAGAAACACATTGTTAACTAGTGTGAACATTGTTTATGTAAACATATTGGTTTATTGTATATTTGTTTGTATCCACAATTAGTGAATAACTTATGTCCCATCAGTAAAATATAGTGTTATGGTATAAAAATGTTTTCTACTTAATATTTAGCTATAAAGACTATAAAAATATTTTTCTTTTAGTTATATAATGATCTCTTTTTCCAGCAAAGAATTCAGGTTAATGTGATACATAAATATAAATATTTCCAACACTCACACCAATTAGCCTAGCCCCAAAGTAAGCACTTTAAGGCTTGTGTTATGGGATACTAGGGTAACGACTAGAATACATATACTGTACATATATAAATATATTTATATAGAAATACATACTAAACATCCATGACTGGAGTACAAATGCTCGCTTTCGTCACAAAACCATCTGCCCCCACCGGGATTCGAACCCGGGACCTCTCGAGTCGGCGACACCATGAAACCCGGCGTACAAACCACTCGACCACGGCGGTCGTCCTCTGTGTACATAAACTGATAGTGGTGAAATTAATGCCACTGTTTCATTAAGAAGCTTGTTACAGCTATAAGTATTTATATAACTTACTGAAAATCACACAAATGGTTGCATATAGATACAGCAATTAACTTAATTAAAGTAGGGCAGCTACTTTTTTTTGCAAGAGTCAAACAAAGAGTTAAGATGTGGCTTTAAATTTATTTGACTTCTCTTCTTGCAACCATGAAAGAGTATTTTTTGTATCTCAATTTAACAATACGTAGCTTACAAGATATTTCAATGATAGTCATTTATAGTAATGGTGATTCTGTTACTCTAAACAAATTATCTAACATAAAACGATATAAATATTTGTTATGTAAAACTTAAATTAAAATTGTAATAAATATAATGAAGTGATACAATAATTGTACATTACAATAGTTAATCACATTGTACAAATAAATGTACACTCATACTAATTGGCGCATTAAAGCACAAAAAGTTCCTTCAAATTAATCATCAACAGAGATTAATTAGTAAAATAGAACTGCCATAGAAAAAATGTCTTTGTGTTTCATTTATACTATTTTCTAAGGCCTATAGGGTAGGCGTATAATTAATTTCCTGATGGCTACTGTGTGATATAAATTAACATTGAATATGTTTGTAATCTAATTGATAAAATTAATAATCATTGTGTACCTAAAAATGTGACAGTGGAAAGTAAAGAGATATTCCTAGGTATTCCAATTAAGTCATAGACTTATTTGTTCACCTTTCTTTTACCTCGAGGTTCTGTGCGGAAAAAGAATGGGATTTAGATTGGAGGGCGCTGTAGTGTTTTTCTACCGTATTTGGAAGGTTTTACCCCTTTGACATGATTAAATACAAAAAACTGCAAGAAATCACAACAACAAACAAATTCTTATCAATACAAAACTGACGTTATACATATTGTTTTACGTGTTTGATTGCCAAATAAAAATCTTAATGTTGGTTCCGTTTTTCGCCACGCCTATTCTCTTTCCGCACAGACTCTACATGGATTGCGTGTTGTGCAATGATTATTATGTTTTACCACTCAATTTAGATAAGGTGATTATAATAAAAATTCTATTAAAAAAAAGTATGTTTTCTTCGCTTATTTCCTGTGTCAATTTTGATCTGACAAATTCATTAGTATGTTTGTAAGTCAATCGCAAAAACAGCTGGAAGAATATGGATAAAATTTGGCTTATAGTTAGTTTATTACTTGGATTGAGGCATAGGATACTTTATTTATCCCGAAAAACATGGTTTCTGAGGGATTCTAAAAAACAAAAGTTATGCGATCGAAGTCACGGGTAGCCGTCATAAAAGTAGTGTACTACAGCAGGACAATAACTTTCGGGCAAAGATATTAAATACCCTAAATACACCACGTACGCTCAAAATGTGACCCAGTCAAGAAGTGCTCGAGCACGACTCCACCACTTCGTGGTCAGGTCACAGTCACACGCGGATCATTGAAAAGTCAAGATGTGGCAGAGCTCCGTAAAAAAATGCGATGAAAATACTTATAGTATATAAAGTGTAGTTTTTTCGACAGGTATTTAATTAATATTTGTTAATTTAACGCATTTGATGCAAATTTTGACTAATTCTTACTATTACCTGATTTATTAGAAAATATTTGCGATAGTCAAATGCATGGTCGGTCATGGCTATACAGCCGTCTCTTTTTATTAGCACGCATTTCGAACTGTCATAACTCTGATGCAGGCGTTTTAATGAAGACCTTAAATAGTATGTGTTAAAGGTGACTTTCAATGTTTAAATAACGCCTTATATTGTGTTTGACTACGCGATCATCTTACGCAGCTCCGCGGATCGTCCAGGTTTCGGCCACGATTTAGTTAGTGTTTTTGTATCTAGGGTATTTAATATCGTTGGTCTTAAGATTTACTTTATTTAGAAAATAACAAGAAGTATTTTGTACAACTTGTTATTTTCTAATTAAACTATTATTAACAAATTTACTATAAACAAGAAGACCATAATCATAATGGCTTCTCACTATAGCTACAAAAATCATATAAAGTATTTTAGTATCCATTCCTCAGCAATAAGACTCGCAAGCCATTTTAAAGTATTTACACGTTTTAGCATTTTATTGACCACACTGTGTACATGGCCATTAAATGTTATACCTTTTTTAACATAACAAACCTGGTCAATTGATTCTTTAAAGGATTAAGTTACTAATGAGGAGTGAGCAATTCTGTTACCGTTAGGTGTAATACACGGTAACAAAATTGCCTCGCTGTTAAAAAAATTGGGTTCGAAAGTTGAAGATACTCATGTTGGTGACATTTATCATCTGGTATTTGAATGCTGTCAATTTAGTATACAATGACTTATTGGCAAGTGATTTGTGTGAATTAAGTGGTGATAATGTAAATACTATCCCCCGCCGCCTTGAAGAATATTTGAAAGATCTCATTTACTTTACCGCACTTTATAAGTTTATTAAAGCTACAATTGGAAATATTTAATACGAATCGAATAGACTTGAAGGTGTGGCTTAAAAGACTTGTATCCGAACCATAAATATTGGAAAAAAAACTGTTTGACAGTGACAATATAATGTCAACCGTCAATAAAAGTTTTGTGGGGTTTCACCGAATCGTTTCGAGTTTTGTTTATCAAAAATTATCTTAAAAATCGGGTAGTTTGATAAACACTTCCTGTACAGAAATTAAATAAGAACCCCCTTTATTCTTAGATTCGACATCGAAGAATACTGACTATTCTTAGTTAAAGAAAGTTTGAAACATAAATATTGCCATTTAAGTTACGTTATATATTTTACTGTGAAACTTGTTGAAGATTTCTCATTAGAAATGGATGAACCCGAGACAAAAACTTGTTCAAATTGGTAAGTTTTCGATCCGTTGGACCACAAAATGTTGTGTCAATATTTATTCTATTTTGGACGACACACGTTAATGGTCTATTTTTAGATAAATTTGGAGCAGTACTCGATACAGCTGTTTCAGTATGTTTGACGGTTGTTTACCCTTTAGTGTCTTAAATATGAATTAATAATCAACATGGATTTACCTTATTCCTACGCACTTACGCTCATGCTTTTAATTCACAGTAAAACATGAACATTTTTGGAGTACAACAACTGCTATGATGTTGCAACTATTGATACTTGATTCAACTCAAAAATCTGCCTAAGATGATTACTTAAAAAGAAACCAACAAAACAATGATAACAAAAGGACTATCATAATTAGTTTATATTTCATAACAATCTGTTCATTACTGCAAAAAACTATTAATAATTTTAATAGAATGATTTTTTAGGTTTCTGTATTTGGTAAATGATCTGAAGTTTCTTAACACAGATACTTGCAACCTATACTAACATATCCACATAAATGCTTTCTTCAGACATTGTTTAATTACTTAATAATAAGGGTATACCCTTATATTACTGAATTTATGTTATCAAAGAAAAATATAGGTGCTTCATGCACCTATATTACAAAATAAATAAAATTGAAAATGTAGACTACTAACTATTGTGAAAGAAATCTTTTTGAATGAGTTCCATGTTAGGGAAAAATCTTTTTGAATGAGTTCCATGTTAGGGAAAAATATGAAGATTTTACAAAATATTAAGATAATAATGTTATTTACTGTCTGCAGATTGTCAAAGCAGATTATCCAAAAATGATATTGGAAAAATAATTATTGGATTAAGAAGCCAAGACAAAAAAGTCTATATAGTAAAATGCAGCAATCTATTTTGGATTTATTTAGCAAGAAGGAGAAATCTGTTGGCATTGTCTTTCATATTCTAATTATTAATGATGGATTATTATTATTTCTCTGATAACTGTTATCAGTGCTGATACCAAGTTCCTTAATTGACATGATAAATTGCAGTAATTGAGATTCCTGATTCATTATCTAACCTATTATTTTTTATGCTGGAGCTAAACATTTGGCCTTGATCATGGAAAAGGTACTAACCTTTTCCATGATCATGAAACTTTTTGACTTAAGTTAAGTTTTAACTAAAATTCAGTGTTGACTAAAGTTAAATCAAATAATACATTAAAATACTGCTGTTCTAATGAAGAATGCAGAAATAGCTCTGACATGATTTTGAGAAATTAGTACAAATCATCACACCTATTAAACTATCTTTTTCTGTTCTAAAAAAGGTAAAACTGTACTTTCAGGGCCCAAAAGGTGATACTTGTTTTTTTTGTAGAAAAGGTCTTTTTAACAGTTTTTTTTTCTGGCGCTTCGCTGGCCGCTGGCCGCTGCCGCGGCACGCTCGCTTTGCTCGCTCGGCTCGCGCGTTATGGTCACAACACTAACCTAACCTAACCTAGTGTGAAGTATCACCACTTGATAAGAAAAGTAAAAATTTTCAATATTATTTTCTAAAAAACTACCAGTGCATAAGTGTGACATTTTTTTTAATAATGTGGTTAACAGAAACCTTTTTAACAACAAAAATGCGAAATTACAACCAACAAAACTGTGAAGTTTTTACTTTTGGGCCCTGGAAGTACAGTATATCCCTAAAAAATGCAAAGATAAGAAAAAAAATGGTGTAATAGGTATAATGAGTTAAAACGAAAAAAAACTTTCAAGCAAAAGTGTTTTGTACTGTTGGGAAGATTATTTTGATTTAAATATTAGCTCTAGTACTGTTTTTATTCGTAGATAGGATAAGTTCATAAATCTGGAGTCAAAGTTTCTATTACTATTTGAGGATTACAATGTTTAATTTCATGATTTTAGTCTGATGTGACTTTTATGCTTAAGTGACTGGGGACAGGGGACTGGTTTTTAGGACTATAAAAACAATTATGTTGTTGTTGTATGTATGTACGTTGGGCATAGGTAGATTAGATTATTATGATAATTTTTTGAATGTTTTGGAGTAATCTACTATTGTATATTTATAATCTGTTATTTTTCTAAACAATATTAGCTTGAGACAATGAGCCTGCCAGTAGATACAACTTGTTCCATCTCCTCATCTCAAGTATTGTGGTTCTATGTGAATGGTGTTTATTTATTTATTTATATGTTGTCTTTAAATTTCATGATCACTAACATTATATTAAATAATAGTAGATGGTAGCAAGTGCCACAATTACTCATGATTAGAGGATTCAATCCCAGTCCCTATTTCTAATCCTGGGATTCCACTTAGCCAATCCCAGGCTTATTTCGGGATTGACGGTTATAAAGAAAAAAAAGAAAATCTTGAAAATTCTAGTTATTTAATTAAAACTTTGACTAGAGTTAACCTAGTTTCCATTATGGTTGGTTGGTCGTAGGATGGTTTGATAGATCGAATTCGCCAAAATCCTAGGAATTTTGCGAAAGCGCGGATAATTGGACAATTTCGAAGGCTTAGCTCAATCTTACTGAAAGAGATAAGGATTTTTATCAAAAACGAGAGTCACCTCGAGACTGAAAAAAGGTCGGGATCCTGGAACTCCGATTTTCGGGAAAATCTCGACTCATAATCATGGCACTTAGAACTTGTAATAGTGCTGAAATATTGGGATACACAAAAAACAAGGTACATAATAGCAATCCCGCTAATTACTAATAGATGAGTAAATAATCAAAGGTTATTGTATAGGAGTAGGGTTGCCAACCCTTTTTTTTTATACGCAGGCAAAAAATAATATTTACAGACGACGGCGCCTTTAAGAAGCACACCGCCAAACGGACCTCACACCTGGCTCCCGCAAGCCTTACAAGCCCCAGCAGTGGCTGCCCACTGAGGACCCCGTAACTCTTACGGGCGCTTTACGGCATAATATCCGCTAAAAAACCCTGCTAACACCCTCTAAGCTGCTTAGCGCAAAGCCTCGGGGTCCCCGTTTAGGGATTCTTACTCGTCTCCGCACCTAGCAGCCTCCCGGCCTAGTCGGGGCTCCACGGCAGGGGTGTCCCGGGGTATGGCGGGGACCCCGCAGACGTGCGCAGGATGGCCCGCGCATTGGGGCTGAGTACGCGGCCTAGTGCCCACCGTACAGCCCCCCGTCCGCTGCGAAGGGGGTACTTGGGCGTGCCCGTGTAGCTCCTTCCGCCGCCCTCCTCTTTGCAGGTCAGAACTACAAGGGAGGGCTGCCGTCACGAGGTCTGTCGGTGGCCGGCACAGCTGACGCCATGCCGGTTAGCGAGGGAACCCCCGGGTAGGGTCATGGGACGGGCGCAGCCAGGGCCCGCTGCCGTCCTCTCCTACCCGTCCTCCTTTGGCGAGAGGGAGCGGCCAGGGGATCATCCTCCCGCTCCCTCTCTGCCGCCTCTTTCTGCGAATTAACATTCTCGCAGAAGGAGGCGACCGCCTCCCACGCCCTCTCGTTGGGGAGCATGGCGCCGCAATGAGCTCACGGCGCTGGTGTCGCCAGGCCGGGCACTCCAATAAGGTGTGCTCGGCCGTGTCGTCCGGGGCGCCGCAATGATGCCATTGACCCGGTGTCATTTATCACAGCTTCTCAACAAACGGGATGAGCATTAATGCAGATGTGTACTGTGAAGAACTGAGCACAACTTTGGAGAAGCTCACACATCTCCAACCAGCTTTGGTTAATCGTTCGGCTCCGCTGCTTCTGCACGATAATGCGCGATCTCATACTGGACTGCAGACAGTCTCACAAGAGCTGGGGTTAGAAGTTCTCCGTCATCCACAGTACTCACTAGACCTTGCTCCTACAGACTTCTACTTTTTCAAGAATTTGGATAACTTTTTAGTGGGAAAACAAAACATACGAGAGACAGTTAAAGTGTTTTTAAAAAAAAATGTTGTTTCCCGTCCAGCAGACGTTTTCGAAAAGGGCCGCAATAAGTTACTGCTATGTTGGCAAATATGCATTCATTGCATGCTAATAAATAAACCCCAAACCACTAGACATTTCGTCATTGTGTAACATAGATCTGAGTAGCATAGGGCAGAGGTCAATTTAGCTCGTCATGTATCTCTCTTCTTCTTTTTCTTCTTGCAACGGGCGTTTCGCAACTCGACGTCCTTATGGCGCCTGTTTTGCGTGAGGAGGGTGTGTAGCCGGAATCACTCCAGTCAGGCTAGTTCTGTCAGGAACGTCCCCAAAGCCTTCTCATTGGTGATTGCCTTTTTGAGGTTTGCCGGTGAGCCGAGGTATTTCGTCCGGTATTTGGCCACTCCGTTGCATTCCAGTCCGTTGTCGTGTCATCTCAACCGTCATCTTTACTCACTCATCCTGATTTAATAGCAATAGGGTTGATGACGGGGTACAGTAAACGAAATTCTATTTAGTCCGTCAGTTAGATGATCAAAAAATAATGGACACGTATTTTTTCTTTGGGCAATCAACCAAAAAATGACAAAGTTATAGCGCGTCAAAGTTTGGGAGAAGGGGCTCGTGACGTCACTTTTGAGTGAATTTTCACTTAAAAGTGTCGTCATGCGACTTTTGAAATCAATATATCTCTGCAATGTTTATATTATGTGAAAAAAGAAAAAATACGTGTCTAATACTTTTTGATAATCTACCTGATAAACGAAGAAAAAAAAATAGTCGTCATCCCTATTATTGTTCGCAGCAAACGTGAGATTCCAGCAGTGAACTTCACCATCCATACAGTCCACTGCGCGCGGAATATCAAAGTATGCCCCGTCTGCAAGGAGCCCGTGCCGCTCGCCGACTTGGCTGACCACCATGAAACGATGCATAAGCTATGTAATAACCTTTTTATTATAAAACCCGCTACGCCTGTAAACATTTGGCTGAGCAGTTGGGTCGTTATGCTGGACCAAAGTATCGATCGCTGTTTACACATTGGTATGTTTTGAAACTGAAAAACAGGCCGACACTGTTCAGTTGGCTGGCCAACACATGGCCATACATCATGGCCCACTGTGTAATGTATTTATCTTATCCTACTTATACTAGTGTATAGCTATATAATCAACAGGTTATTTAAATGTTTGTTTTGCTGACTTACGCAAAAACCTGATTTGATTCGATTCAGATGAAATATGTCACAAAGATCGTTTATCACTTGCATTAGAATAAATTTAAGGTTTTGGGATTATTAATAATCAAATTCCAAGACGTGCGGGTGACATGGTAGTCATTTATACAGTTTGTATCCAATTAATATGAATATTGGTTCCTTATGGACTTTTCGAATTCTCAAGTCCATGTTTATTCGGCGAATTACTGCAAATTATGTTCCTCTAAAAATCTTCAAGAAATGCAACTATACGATTGCAGAGGTGGGCATCTTTACAGGAGCCATCTTCTAAGTCGACTCCAGTCTTAGGCATCAGATAGACTAAGTGGGCATTCAACAATTAAAATGTGGTATTATTGACAGTGCCCTGCAAGAAATGTGGCGAGCAGGTGTGCGGGACAGACCTGGAGGATCACATCCGCGATTCTTGCGCTCACACCATCCAGACCTGCAAGTAAGTAATACTCAGTCCCGAATGAGCCACTTTACTTTTTTCAAGGACTATGGGTTTCTAAAGACTTGCATACACATACAATTCAAGGGCGTTTGTTAACGAGCGAACGGACGGTTTTAAACCGTGTCTACGTCCGGTCGTCAGTTAGGTATGGGACACTATGTAGGTTTGTTAACGATACTGCCGTTAGCGACGGTTTGCGGTCGTTAGAAACGTACAAACCGTGCCTATTACTAAAATGCCTCATGGGATAGGCAGATCTACGCTCAACACTTGGTCAGCCATACCCTTATTACCTACGCCATATTTGAAATTGATCAGGTACCTGAACAGACAAGTTGCCTGACAAAGCGCCTGTTTCCCAGAGAGCTAGTCTAATTTGTATATTTAGTAACGACTTTTAAAAACACTTATCTATTCTCAAATCTACAACGGAAGACAAGACTTGATTCCCACTTACTGTGGCCGCGATATCTGTTTCACATTCCATACATTCATCAGTCTCTTCGTATACCTTTTCACTCAGAACTCATAGAAAAAATTGTCCGGTCAACGATTCCCGGAGACGTGTTAGGTTCCCATACATCAGCATTTCGTATGTCTGCTACGACAGCTGTGACAACTGCAGCCGTCGCCACCTTTTGTACATGAAGCCTAACACAGACACTCTTTACAATATCTATAAAAGTTGGTTCCGATGGCATCTGCAGTCGTTAGCACCCACCAATTCGCACTTGACGGTTTAGTAGGTAAAGGCCCAATCTTATTCCATCTATGGATGAATAGACCTTCTGTTCCGGTAGTAAGGATATTAATAGACTTTTAAAGAAAGAAAGAAGTTGATCAGCTTCGCCTGGGTGTAGGTTTTGCGAGTTGGAGCTCCCACGTCGCGATCTGCCTCTACACGAAGGCTACTGCGGCGTGCGCACGGAGCAGTGCGATCAGTGCCGCGAGTGGGTCATGATCAAGTACCGCCAGCTGCATCTGGACTCTAACCACGGCTTCCTGCGGCTGGACGACGGTAACTATAACTACACACAGGGCTATATTACTACATACAGGGTAACATACATGATGAAGTACCGCTAGCTGCATCTGGACTCTAACCACGGCTTCTTGCGGCTGGACGACGGTAGCTATAACTACACACAGAGCTATATTACTACATGCAGGGTAACATACATGATGAAGTACCGCCAGCTGCATCTGGACTCTAACCACGGCTTCTTGCGGCTGGACGACGGTAGCTATAACTACACACAGAGCTATATTACTACATACAGGGTAACATACATGATGAAGTACCGCCAGCTGCATCTGGACTCTAACCACGGCTTCTTGCGGCTGGGCGACGGTAGCTATAACTACACACAGAGCTATATTACTACATACAGGGTAACATACATGATGAAGTACCGCCAGCTGCATCTGGACTCTAACCACGGCTTCTTGCGGCTGGACGACGGTAGCTATAACTACACACAGAGCTATATTACTACATACAGGGTAACATACATGATGACGTACCGCCAGCTGCATCTGGACTCTAACCACGGCTTCTTGCGGCTGGACGACGGTAGCTATAACTACACACAGAGTTATATTACTACATACAGGGTAACATACATGATGAAGTACCGCCAGCTGCATCTGGACTCTAACCACGGCTTCTTGCGGCTGGACGACGGTAGCTATAACTACACACAGAGCTATATTACTACATACAGGGTAACATACATGATGAAGTACCGCCAGCTGCATCTGGACTCCGACCGCGGCTTCCTGCGGCTAGACGACGGTAACTATAACTACACACAGGGCTATATTACTACATGCAGGGTAACATACATGATGAAGTACCGCCAGCTGCATCTGGACTCTAACCACGGCTTCTTGCGGCTGGACGACGGTAGCTATAACTACACACAGAGCTATATTACTACATACAGGGTAACATACGTGATGAAGTACCGCCAGCTGTATCTGGACTCTAACCACGGCTTCCTGCGGCTGAACGACGGTAACTATAACTACACACAGGGCTATATTACTACATACATAGTTACCTACATGATCAAGTACCGCCAGCTGCCTCTGGACTCTAACCACGGCTTCCTGCGGCTGAACGACGGTAACTATAACTACACACAGGGCTATATTACTACATACATAGTTACATACATGATCGAGTACCGCCAGCTGCCTCTGGACTCTAACCACGGCTTCCAGCGGCTGGACGACGGTAACTATAATTACACACAGGGCTATATTACTACATATTTATATATTTAGTGGTCTGACACCCGTGTAGCATTTCCGTTTCATCTTTTCCATTTACACCCAGTCCGAAACGAAGTTTCACTTCAACAATAATATAATATACCTAATATGTATCACTGTAATTGGACATAATAGGGTATTTGACAAGCTTTAGGCAACGATCTCACGTTATTGACTCATGTTTATGGAGTCCGTAAAAAGTGGATATTCTTCATTCTGTTGTGTGTGGTGTATTTCAGTAAAAATAATCAAATCAAAATCTAAATTTTCAAGTTGCCGCGAAAACGTTTTTCTGCACAATATGGCGTCTTACTAGTGTGTGACGTCACACGACTGTTATTAAAACGTCAAACAATTTAATGTCACTTTAACCGGAAGGCTCCGCCAATCCCAAGCGTTTTGGGTCACGTGACAATAGATAAGAATACTATTATCTTTTTCGTGGGTTTTTAGTAAAATTATGAATTTTTTTTTGTAAAAATAGTAAAAACCCTGCCAATATTCACTATAAACACAGATGCTAACAATTGGCACTTTATTTTTAAAATACTGTCAAATACCCTATTGGACATAATTATCTACCATGTATTTTCATAGCAACATCATTCACAGATCCTCCCCCGCCGAAGAAAGAGGTCGCCAAAGTGGCACGGCTACCTAAACATTCCAACATAACTGCAGCTTCCACCAGCCAAGTGTCATCCAACGGTCCCATTGGTACATCGAACGGAACCACTGCCGGGCCTTCAACAAGCAACGCTCCCAGAACTATAATAAACAGGTTCAGCGAAAATGACGACAGAGAGAAAGGGACAAAAGAAGTAGACGAGCAGGATGAATCAACGCGTATTTGGAGGCAACGGGCGTTCCTGGAGACTTCTAGACAAGTCAAACTGCCCAAAAGAACCAATGATCAGCCCCAGATTAACACCAATACGGAGGAGAAGCCTAAGAATACGACGAAGAAATTGTGAGTATTATTGAAGTTATACTTCTTTAGGCGCGTTATGAAAAAATGATGAGAGTGAAATTTTTAGATGCGCGCGCATCACTGTAACCCAAAAGTAACAGCATGAAGTTGGCCGCGGGCGCGTTATGAAAAAATCATGTGAGTGAAATTTCGAGATGCGCGCGCATCACTGTAACACAATAGTAACACCATGAAGTTGGCCGCGGGCGCGTTATGAATGTTAGTGTCTAATAATGGTGGATTATTAACCACTAAGTGGTTAATAATCCACCATTATTATACATCTATTCGAAAGGTACTTTGAACGATCCACGGAGCTCCATAAGATGATCGCGTTGTCAAAAACAATGTTGGCACGCTCGTCGCCTCTGATCACTGTTTTCATATTTATAATATTTATCCACATGTTTCTTGTTTCTATATAGACACAACGTGTTTTAGTTACTTACAAGTGCTAATTACATATGGACTAATAACTTAAATTCAGTAGTGATTTTAATTGAATATTTTGAATATTTATTTAATTTTTCAAATTAAAACTGAACTTAATTGACTGTGTTAACTATCCTTTTCCAGTCCTTTTATTATTTTATTGTAATTATTAATTATTTGCATGCAATTAAAAAATATTTTTAATGATGCTAAAGAAGTATAACTTCTCACGCGCGTACATAAGTTACACGCATCCATTTTTTTTACTGCGATTCATTAGGGAAATTTTCGCGCAGCAAAATGTAGACTCCAGGGTGTCAGCTAACTTATTACGAAATTTTATTAAAATCTCTCCAGCCGTATAGACGTGAAGAAGTAACAAAAATAATATTAGTGTGATTTACTCTTTATTGTTTTACAACGAAGGGCATACAACAAAATTCTGTACCAGTCAACCATCGGGCTAAGCAGCGACATAACGCGGTATTCCGTAGGATTTTTCCATTAACACTCCGTCCAAAAAGAACTTAAGGCCTGTACTCCAGCAGTGGGGACATTAATAGCCTAATGATGATAATTAGTGAGTGATGTGATTTTTTCGCTTGGTTAGAATCAACAAGAAGCGGCAGGCGCCTCCGCCCCCCTCACCGGAGCCCCGACGCGACCTGCCATACTACAGCGCCATGCAGCGGAAACAAGACGAAGAACAACTACGCAGGGAACAGACCGCATACAACTTGGCACGAGGTGAGCTATATACTGTGAACATTATGTACTACAGCGCCATGCAGCGGAAACAAGACGAAGAACAACTACGCAGGGAACAGACCGCATACAACTTGGCACGAGGTGAGCTATATACTGTGAACATTATGTACTACAGCGCCATGCAGCGGAAACAAGACGAAGAACAACTACGCAGGGAACAGACCGCATACAACTTGGCACGAGGTGAGCTATATACTGTGAACATTATGTACTACAGCGACATGCAGCGGAGACAAGACGAAGAACAACTACGCAGGGAACAGACCGCATACAACTTGGCACGAGGTGAGCTATATACTGTGAACATTATGTACTACAGCGCCATGCAGCGGAAACAAGACGAAGAACAACTACGCAGGGAACAGACCGCATACAACTTGGCACGAGGTGAGCTATATACTGTGAACATTATGTACTACAGCGACATGCAGCGGAGACAAGACGAAGAACAACTACGCAGGGAACAGACCGCATACAACTTGGCACGAGGTGAGCTATATACTGTGAACATTATGTACTACAGCGCCATGCAGCGGAAACAAGACGAAGAACAACTACGCAGGGAACAGACCGCATACAACTTGGCACGAGGTGAGCTATATACTGTGAACATTATGTACTACAGCGCCATGCAGCGGAAACAAGACGAAGAACAACTACGCAGGGAACAGACCGCATACAACTTGGCACGAGGTGAGCTATATACTGTGAACATTATGTACTACAGCGCCATGCAGCGGAAACAAGACGAAGAACAACTACGCAGGGAACAGACCGCATACAACTTGGCACGAGGTGAGCTATATACTGTGAACATTATGTACTACAGCGCCATGCAGCGGAAACAAGACGAAGAACAACTACGCAGGGAACAGACCGCATACAACTTGGCACGAGGTGAGCTATATACTGTGAACATTATGTACTACAGCGCCATGCAGCGGAAACAAGACGAAGAACAACTACGCAGGGAACAGACCGCATACAACTTGGCACGAGGTGAGCTATATACTGTGAACATTATGTACTACAGCGCCATGCAGCGGAAACAAGACGAAGAACAACTACGCAGGGAACAGACCGCATACAACTTGGCACGAGGTGAGCTATATACTGTGAACATAAAGCAGTTTAATTACATTGTTTTGTGTTGCTTTAGTTTTGTAAGTATTATTTAATTTTATTGACATATTTTAAATGTTAATAATAATAATAATAATCTTTATTTGCAGAATATGGTTACAAATGGTGATACAGAGATAAAGAGCATCCTATATTCTTACCCAATGGGGTGTGCAAATTAATTGACATGTCGAGAAAAAAAAACTTATTACAATTATTCCATTCATTGATCATAATATAAACAAATTCACATTATCATTGTCAAACAATATAATAATCTCAATGTCCAACAATATAATAATCTCAATGTCAAACAATATAATAATCTCAATGTCAAACAATATAATAATCAATCTTGTTCATAAAGTTAATGACATAATAATAAATTAAATTTCAGCATCACTTAAATATTCCTTTAGTGTATAATAAGCTTTATTTACTAAAAACTTTTTTAGGGTCACTTTATATTTTATCACATTATCGATTTGTCTTATATCTTGTGGTAGCTTGTTATATACTATCGGAGCAACGCCATATAAACTATTTCCAAACAAAGCAGTTTTATGAGGTTTTTGACACAACTTGTCATTGTGTCTTTTAGATGTAAACATATTGTAAAATAATTTTAGATTCGTTTTAACAAAGACACATACTTCAAATATATATAAACAAGGTACAGTCAAAATATTTAATTCTTTAAAAAGAGGATAACAAGAGTCTGTAGGGCGAAGTCGACTTATTGCTCTCACACATCTTTTTTGTCCTTTGAAAACTCTGTCTTTACTACTAGAATTTCCCCAAAAAATTATGCCATATCTCAGTATTGACGCAACGTATCCATGATAAGCTGTCATTAGTGCAGAACGGTCAGCTATTTTATTAAGCATATACAAGGCATAAGAAAATTTACTTAGCTTCTCACATACATAATTACAATGAGTTTCCCATGTCATATTATTATCAATGTATATTCCAAGAAATTTGGTAGTATTTACTTCTTCTACTTTTTTTCCCAAGTGCTCTATTTTTACTTCAATAATCTTCTTGCTTTCTCTTTGTTTAAACGTCATCGATTTTGTTTTGTCCAAATTAACAGTTAACTTATTATTTTGCATCCATTTCATAATTTTATCAAAGTCATTATTTATTGAAAGTTCATAATCATTTTCATTTTTACATTCAAATATTATAGTACTATCATCTGCAAACATGATCATTGGACTTTGTATGCATTTAGGAAAATCATTTATATATACATTAAAAAATAATGGTCCAAATACGCTACCCTGTGGGACACCACAAACTGTTTTCCTTGATGAAGATGTATATGACTTTTCAAATTTGGTTTTATAGCAAAGTCTGTCGATTTGAGTTATAACCTGTCTATCACTAAGGTAGGATTTTATAAGCTCAAGAATATTTCCCCGCACACCATATTTATACAATTTGTCAAATAGTATATTAAAATCTACCAAATCAAATGCCTTTGTCATATCCATGTACAAGCTCATAACCTGCTTACCCGAGTCCATACAAGAAATAATTTTATATACAAATTCAGATATTGCCATATTAATACTTTTATTCTTACGAAATCCTTGCTGTTCTTGAGCTAGCAAGTTATTATTCTCAAAGTATGAGTATAGTTTTTCATATATTACTTTTTCAAACACCTTGGACAAAACAGATACCAATGCTATAGGTCTGTAATTAGACATGTTATCTCTATCACCTCTTTTGAAGAGTGGTTTTATTATTGTTACTTTTAAGTTATCTGGGAAAATACCGTTCTCAATGCATAAATTTACAATATGTGCAATAATTGGTGATATAATATCATTCACGCATTTTAAAATATTTGTATTAATGTCGTCATTACCAGTACTATTCGTAGTTCGAAGTGATTTTATAATATTAAATATATCATGAGGAATTACCGGAGTCATAAATAATGAATGGCTGCTATTATATGTCAAAGTTTTGTCCAAGCTAATATTATCTGATGTCAGTTTGTGATAGATAAAAAAGTCATTAAAATTATCAGCAATAACATTAGGATCAGTAATTACATTGTCATCTACTATTATTTGTCTAATTTCCTCTTTAGGTAAGTTTCTTTTTGCTTTATTAATGACTTGCCATGTTGCTTTTGATTTGTTACTAGAATCATTAATATAATAAGTGTTTTGCGATTTTTGAGTAAGTTTGACAATTTTATTAAACCGCTTAGTGTAATCTTTTAATGTCTTTTTATTCAGACTATTAGGATTTTTCCTGTAATTATGCAATAGGTCGCGTTTTCGCTTACTACACACTTTGATTCCTTTTGTTACCCATTTCGGTTTTGTGCTTGTAGAAATTTTTATTACTCTTATCGGGAAACAGAGATCGTAGTACAATTTAAAAGTTTCATAAAAATTATTAAAAGCTTTATTAGGATTGTCAGTTTCAAAAACATTGTTAAAACTAAGATTGGATATGCAGTCTCGAAATTTTTTTATATTTTCTGTATCGTAATTACGCCGTTTAATGTACCAGAAGGGAAATCTACAGGCTTTTGCAACAGGACATTTAAGAATTTGCGCATTATGATCTGATAAAGTCAGTTCAAAGGTTTCGCCTCTACTGTTACGCTTAATATTATGTATAAAGTTGTCTAAGCACTTCCCACTAGAAGGGCGCGTCGGCTTACTAATACTAATATTTAAACCATAACTATAAATTAAATCGGTAAAACTTGTAGTCAATTTATCCTTAGTCAAAACATCGATATTAAAATCACCACATATAATAATCTTGTGATTGTCCTTAACGCAATACTTATGCAAAATCTCATTAAATTTATTAAGAAAAATACTTATCCTATTCGCATCAGTTCGAGGAGGTCTATATAAACAAATGATTATAATTTTTTGATCAATTAATTCCACACCACAGCATTCAATTATTCCGCTAACACTTACCTTTGCTACATCTTTCAGTTCTTTGTACCTGAGATTATGTTTAATTAATATGCATGAACCACCATACCTCGTAGATCTACAAAAGTAAGCACCAATTACAAAACCAGGCACACAAAGCAGCACAATGTCATTTTCTACCATATTGTGCTCTGTGATACAAATTATGTCAATATCTCTTCCAGACTCAGCTAATTCAGAAAGGCCTACACAAAGCCTGTCTGATTTTCCCATCAAACCATCTATATTCTGATGAAGTAAATAAATGTAGTCAAACACGAAAAAAATTGTTATTATTATTATTATTACTATTATTGATATGATTAGTTATTTGGCGTGCAGTAATTTGGTCAACTTCATGTAAAGATGATATAGTTAAATTAGAATCTGTTTGAGTGCATTTACTTTCACATCTTTTTGATTAGACGACATTCTTATAATTTAAAACAGAAGGGCTTTCCAGCATATTTCTATAATTCAATCGCAACACCTCTCTGAGCAACCAGCGACACAGGTTAACAGTGAAAAAGTATCCTTTTGGAACATTAGTGCTATACATCAAGTCGACAAATGATACATTATTTTGCCTACTACATATGTACCTAAGTTCACGATTAAGTTTAACTTCATATACTTTTTTGTTATAGGGAACTTCAGTCATTATTATATTTGTATTTGTTAGAGAATACAATACATTATTGAACGAGCTTTGAGAAACTTAGGGATTATTTTCATTAGTCCCTCCAATCAAAATTACAAAATCATTTTTAGTTAATTTCAATATTTCATTAACAGCTGGTACCAATATTTCATTAAATTTAGCTCCAGATTTCCAGAAAGAGAACACTTCATACTCTGTTCCTAAAGATTTTTGTAATATTTTCCTTAAATTTCTTCCTTGTTGATCTGCCAAAATCATTACTTTTTTTCTTATCTTGAATTCTTCTAGATGTTTATTTTTCTGTTTCAGTTGTTCCCTTTCGCAATTTCGGAGTTTTTCCCCGATAGATGTATCATAGCAAGTAAATTGACTATCAATATTGCTGTATTCAATATTTCCTATCTGTCGTGTAGGTGTTGTGTAAATATTTCTACATATATTCCTACTATTAGTTAATGGAGACATCCTTGACAATCCCATTTTTATGTTTAATAGCTTTTTGTTCTGTGGTGTTAGGAACTGTTTATGCTGAGGCTTAAAGTCTTTAACTAATTTTTTTAATGATTCTATCATCAAATCTTTTTTTGTTAATGTTTGTTTTAGTGAATGAATTTCGTTATAAAGCTTTTCAATCTCATTCTTGGCACTCTTCAATCTTTCATTACAGATGTTTAGTTCCCATTTATTGTCATCAATACAAACATTTTCAGTATTTATTGTATCACTGTTAATGTCCATCACAGTTGCGTCGAAAAACGTTGAGTTCATTTCATCGTCAGTTGCAACGTCTGACATCATTACTGGAGATAAGTCATGTTCAGAATGTGACCGTGTTGTTTTATTGCGCATCGTTATGTTTGTATACATTTTTATGTAGAAATTTAAAATAATAATAATAATAAAAAAAAAAAGTATTAACAATTAACAACGAAATCTTGATAAAAAAAAAAATGTGAAAGAAAAAGATTTCTCGTGTCTGGGTTTCGAACTCGGTACCACCCAAGTCAACTGAGTTCCGGCTGAGCTATCCGTCTGTTTGAAGTCTTTGGTAAAAATTACTAGTAGTAAGTAAGTAAGTAGCTCCGTCAACTCGCTTGTAATTGTTCGTTAGAACGGTGAGTCATGCACAATTCAAATTTCGCAAGTCACCTTCCAATTATTGCACTTTTATCATTTTAAGATTAAATTGTTTCTTTTTCTCACTGTTCACGGGTCACTGCCACAATTTAATAAAGGTTCTGTGTTTATTCGACGATAATTATATATTTACAGAATATTATTTGTCAGAATCATACATAATTTTATATTTTTGTTTTTCGACTTTATTGTTTATTTTTTAATATGAACTATTAGTATCACTTATTTCTCACGACACTATTAATACTTTTATCACCTTTTATTTACGTTCCATGAACTTGTTGATTTTTAATATTAAAAAAACTACGGAGCTGATATGATTGTGGCGACAGTAGCGCCCTCTTCTTGTTGCAATTAAATTTTGATTTTAGTGAATGTTCGACAATAATTTTAATTTAATAAAACAATAATAATAAATAGGTAATCTATGTATTATGTACTCCAGCGCCATGCAGCGGAGACTAGACGAAGTCGGAATCTCCGTTAATCAAATAGACATTATGTTACATACAATTTTGGTAAAAAATTCAATGTTATAGTGTCAAGTTGTACTCGGTGTCTAGGTGGAACGTGGCTTTGATAGATATCAACTACCCACCCCTGTGAACATCACGTTTGTTATATTTTTATTGTTAGTCACAACCGCTCTCGTCACGTGTCAAACAATTTGAATTTCCCATATGTTTTTAAGTTTTTATATCATTATTTTTTTGCTCGAAAATATTTTTGAAGTTATACTTCTTTAGGCGCGTTCTGAAAAATTGTTGAGAGTGAAATTTTAAGATGCGCGCGCATCATGTAACACAAAAAATTAACACCATGAAGTTGGTCGCTTTAGCGACCAACTTCATGTGCCGCGCTGCCATTACCGCGTCGCCCGCCGCACCGTACGCATGCGCGGCCACTCGCGGTCCTAGCGCGGGAAACACGTGCCACAAACATCGGGAAAAGTTACGAGTTTTGAATTAAGAACAGAGATTGTTTTCATATCTATATATATAAAAATGAAACCCGTTTTCCGTTGTCACGACATAACATGAAAACGGCTTGACCGATTTGGCTGTTTTTTTTTTGTAGTTTTCTAATACTCTGTACAAGGTTCTTACGGAAAAAAATATAAAGAAAATCCCAAGGGGATAAAATAAGGAATGAAAGTTTGTATGAAACTTTATCAATTTTAAACCGATCGGGCTGAGACTTTGCATGCAGGTATAAGAAGAATCATAGATGAATGTCATTGTGTATAATACAAGCCTGAGAACAAAAACTGTAGTCTACACTTCAGCTCTACACCGAAGCGAAGCGAGGGCGGGCCGCTAGTTTATAATATTTATCCACATGTTTCTAGTTTGTATATTCGGAATACGTGTTTGAGTTTCATACAAGTGCAAATCACATATGTTCTAATAAATTATATTCAGTAGCGATTTTAATTGAATATTTTGATTATTTATTTATTTTTTCAAATTAAAACTGAACTTTATTGACTGTGTCCTTTTCCAGACTTTTTATTAATTTATTGTAATTAATTATTTGCATGCAATTAAAAACTAATTTTAAACGATGCCAAAGAAGGATAACTTCTCACGCGCCTACATAAGTACACGCACCCATTTTTTATTAACAAATATTGATGGAGGGACAACTTATTTGAATTACATGCATATTCCTTATTGTTTAACGGCCGCACCCAGAGAAGTTAATCTGTTTTTAAAATAGGGTATTTGCCAGTATAAAAAATAAAGTACCAATTGTTAGCATCTGTGTTTAGAATGAATTTTGGCTGGGGTTTTTACTATTTTTACAAAAAAAAATATTCATAATTTTACTAAAAACCCACGAAAAAGATAATTGTTTTCTTATCTATTGTCACGTGCCTAAAACGCTTGGGATTGGCGGAGCCTAAAATGACGTCACACGCAAGTAAACGTCCGGTTAACGTGACATTACATTGTATTAACAGTTTTAATAACAGTCGTGTGACTTCACACACTAGTAAGACGCCATATTGTCCAGAGAAACGTCTTCGCGGCAAATTAAAAATGGAGTTTTTGATTTGGTTATTTTTAATGAAATATACAACAGAATGATGAATATCCACTCCGGAAGGTCTCCTGCTTAGCTATTCATCTAAAAAAAAAAAAAAACTTTAAATAAAACATACAATATGTTTTGGGACGTTAAAGTTTTAAATGCTTCTCCTGAAATAATGTGTTTTTGCATAAGTGACAGTGTCGCACCGGGGGTGCGTATGTAAAAAAACTGAAAAAATGTGTGCGTGTACTAGTGTACACACGTAAGAAGTGAAACTTCTTTATGGCCTTATTTTTTTCGAAAAATGATCTACATGCAACTTTCCAGAAATATATATATAGGCGTGCGCTAAGATTTTTCAAAAACTCACCCACTAAAGGGGTATAACTACACCTTACCTTACCTTACCTTACCTTACCTTACCTTACCTTACCTTACCTTACCTTACCTTACCTTACCTTACCTTACCTTACCTTACCTTACCTTACCTTGTGTGAAACACGAATATTTGCTGTCGATACTTTTTTTTTAAAGTTGACAGAAGAAGCAATTGTTCGGATGAGGTAAATAGTGCTCTTTTAAAAAAAAGATGGCGCGTAACCAAAAAACGTGACGCGTAACCGAAAAAATGTGACGGTAAATTTTTTTCCAACGCCGATAAGAAGTTTCACTTCAAAGATTGCGGCATAATTTTGCATTACCATCAAGTGTAACTGCAATATCTGTCTGTTGGGCTCTATAGGTCTGCCGCCGGTGTTGAGTCCGGCCGCCAAGCTGGAGCGACTCCGCAAGATGGACAGACTCGCCAACTGGGACACGGAGCCGGGGCCCAGTCGACCACAACCACAGGTATTTCGTTAATCTAGAATCAGTGATCCCCAAAGTGGTCTATATCGACCCCTAGGGGTCTCTGACGACCTGCAAGGGGTCTACGTCAGCGAAAAAAAAATTTGGGGGTTCATTAAATGAAAAGGGGCGTCCACGATAATGGATCTCAACATACACTGATAGCACTTATTTACTTGCACATTATATTATAATATACACATTATACTATCTTCTATTAAAAAGACACGACGACCTCCGTGGCCGTGGTTTGTACGCCAGGTTTCATGGTGTCGCTGACTCGAGAGGTCTCGGGTTCGAATACCGGTGGGGGCACATGTTTGTGTGATGAATACGAGCATTTGTACTCCAGTCATGGATGTTTAATTGTATTTCTATAAAAATATACTTATATATGTACAGTATATGTATTCTATCCGTTACCTTAGCATCCCATAACACAAGCCTTACAGTGCTTACTTTGGAGCTAGGCTGATTGGTGTGAGTCTTTTGAATATTTATTGATTTATTATTTTATACCGCATCATTGTAACTAGACGGCTCCATCAGCGTCTTCCTCTTCGCGTCGACTGCAACACCACTTCATATCTTATATATAAAATTCTCGTGTCACAATCTTAGTTACCATACTCCTCCGAAACGGCCTGACCGATTTTTATGAAATTTTATATGCATGTTCCGTGGGTCTGAGAATCAGCTACTTTCTGTTTTTCATATCCTTAAGTGATAATGGTTGTCCACCTGTAACGTAGTGTTCTGAAACCTACAAAGCGCCTTCGCGCCAAAATTCAAACTATTGGGCATTGTAACGTAGTGTTCTCATATAGGTTAGGAGGAATCTTATCCCAGGAAATTGATAGAACACTATGTTACACACCCCTAAAATCTTTTTTGGAGATTTTTTTTATAATGTGGTATAAAAAAATACATACAACCCTAAATTTTCTCTTCTACCACCTGCCCCGATTTTTATGGCGGTACGAAGTTCGCTGGGTCAGCTAGTACTTTTATAAAAAACGTTTGTATCCAATAATTAATTGTTTTTTGTGACAGAGCAACAACGACACAGAACAAAGATGGAACCCGGAAGAGTTACGGAACCTTAAGCCGATGACTCCGGAACAATTCGAGCGTCGGTTCAACGCCCTCCGGCTAGCTTCCGATTCTGGAGGGGCAAGCGGGGCCAGTGGGTCTAGTAGCGGAACCAGTGGGAACGGTAGCGGGGCGAATAAGAATATTAATGTTGCCAATAAGAATAATATTGGGGCCAGTAGAAATAACAGTGGGGCCAATGGTAACGATATGAGGACCAATGGGAATGACGGGGCGGCCAGCAGGAATAACTGGAGCGCCAATGGGAGAGCAGATCGGCAAGCTGCTGGGGACAGATTTAATGAGATCAAGTCATCGCTACGAGAGTTGAGAAGGGGACTCAATGAGGTTAGTTCTACATCTAATACAAACATTATTAGGAGGAAAGATTTGTATTTAATGTAACGGATATACTTTTACAGTAAATTCATTTTTGATTAAATTTAAAAATTAAATATTTGTGATTATATAGCATAAGCGTTTTTATTGAAGTGAAACTTCTTCTCGGAGGGGTGTAAATGGAAAAATCCTATTGAAAAGATGAAACGGAAATGCGTCACACGACTATATATATATGTGTGTGTGTGTATGTCATGCGTGCGCAGCTCTCCCCCATGAGCATATGAGCATGAAAGTTGGAGGGTAACTCGGCGAAGGCTGAAATGCTACCACCGTCACGAGCGTCACACGCGACAATATATATATCTTTATATATATAATTCTTCTGTGAGTGTGTATGTCACTGAACTTCTCTTAAACGACTGGACCGATTTTGATGAAATTTTTTGTGTGTGTTCAAGGGGATCTGAGAATGGTTAAGATTCACAATTTTGTCCGCTGGACAACCCCTATTTTTTTAGGGCGGTACGAAGTTCGCTGGGTCAGCTAGTATATATATATATGTCGTCGCATTCATATATATATATATATATATTCCTTAAATTCTCGAAATTTATCACAAATAAATGTTTTATCAAATATTGTCAAGCCTCAAATACTTTTCATTTATATATATTCGGTCAATCAAATAGCTGATACTCAAAATAAGATAAAAATAACATTACTTTTTCTTGCCATCGAATATATGCGAAACGTACCGTTAATAAATACTTGTTCTAAAAACTCCAACCTTCATATTATATTGCTCAAATATGGGAACTTGGTAAAATATTATAATTCAATTACCAAGAATGAAAATTTATTATTGCAGTCTTTATGGTGCATCAGGTTTGCATTATTTTATCTTTGTGTTTTGTACGTAAAAACGTACAAAACGCAGAGAAAAGCTTCTGAAGATAGGACCAGTTCACCTTACCAATAACATTCGATTTCATAGGTAGCAAATATATTATTGACCAACTTGACCGACTCAGCCCTCCAAAATGTATAGCTTTGGATGACTCAGCTAACTGTGCACAGTTGTTAAATAAGGAGAAGAGATGTGGCTATCTAAGTGTGGTTTCATTCAATGTTAGAAGTATAAACAAAAACCTCGACATGTTTTTAGCATTCCTAGCAACTACAAGAATTAATGTTGATGTAATGGTGCTCTCAGAATGTTGGACAAATGATAACTTTAGGCCTACTGCGGTTCAGGGTTATAAATACTACGCGACCAGAAATTCCATTAATCAAAATGATGGTATTGTGGTATATATTCGAGAGTCAATTAAAACCACTTGCTACGAACCAAAAGATATAGTGCACGCTAATTGTCTTATCGTAACTTTGCCAGATAACATATGTATTGTATGTTGTTACAGATCCCCTTCCTTTAGCAATGTAACTCCATTCCTTAATTCGATCGACAATATTCTGCAATCCATAAAAAGTCCCACTTTAATATTTACTGGAGATATTAATATAGATATCCTCCCGGGAAATGGTAAAGAATCTGTGAATGATTACTTAAACGTTATGGCTATGCATGGATTGGAACAAGGGGTTAATATTCCTACAAGAGACAAATCATGTATAGATCACTTTATGGTTCGGTGTCCTGTAGATTGGCAAACGGTAGTATTTGAAGAATTAACTGACCACTCACCCATTCTGTTATGTATAAATAAAGCTATCACTAAAAAGAAACCTATTAGAGTAAATAAAAAAATTACAGACCTAGATAATATCGAAAACCATTTAAAAAACGAAACATGGAGAGAGTTTTACAAAATACGGGACGTGCAATTGGCTGCCGAACTATTAACGAATAAACTAATCAAACTACTTAACGATAATACAATTATAAAAACAATACCTACAAAATATCAACCTTTAAAACCTTGGATAACTATTTCAGTAGTTAAGTCTATTAAACGAAGAAATTTATTGCACAAGAAATTTAAAAAACATCCCCATGATATTCTAGTGAAAAATGAGTACATATCATATAGAAATATTTGCAATAAAATCATTAAAAACTTAAAATATAAATATTACCAAGAACAGCTTCTTAAAAACAAAGGTAACCCAAAAAACATATGGAAAATTATAAAGGAAGTTGGTAATATAACCGAAGTGAAAAACTGTGCTGATGAGCTTCTTAGATTAGATAAATATCCTGTTGCTGCTCTAAACAAAGTTAATGAATATTTTACCTCGGTTGGTCAAGACTTAGCTAATGAGACACTGAATAAAATAAAAACAACAGACACTGAATTAGCTAAAACTGCCAAAAAAGACAATACTCTCGTTAATTCTTTCTCTGCTGCTCCCACTGATCCAGTTGAGATAAAAGAAATTATACTAAGTCTTAAACAAGATAGTTCTCCTGGATGGGACAATATACCTACGAAAATAATTAAGTACTTTGGTAAATATTTAACAACACCCATTGCCTATTTATGCAATCTAAGCCTTGAAAGTGGTGACTTTCCCCACAATATTTAAAAAAGCTTTAGTCAGTCCAATTCATAAAGCAGGAGCTAAAGATCAAGCAACGAACTATCGGCCTATTTCCATACTCTCGGTACTAAGTAAAGTCTTAGAAAAGGTTATGAACAAACGACTCATATTTTTTTTAGAAAAATACAGATTCCTTGTTGATGAACAATTCGGTTTTCGTAAAAATAGATCCACCGAAGACGCTGTCCTTAAGCTGACGTCATGGATAACATCTCAGACGGATAAGGGCGAAAAATGTATAAGTGTTTTCCTAGATCTTCAGAAAGCATTCGATACTGTCTCCATTCCTATACTGTTATCTAAGTTAGAAGGTGTCGGAATAAGAGGAGTAGCATTGAAATGGTTCGAAAGTTACTTGACAGGCAGAAGACAGTTGGTTCGCATGGGCAAGTACCTCAGTGACTTTTCCAACTGTATTTATGGAGTGCCACAAGGTAGTACTTTAGGACCAACCTTATTCCTGGTCTATATCAATGATCTGGGCAAAATCAACTTTGAGAACGGCACCATGAGTATGTTTGCTGATGATACTGTCCTCATGTTTCATAATTCTAGTTGGCAAACAGTCACTGAATCAGCTGAAAAGGGGCTAAAACAAGTCACGAAATGGCTTGAGGACAGTATTTTATCAATAAACATAACAAAAACCAAATATATGTGTTTTAGTAAAACTGCTGTCGGAAGCCCTAACAATGACCATAAACTAAGAATTCATACTTATCCATGTAACAGAGGTGAAGGAGGGAATTGTAAATGTCTTTACCTGTCTAAAGTTAACAATATTAAGTACTTGGGAGTAGTTATTGACGACAGATTGAGTTGGTTAGATCATATTAAATTACTACAACTAAGGATAAGAAAACTTATTTACGTATTTAAAAATCTTAGGAATGTTGCCAATCTGCAGCTCCTAAAACAAATTTATCAAGCCTTGTGTGAGAGTATAATTAGATATTGCATACCAGTGTGGGGTGGTGCAGCAAAAACTCACCTAATTATGGCAGAACGAGCACAACGATCAATTTTAAAAGTAGTCATGTTTCTCCCTTACAGACATCCTACAACAGACATTTACAAATTATTCAAAGTACTTTCTGTAAGAAAACTTTATATTTTTGAAAGTATTCGCAGATACCACCGTTATGTTATCCCACAGCTACCTAATGATGTTACTAGGAGGGATCGCTGTCATATCCCCTCAGTCAAAAGTCAATTTGCACGTCGTCAATATACATATATGGCACCACGACTTTACAACAAATTAAATAACATTAAAAAGATAAAAAAGTGTAGTAATTTTAGCTTAAAAAAATTTATTAATGATTGGCTGTTCGACATAGATTATGATGGTGTGGAGGATCTACTGATTGACAACACCCGGATATAGGAAGTATAGCACAGTGTTTATAAATTATTACTTGATATTTATGTGGTTTAAGACAAGACGCATCTACATACACACGCAACACCCAGACACACACACACACACACACACATACACACACACACACACACATACACACACACACACACACACACACACACACACACACACACACACACACACACGCACACATACACACACGCAAGCACACCTACACCCACACTCGCTATACACACACATATAATTTAGTTATTTTTTCTATTTATCTTTACTGTGAAGAAAAATAGTAATGTTTTGTTATGCCCAGTACAACTGCTAAGATTATATTGTAAGTACATAATTGGAGAGGACACTGGATTCCATACTACAGGCTAAGGCCTATTTTGGAATACAGGGGAATCAAACATAAATTGTAAAAAGTATAATGTCAATAAACATTATTATTATTATTATTATTATTATATATATAATTAGTTAGTTCTTCAGGGCTGTTACCGCACTTAGTCCTAATTATTGGACCATTGTGCATATATATATATATATACATATAATATATATATATGAGTGTTGCGTGCGCTGCTCCATTCCCCTATGCCTTCTTGCACCACCTGATGTTAGGCTATATAAGAAAAAAAAGGTTCACTTCACATGTGAGGTCTGTGCACATTATTTTTTTTAATTTGTTTGTTTCAGGTCACTGCCCCCTACAACTCTACCCCTGTCAATAAGGAAGTGTAAGTATTTTACAAATACATACATACAAATCGATACATAACGATCGATATACAAGTAGCTTCATCTATCGATGTGTAAATTATACTTTTAAAGTTAACCCTCTGAAAGGATTTTGGTGAATTTTGATATACTAACAAATTAGAAATGAAATGGTTGTCTGTAATAGTTTCCGTGTATTTTGTGAACTATCTAAAAACACAGGGCTTTTTGTCTGAAAACACGTATAATATTTACACGTTATTGCGAAGTGTAGCCGCGACGAGAGAGCGCGCCCGACCGAATGCAAGTCGGGCAATTACCTGACTTTCGCGCGTATGACGTATCTATAATTTTAAAACAGCATAGTATTAAACATTATCTTATGAAATTTATCCGCATCCTCCTGATATGATATAGATTTGTATGTATATATATATACATACATTACATAAATATGAGATATATATATATTAAAATCTCATATTTATGATGATGATTATATAATTAGATGTAGATATATAGATACACTTTAATTAAAATAAGTGATTTGATGAATAGGGATGATGACGGGGTAGAGTAAATGAAATTCTATTTAGTCCGTCAGTTAGATGATCAAAAAATAATGGACACGTATTTTTTCTTTGGGCAATCAACCAAAAAATGACAAAGTTATAGTGCGTCAAAGTTTGGGAGTAGGGGCTCGTGACGTCACTTTTGAGTGAATTTTCACCCATGATTTTCACCTATAATAAGTGTACTCAAACGTGACTTCATGCGACTTTTCAAATCAATATATCTCTGCAATGATTATATTATGTGAAAAAATAAAAAATACGTGTCCAATACTTTTTCATTATCTACATGATAAACGAAGAAAAAAAAATTAGTCACGATCCCTATTCTTTTTGCAGTACATTCTTAAGATTTTTGCTATAATTCTCTCGTTGACTGGAAGAGAATCCCAATGAGAATGGCATTAATGTGCAATAAAGTATAAATAAATTATCCTGTTGTGTTGGGTAGCGATCGTCAGCGCTCGCGCGGGCAGGAAAGGCGGCGCGCGGGGGAAAGAGACGGACATGTGGAGGGAGCGAGAGGGGACGATGACGCGCCCGCCTCTGGGGAGGAGGTGCGCCTGCCCTGCGAGTTCTGCGGGGGGCTGCAGGTGCTGCAGGAGCTGGTGCTGCATCAGGTGAGACGGACAGGTGGAGGGAGCGAGAGGGGACGATGACGCGCCCGCCTCTGGGGAGGAGGTGCGCCTGCCCTGCGAGTTCTGCGGGGGGCTGCAGGTGCTGCAGGAGCTGGTGCTGCATCAGGTGAGGAAATGCATCACTACATTTCCATTTTAAGCATTAAACTCCCACCTGCGAGAAACTTTTTTAAGTGAAACTTCTTTACCCAAGCTTGACTAGGGGAGCAAGCTGGCGAATGCGTTACGCGTTACCAAAAGTGTGATCGGGCGAGGCGAACGGGAGTTGAGTGGGGTATATAAGCAAGAGAAAGCAGTGCGCGTGCACATTTTCTTTCTCTCTTTCTCTTATAGCTAGTAAATGAAATATGTATATGTACATACATATATATATTGTACACATATATACATCTTTATATATATAATTCTTCTGTGAGTGTGTATGTCACTGAACTTCTCTTAAACGACTGGACCGATTTTGATGAAATTTTTTGTGTGTGTTCAAGGGGATCTGAGAATGGTTTAGATTCACAATTTTGTCCGCTGGACAACCCCTATTTTTTTAGGGCGGTACGAAGTTCGCTGGGTCAGCTAGTATATATATACAGATGGAGCTAAAAAAGTTCCACTTCAGTCGTGTGGTCATAAGCACACTCATTTGTTTTTGATTATCAAATTCGCAGCGAAAATTTTGATTAGAAAAGTAATCAAGGCGTAAAGAAGCATTTTTGCAGGCCGGCAAGGTGAGTATGGTTGGTGTGGCAGTTTATAACTGCTGTACCAGCTAACTTCGCGTTTGAACTTTAACACTACTTAACATGATGTGGGGTAGAGCCATTTGCCTACCTGGCTATGTAAAAAAATTAATTAGCTATTTGAGGCTGTCAACGCAAAAGTAGCCTAATCCGCAATTATTCATATTCTGATTAAGCGGCATACTTAGGCCACTTATGAAGTTGACGTTAAAAAAAAGAAGAAAAGAGAAGAAAAAAAAGAACTTTTGCAACGCCATCTATTGACGCCTGGTGAAACAAGACCGATTTTGAATTAAATTTAAACACATTTTTATTCAATTGTAAAAGATGAATCGGATTACGAATTATTGAGTGTTCGGCCACTTTAGCGCTGACAGCCTCATTTGACAGTTTGAAAAATAATGTACCAATTATTGGCATTTGATTTAGTACGAATATTAGCAGCGATTTAACTATTCAGAAAGAACAAAATGTATAACTTTTGTATGAAATCATTAAACAAAAAAAAATTTGCTCCATGGTCACGTGAACGAAAACGCCTGTGATCGGCCAAGACTAAAATGACGTCACACGCTAGTAAACTTCCGGCCAAAATGACATTACATTGTATCGCTTGACGTTCCATGACAGTCTTATGACCGCAGTTTTTTCACTCCACCCACCTGATCGCAGTTTGCATGGAACCACTTTTCAGCACAGTTCGTTTTCCACATCTTTTCTGATTCGTTGAGTATAATACAGCGTTAGTTTACCTTTCGTAGACTGGGTGTCGGCCGGATCTGGCTCAACTGAGGACAGCCACTGGCGGGGCTATGAGTGGGGGGGGCAGACCGACGAGGGTGCTTCACCATACCCCCTCCCCGCAGCCGGATTATGATGATGAGCCCCCGGTCATACCCTGCGAGTTCTGCACTGAGTCTCTGCCGCTATATCTTATAAGCGAACACCAGGTTAGTATCCATGATCATCACGCTTGCTTGGTGTACAGATCATCATCATCATCAGCCTATTAATTTCCCCACTGCTGGGGCACAGGCCTTCCCTAAGGATGGAATAGGGAGATTGGGCCATGACCCACCACGCGGGCCCAGTGCGGATTAGCGGGTGCTAACGATTGCAGATGCAACCGGGACCAACGGCTTAACGTGCCTTCCGAAGTACGAAGAAACTCGAGAAAGAAATTTTTGGTCACCCATCCAATGACCGACCACTGCGAAAGCTGCTTAACTACAACGATTGCAGCCGAACGCGCTAACCACCTGCGCCATTGAGCTCCTCAGTGTACAGATAGCCGCTGTAATAGGCTATATGACAGTATGATAAAAAAATGAGCGAGAGCCTTACAGTAGTCGCGTATGATGTGTAACATTTGAAACCTCACCTTATATTAGTAAAAAAAGAAATAAAACCTACTACAAAAGGAATAAGTCATTTGAACATTATGTTCTAAAATCAAATCAAATAGCGCGCGCTTTTGCAACTTCCTGTTACACACTTCCGTCCCATTTCACGAAATCACTACCACAAATTGCAGGAAAGCGAGAGGAAATTTTTGTGTTTTTATTTTTTTTAATCATTTAACTGCTAGATGTTTAAATCTAAAGAAAAGTTTTACCAGAAAAAAATCCACGCGGGCCAGGCAGCGGACGGGACTCGAACCCGCAGCCTTCGCAATCGGGGCGAATGCACTGACCAATTATGCTGCCACGGCCCTGATGGCCGCGTCGAAATTTTCCTAGCCTTAAACTGCAAGGCAGCGCCATCTCCTTGCAGTGTAGGTAACTCACAATGTCAAATGAATACTTTTTCAAGTATTAAACATTTGAAAGTAGAAGGTCAGTGCATTCGCCCGGATTACGAAGGGTGCGGGTTCGAGTCCCGTCCGCTGCCTGGTCCGCGTGGATTTTTTTCTAGTAAAACTTTTCTTTATTTATTTATTTATTCAGTTTCACGTGCTGGTTTACAGAGCTAGTCCAACACACCAACAAGTCAATGCAATGCAAAACAAAAACATTCATTATATAGAAATAGTCATAAGTGGAATTACAATTAAAAAGTCAAAATTAAAAATAAACATACATCAAAGTCAACGAAGTTACAGAATCAAAAATGTCAAAAGATATAATTAAAAACGTGAAAACAATAAATAAATTACAAATTAAAATAAACTAGGAAATACACTGTCAAATGTCAAATTACAGATTAAAACCCAGAATCTAAAATCTGGCGAGTCACGGTAATTAATCTCCCTAGACCGTCAGCAAACAGGTCTAAGTGATCGTATTGAGATCGTATTGAGCGAGCATGTCCCCGATCAGGCGCAATGCACGTACTGGGGGCGCTTGGGCAGCGTGGACGGTTCGGGTGCCAGGCCACTCCAGCAAGCGCGGCCGCCGGCGCGGCTCCAATAAACCCTCGGCATCACGCGGGATGCGAGTGGGTACCAAAAGGCGTACTCTTTCTAGCACGTGTGGCGAATCTATCTTTTGGTAAATAATTGATAAATAGTGTACAATGAGGAGCAATTTCCTTCTCATATCCAGTGCTTCTAGGTCGACCATACCGTAGACAAAAGTTGATGGATACAAGAACGGATAATATCCATAGTTTTTCTTGTACAACCATCGAGCAAATTTTCGTTGTATCTTTTCTATCATGAGGCAATATTTTTTTTTCGTGGGTGTCCCAAATTACTGCCCCATATTCCAATTTACTACGTACGTAGGCATTGTACAATACTCTAGCCACTAAAGAACTACTAAATTCGGAGGAAGTTCTGATAATGAATCCCAGGATCCTACTCGCCGATTTGCATACGTTTATCACGTGTTGGTGAAAGTCCATCTTAGTATCTAAAGTTAAGCCTAAGTCTCTAATTTTGTCAATTCTTTCCAAAGGAGCGTCATATATTTTATAAATACTTTCAATACAGGACCGCTTCCGCGTAAAAGTTATTGTCTTGCATTTGTTGCTATTGAATGTCAACCGATTCGAATCACTCCACGCTACTACAGCGTCAATATCACTCTGCATGGCGTCCGAATCCCCTTACTTATACACCTATATATTTTTAAATCGTCAGCAAATAACAAACATTTTGTGCATGACAATACTTTAGGCAAGTCATTTATCATGATTTGAAAGAGGGTAGGTCCTAACGTGCTACCTTGACTCACCCCAGATCTCGTAAAGAAGTGGTTAGATTCGTATCCATTCAACCTAACATACTGACATCTATCTTTGAGGTAGCTTGCAAAAAAATGCAGTAGTGAGGGAGTAAAACCTATTTCCGAAAGCTTTATTAATAATTTATCATTATCTACAAGGTCAAAAGCTTTTTTGTAGTCAAAATAGGCCGCATCAACTTGCCGCCCAGCGTCCATTTCCGCAGAGACGTAATCTACCAGGGGTATCAAATTAGTGGTAGTCGATCGCCCTTTTCGAAAGCCGTGCTGACACTCGTGTAATTGATCACCTATCTGCCGACTTATATGATGATTAATTATTGCCTCGAATAATTTGGCAAAAACGGATAGTACGGCTATTGGTCTATAGGCTGCAATATTAGAACCGGGTTCCCCTTTTGGAATTGGTGTCACCCTAGACAGCTTCCATAAATCTGGATATTTAGCCTGACTTAGTGAGAGATTGTACATATACAACAACGGGATTCTGAAGATTGAAATGCAATCTTTGACCAGGAATATCGGGATACCATCAGGTCCACCTGATGATCGAGACTTAAGGCGCTTTACGGCTTTATCTAGGTCTTCTTTATCTATGGTCGAGATAGATATTAACTTCGCACCGGCTATTGGTCGAGCTTTTCGTGCAGCTTCGTCTGTATCTAAACGTGGCATTTCATCCAGAAACACTGTACCAAAATACCGAGCAAACGCTTCAACAGCCTCTTGACCAGAAAATACCTCCCCATTATGTGTAAATGAGTCTATAAATCGTCTGTCTTTTTTCTTATCTTTAACATATTCCCAAAACTTTAATGGTTCGTCAATTATATTTTTTTGTATAGTCTGCACGTGTTGTTGATCATCATCATCATCATCATCATCATGTCAGCCGTATGACGCCCACTGCTGAGCATAGGCCTCCCCCAAGGATCTCCACACCGATCGGTCCTGCGCCACTCGCATCCATCGGCTTCCCGCGACCTTCACAAGATCGTCGGTCCACCTTGTGGGGGGGCCTACCCACAGAGCGTCGTCCGGTGCGTGGTCGCCATTCTAGAACCTTTCCGCCCCAACGGCCATCGGTTCTTCTTGCTACGTGTCCCGCCCACTGCCACTTCAGCAGAGCCATCGTTTGAGCGATATCGGTAATTTTGGTTCTCCTACGGATTTCCTCATTTCTGATTCTATCGCGTAGGGAAACACCAAGCATCGCTCTCTCCATTGCTCGCTGCGTGACCTTGAGCCTTCTTATGAGACCCGCAGTAAAGGACCACGTCTCGCTTCCGTAGGTCATCACTGGCAACACACACTGGTCAAAGACTTTTGTCTTGAGACACTGAGGTAATTTGGACGCGAATATTTTTCGTAGCTTCCCGAACGCTGCCCATCCGAGCTGGATACGACGAGAGATCTCTTTCTCAAAGTTGGACCTACCTAACTGGACTGTCTGTCCTAGGTAGACGTAACAGTCGACAACTTCGAGTGTAGTGTTCCCAATTTTGACTGGAGCGGGTACTACATGGGCATTCGACATAATTTTCGTCTTCTCCATGTTCATCTTAAGACCCACTTTTTGAGAAGCACTACTAAGATCTTCGAGCATCGTGTTAAGATCTTCCAAGTGTTGTTGATAAGCGTAGTCAATAAGCCTTTTTGTATGCCACCTATACTTATACAATTCTCTATTAAACTCCTTGCCTTCTAATTTGTACCTTTTCAAATAAAAATATTTTGATTTTAAGTTATATATAATTTCCGTCGTGTACCATTTAGGGTATTTGTATTGACTGATATTATTATTATGCGATGACCTATTCCTAAGTGGAACATATAAATTTACGCAATCATATAGTTTTTCATAAAAAAAGTTCTCGCTTAAATCAACATCGCTAATTTCTAATAAATCTGACCAATCGATAGCTAGAGCACTGTACAATGCTGAAAAGTCTGTTTTGCGCCAGTTCCAGTCAGGACACGTGTCCGAATGAGAAACTGGCGGTCGCGGAACCTGTTGCAAAGGGCCTGTCCCTATCTTTAGTTTAATAGATATATCGAGGGGAGGGTGATAACTGTCCACTTGAACCAGAGGTTCATCGTTAGCTGACACCATCACCTGACCGGGCACAAGATCACTCAAGACAAGGTCCAGCATGCCACCACGATTATTTAATACATGGTTGTTTTCGCGTAATTGACAGAATTCACAGAAGTTGTCAAACTGATTTTTTACATTTACACTGCAGGAATTTAGATTGAAATCTCCAACAATCAAAACGTTCAGACTAGGATATGCGCAAATAACATTTTCTATACACGACAACACATTCAAATATTGGTCATCTTTATAATTTAGAGGCAAATACACAACAAAACATAGTAGTTTTATACTCTTCCATTTTATAATAGCACAAATTAATTCTTTATCAGGCGTAAGGCCATCTATATCCGTAATGACTTGTACAGAATAGCACTCTCGTACGGCAAGCATAACTCCCCCCCACCCGGTGTCCCCAGCTCGGTCTTTGCGAATCACAAAGTAACCAGCAGGAAAGAGTTCGCCGTCGCGTACTGAGCTTGTTAAAAATGTCTCTGTTAGAGCAACAACATCTAATGCATGCTTATTAATATTATTTAAAAACATTACAGTTTTTGAACGCAAGCCACGCACGTTCTGATAGTATAATCGAATAGTTTTTACAGCGGTTTTATCATAGTTATTGTTTTTCTTGCTTACCACGAAAGTTATGGCTCCATTGTTTAAC